TTTAGCTGTCGAAATAAAACATTTTAAATGCGATATTATTTTTGTTTTCCCCAGTTTTTTTCACATGGAATGAGACCCCATTATTCAAGTTCCAATGTATTCTTTGGTTAACACATTGTAATAAGATCAATCATGTTTTGTCTTGGCTAAGAGATGGAGATAAGATTAACTTCTGTATAGAAACAAAACATGCAAAGTAGCAACTATCACTATTTGAAGCACAAAAATATACAGTGCTTACAAAGGCTGTGCGACTTCCTCTTTGTATGCTCTTAACATTCTTGGTGCTTTATAACACTTAAGTAATTTGCAGATATCTACACCATGAATTAAATTAAAGTTCAAAAGGGTTTAATTACTAAGCAATGGGTTGCAATAAACAGAAAACTGAATAGCAAAATCAGGTTAAATATGCTGATTTGAAAAACGCCTATTATAGTCACAGTTTTAGCCAGAATTTTGCATTTTAATTTTTTAATTTATTAAATTGAATAACATCCAATAAATATATCCCCATTTGATGTTAATTTTTTTCAGATTGTATTCTTATTTAAGAGTCAGCATTGTAGTATATGAATACATATAATAAACAAACATTTGTGTATTAAACAAGCTCAAAGTAGGTGAGACCTTTTAAATTGTAGGCCGTCATGGGAGTCGGGGGCCTTCTTGATGCCCATGTGCTGGACTGTGCCCCTATCTGTGGATTTTGGTAAGTGAGTGGGTTTGTTGCAACTTTATTGTATTTAGGATATTTGCTGTACTTGTAAGCTGAGATGCCGTCAAGCTCGCCATAACAGAGATGTACCAAAACTTTGGAAAAACTGAAAGTTGGGCAGGATTCACTACTTTTTCGCTATCGAGAACTTGCTCACTATGCTAACCCTTTAAATTAAGGAAAGAGGGTGCTTAGAAAGATGGAAATTTAGGGGACCTCACATAACACTTAAAGGGACACTATAGTCACCTGAGCAACTTTAGCTTAATGAAGCAGTTTTGGTGTATAGAACATGCCCCTGCAGCCTCACTGCTCAATCCTCTGACATTTGGGAGTTAAATCCCTTTGTTTATGAACCCTAGTCACACCTCCCTGCATGTGACTTGCACAGCCTTCCATAAACACTTCCTGTAAAGAGAGCCCTATTTAGGCTTTCTTTATTGCAAGTTCTGTTTAATTAAGATTTTCTTATCCCCAGCTATGTTAATAGCTTGCTAGACCCTGCAAGAGCCTCCTGTATTTGATTAAAGTTCAATTTAGAGATTGAGATACAATTATTTAAGGTAAATTACATCTGTTTGAAAGGGAAACCAGTTTTTTTTTCATGCAGGCTCTGTGAATCAAAGCCAGGGGAGGTGTGGCTAGGGCTGCATAAACAGAAACAAAGTGATTTAACTCCTAAATGATAGTGAATTGAGCAGTGAAATTGCAGTGGAATGATCTATACACTAAAACTGCTTCATTTAGCTAAAGTAAATTAGGTGACTGTAGTGTTCCTTTAAAGTGGCAATGAGAAGGCCAACTACTAGTGTTTTATGGATACAGTCTGATATTACCGGTAATTTATAAACATCTTGCAAAAACATAAACAGGGTGGATCACAACCACCGACTTGTAGAAAGATCTTGGACAGGCAGTCCTCTGCCCATTGCGTCCAAATAGGCTTGCTGTAAACATTGTGGGACTAAATGCCATACTGTTCAAAGAGTTTTAAGCATGTTCTTGATGTTAATGCAAGTTGAGTTTTTGCATGTTGTTCTGGAATATTTCCAGAGTGGTTGTTATATATAGTCTGGTGTCTACAAACCATTTGGCAGTAAAAGAGAGGTAGAACAATAGTGCAATATAAAGTGTGTAATAGCTTTGTTTGATTTTGCAGGTGTTATACAAATCTTTTTTTTAACTCAGTTAGCAGTAACTGTCCATATGAGTGTAAGACCTTGAAGATCATTATTGACTTGCAATGACAAATGCTTTCTTTGAGAAGAATAGTATTGTCAGTTTGCAGGTGTGCAAACCTAAGGACTCTTGTGGCCAAGATTACAGAGTGGAGTGTAGATCATTAGTTTCCTACCCAATATGATATAATATGTCATGTGTTGTTCATCTGAGGTTGTCTTCACCTAATTTAAGACATGCTAAGTAACATATAATTGTTATTTTGTGCTGATATGTAAAACCATAGAATTCAAAGAGGGTGTACTTTCTTTTCTCATGACTGAAAAAAATATTTCTCCAATGCTGTGGGCTGCTCTGGCAAATTACATTGTCCTTACTTACATATTCCTCAGTGACAAATTGAATTCCTGACAATCAACACTTTAGTGAACTGAATTTTACACAGATGAATAAAAAATTGTAAATCATCAATAAATGAAATGCATGAAAAAAAAATAAAAAAATAAAAATGGCAATTTATATAATAATCCAGTTTCGACAAAGCAAACATTGAAAATGAGCATTAGACACAGAAACATTGTTTAATTTATCCTCGATATCATGGGTGTCTGCAGGAATTTGTCCAGGGGGGAGGGCATAATTGTAATGACATCCATGCTTGGCCCCTTTTTGACAGTGTCATGAAAGGGAAGGGGCATAGCCATTATCACATAAAGCCAGGGTGAATAGCGTTTTCACAACTATGGTGTCAGGAATACATGTTTGTATTCCTGACACTATAGTGTTCCTTTCATCAAATTAAAGGAACATTCTCGTCATCATAACAACTTCATCTAAATAAAAATGCTATGATTTCAGGAGCCCCCTGGGCGCTCTCTTTCCTTTAAGGCAAGCATGTCAAACATGCGGCCCACAGTGAACATATTTGCGGCCCGCGCCGCTTTCAGCTGTGGCTGCGACCAGCAAGACAGGAAAAATATTTCCTGATTCTTGTTCTACTGGCCACAAGAGGGCAGAGTGGCTGTGTGTCTGCTGAGCAGACCAGAGCAGCCACGCCCCCTTCCCTTCTGCTCGCAGTGCCAGAGGAGCGTCTGGCCTGCTTTAGCAGGGCTGGGGCTGGAGGACGGACAGCATCGTAAGGTAGGAGAAGACTGGCTTGGGGGAGGGGGTCAGTGTATTATTTAACAGAGGGGGCATTCTATTGAGAGAGGGGGCACTGTATTAATTTGAGGGAGGGAGGGGGCCAGTGTATTAATTTGGGGGAGTGATGTGGCCAGTGTATTAATTTGATGGTGGTAGGGGGCACTATTAATTTGGGGAGGGAGGGGGGCAGTGTATTAATTTGAGGAAGGGAGGAGCCCAGTGTGTTTAATTGGGGGGAGGGCAGTGCAGAGTGGTGGTGGTGTGGGGGTGGCGGGGGGGGCAGTGTATTGATTTAAGAGAAGGAAGGGGCAGTGTACTAACCTGGGAGGGAGGGGGCCAGTGTATTAAATTGGGGAGTGGTGACAGTGTATTGTTGGAAGGGAGGGTGCAGGTGTATTAGAATGGTGGGGGGGGGCAGTGTGTTAAATTGGGGGGAGGGACGGCAGTGTATTAAAGTAGAGTGGTGGGGGCAGTATATTCAATTAGAGTGGAGGAGGGGCAGTGTGTTGGATTTGGGGGCAATGTATTAGAGTGGGAGGAGGCGCAGTGCATTAGATTGGGTCTGCATGGAGGCGCTGAATGCTCCCCATGGAGATGCTGTTTGACCGTGCAGCTTTTTGCCAAACATGCACAATATCCTCCCAATGCTTTCCTATGGGAAAGCATTGGATTGGCTGAGATCATCAAGTTTGATGATCTCAGTCAAAGTGAAGAACACACTCATAGAACTTCAAAATAAACAAGATAACGTCATTTGTTTTTTACAGCTGTGCAACAGCATACATTCACCATTTCAGTCTCATTACCAAATATTTCTTAATATGTCAGGGTACTTGGACTGAAACGTTGTTTATATGCAAATGCATTTCTTCAAATAAATTCATTCTTTTGTTTATTTTGAAGTCCTACGAGCGCGAGGATGTCCAGTGTCAGTTAGGAAACTTTTTTTATACTGTACTTTTCTAAATAAACCTATGTTTCTATGGAAACTGAAGTTTGTTTGTTTTTTGCTGCCCACTTAAACGTAAACCTTGTTTATTTGGCCCGTCTTAGCCTTTGAGTTTGACAAGCTTGCTTTAAGGGGTTAAACCGCTCTCAAATGGTTTAACCCCAAAGGTTTCCTCCAGCTCCAGATCTCCAGGTCGCTCAGTGGTATTCGGGTTCTGAAACGAAGTGTCAGGAAGTCAGATTGAAGTCAGGCATGGGTGCCGCTGATTAACTAGAGTGGTCAGCTGACGCTGTAAGCCAATCGCTAGTTGCAGGTTTATAAAAATGTTTTACTTGTTTTGGGGGAGCTACTGATTGGCTTAGAGTGCCAGCGGCACTCAGTGCTTCCTGACACACAGTAAATAAAAGTGAACACATTTTTAACTGGGGAGATGAGAAGGTCCAAAGTTTCCCTGCCAGGCCCAGGTACCAAAGCCGTATGATGTTTTGTCCAGAATGAAGTGGAGGGATCACTTCACTTGTCCTTCCTGCTCCAATCTCATTTTCTTCTCCTTCATTTGACACAGTCTTCTTTTTCTTCTGACACTGTCTTTTCTCCTCCTTGGCTTCTTTTGCTCCTTTACCTTTCTGCTTCTTTTGCGCCATTCTGCTCCTTTCTCTTTCTGATCCCTTTCTACTCCTTGCAGACCCTTTTTGCTCCTTCTCCTACTTAACCTTTATGCTCCTTGCAGTTCCTTTCTGCTCTTTCTCCTACTTTACCTTTGTGCTCCTTCTGATTCTTTGTTATTTTACCTTTGTGCTCCTTCTGTCCTTTCCTGCCCCTTTCTGCTCCTTGCAGACCCTTTCTTCTCCTTGCTGCCCCTTCCTGCTTCTTGCTGACCATGCCTGTAGACTGGCCACCTCACTTACCTGATCAGTAGGCTGCCCCCCCATCCCTCACTTACCTGATCTGTAATCTGCCCCCCATCCCTCACTTACCTGATCTGTAGGCTGCCCCCCATGCCTCACTTACCTGATCTGTGATCTGCCCCCCATCCCTCACTTAACTGATCTGTAGGCTGTCCCCCCTTTCCTCACTTACCTGATCTGTAGGTTGCCCCCATCCCCTCACTTAACTAATCTGTAAGCTGCCCCCCCATCCCTCACTTACCTGATTTGTAGGCTGTCTGTGCAGTATGGGAGTTGCTGGCTGCACTCTGTGCTGCTCCCCTGCGGATTCAGTCAGGAGAGAGAAGCAGGGATAAGATGTAGCTTCCTATCCCTGCCTCTCTCCACACACAGCGCCAACTACTGGCTGGCACCGATATTGCAGTGTATTCTCAATTCCATAAGAAAAATACCGGCACAAGCTGAAAAATCCAGTGGGGATGGGGGCAAGTTCCCACCTTTCCCCCTTGTGGATGCCCATACTTGGTATGCTTTTTCTCTGCTGACTGTCAGGTGCAAAGGACACAGCTTATAACAATGATTGACAGAGAGCTAAGATGGAGGCGCACATTTGTATGATAAAGAGATGTGGATTTCTACAATTACGTTTTTCACACACCTCTTGTACTTATTTATGAAATATAGCAAATAGTAAACATTATATTAAAAACCCTGGCAAGTGACAGTTTCTTTAAAGGAACATGCATAACTTGAGAATTTTTTTAATCCAGCTTTTACACAGATATACATAAAAAATTTGGTATTTGGAATCTGTGGAAAATTTGGAATCTGTGGAAAAAGCAAGTCTTATGGCTTGACTGGTGCGTGTATTTGTGTTTAGAAATGTATTAACTATGCACTTAAAATAAAGCAAAACAACTTTGAAATGTATCTGATAAACATTTATAAACTATTCGAATGAGACAGGTTTCTCAACACGATGTATGTCTCTTTAACGTTGTGTAAAATCTATCAGACATATCTTATCCACTGTAACTGTACTTATTATTATACACTATGATTTGAGAGGAATCTGGATATATAAATTAGCATTCATAGGGATACAACTTTTATTACCCAACATGCAACATGGATATAGGACCATAGAGCTGAAATTCTGTGTGTTTCTGCAAGGTCAGATTATTCAGTGAAAGCTATTTGAGCCAAGCAGGGATTTTTCCTCTCTAAGGATCAGGTGAAGCTTTGAATTTGGATGATGTCCAGATTGGATTGTAGGCTACATTCCTGGATTTAGATCAAATTACACACTTTAAAGTGGGTCAAAGGAAATATACAGCGAATACATTGCTTGAAATCTAGCTCCCTCTGGTGGTATATATGTGCGCTCATATTTACCTATGAATGTTCAGGGCCAGCCAAATTCATAGTTATATAATATTACAACATGCATGGGGCCTATTAAAGGATCTAACCTCCTAAAATGTCAGAAAAGTTTAGTTTAAATAAATGCTGCTCCTAGTCTGTGGGTTGCTCTGGTAGATTGTTTTTTCTTTGGTTACATAATCTTTATTGCCAATATATGTATGAATTTGACACCAGTGCACACTTACAAAAAGAGACATTCAGTTGACAGCAAAATAAAAAAAGTACTTAGTGGCACATAAAAGATTAAGCAGGATCCTGATAGTTTTTAACACATAAATATTTGGTGTGAATCCAAACCTGCCTCTTGCTAGCACAGTGTTGTTCAACTTCTTTGGAGTAGAGGGCCAAATGTTGACAGAGTAACATGCCAGAAGGTCACACTCAAGAAGACACTAATTCTCCAACAATACCCAGTGTCAGCCTGATTTCTCCTTTACACCACCAGTATCATTTGTCCGTGTGAATCATACTTTATTTATTTATTTTTAAAATTTCTTTATTTTTTCATTCCACATATCAGTGATACATGTCTTGCGTTGAGCTGCTCGGGGTGTAAATGCCACAACCTTGGATGGATCCATTCGGGATAGGCTTGAGGGTGCCGATTGAGGAGGTTCAGCAATGCCCAGCTTGCGTAAGTACGAGGTGTATCTATTGGAATGCCCCTGTGGTCTAAAATATGTGGGATGCACTAAGAGCAATTTACACACACGTGTTGAAGAACATATCAGGAATATTAAAAGACAATTGGAAGGGCACATTGTATCACAGCACTTTAAACTAAAACATAACAGTGACCCTAGAGACCTCAAATTTATGGGCACCCGAAAAGTCATAGGTAATTGGCGTGGAGGGGATTTTAATAAATGTCTAGGACAACATGAAATGAAGTTGATATTCAACCTCGGGACCTTACAACCCCGAGGTTTGAATATCGACTTCGAATTATGCCATTTAATGTAATTATTAGCATAGAATTCAACTTTTAGAACTTTTTAGAACCATTCATATCACACCTCACTTTTGGCTTAATAATTATCTTCAAATTAATTGCTCCCACTAATATACCCATAGGGTTAATATTTTCCTGGAAGTTTTTAGAACAAACTTATTCCTGCATATACAAACGTTATTCTCTATCATAGGTGTGCGCACGGGGTGTGCCTTGGCACACCCTAATCCCCGTGGCACGCCTATGGATTGAGACCAGCAGGGAAGATCTCAGGATCTCCCCTGTAGGCTCATGCAGAGCTGGCGCTATCCGAGCACCGGCTCTGCTCTAAGCCTCCATGGGCCGGTGGGGAGATCAAAGATCTACCTCACCGGCCCACAGCAGGTTCGAGGGAGGCAGGAGAGGACCCGGCAGCCACACGCAACCAGTCACACACACAGTTACAGGCAGACATTCACATACACAGTTATAGGCAGTCACACGCACACACAGTTACAAGCAAACACACACACAGTTACAGACAGACACACACACAATTTTCATTATGGGCACTGGGGGAGCAGTGGATTCACTCCTACTTGCTTCTCTCTTGGTGGGCAGCAGTAATTGGACAGCAAATTCAGGATGCATTTAGCTTTTCCCCTGACCATTAAGCTCAGCCCACATCACATTTAGCTCCACCCACCTCCCTTACTTGTTGGTGTCTTTTGAAACTATCACTTGTTGGGGAAAGTATAGCGTAAGCCCTAGTGTCCGCAAAAGCAGGTCACGAAGGAACTAATTCAGGATGGTGGGACAGGACCTGAAAATCATACTGTTCCGCCAAAATCATGACAGTAGGGAGACCTGTTCATCACTAGCAGCTTGCACTACTCCAGCATGAAGTGCAGCATTTATATCTTTGAACAAGAAAAGGAAACACATACATTTTAAAGCCTTGTTTATTGAAGGCTCACATTTGCAAAATTGATGCCTGGAACAAAACAGTATACAGCAGATTCCATTATAGGTGACAAAATGATGCTCCAGCTCTATGATGTAGTGAAGCTCCGTGTGTATCTGTATTTCTTATAACAAAACTGTTATAGCAAATAGGATCTACAGAAGGTAAAAGTAAGTAACAACAACCTGACTGTACAAGGTACCAAGAACATTCATGACAAGTCTATGAGTTACCCTCCGCTTAAAATGAGGATTCTGGGTAATGACATTTAAAAACACTATAAACGTTATACAAAAAATGTCAAAGTGATTATTTTTAAAATAACTTTTATGAATCATTTCAGAGAACCAATCTCTTTTCATATATTTAAGGAACCCGTAATATTGTATATAATAAATACAGTGCAAGAAATAAAAACAGCTGTGTTTTTATTTACCTTGTTCTGCTATTGAAACTATGCATGTGAAGCTGCTACATACATTTAGTATATGCTAACATATACTCACATACTTAAACAATATGGCTGCCATACATACAGACATACAGCAGATTTAATATTCATGCCTGTTTTGTGGTATATTAAGTTGGAACTGAAAAAAATGAAAGGCAGTGACCATGAATACAACTTTAAATGTCCTTAATTTACATATGAGCCCATTTAGGATTTAACGTAAGTCAATATTTTTTAACCTCATGTATATCAAAACCTTTCTCTATCATGTAATGTCTAAGTACATGTAGAAAACCTTTAATCACAGTAAAGTGATAAAACTTGTCATAAAAATAAATTGCAGCCACGTTAAATTTAATAATTTTAGTGTACATTACATTAGTGCAAAGATGAAACTTTTAGTGTTTTTTTTATGGGGGAGATGACTGAAATAAATGGTGTTAATTTCTCAGTAATAGAGAGAGAAAATTGGGAGTTATGTATAAACTAGGCACATAATAAAAAATAAATAAAAACTAAACCAAGAATGTGCTAGAATATTATTTGTCGACGTTTCTCCATCATAACCTTGAAATTCCTACAAAAATGTTTACACTAATAATGTAATGTCATTTAGTTTTCTTGTATTTAGGAGTTTTGTTTTATGCATTCTAGAATACTTTTTTGCTAAAATATTAAACTTTTAAAGTAGTTTTCAAGAGACTACTGGTATTTATGTACATTGTCATGCTTTGGGGTCCATTCACTGTGGTGAAATGCAAACCAAATTGCAAAATTCAAGTTAAAAAAGCTAGCCAAAAATGCTTCAACTCCGCTATAGTTACAGATTGGCTATTTTAGCATACATTTTATCATTGAATTCACTTAATTCAGGTGTTTAGTGAATTTTCCATTTGTCGATTGTTCCTTATTTATTTATATTATCTCCACTGAGGCCAAAACATTTTTACATATTTTTCTTCTGCCATAGCCCATTAAAGTTGAACTGTCCCCTTCTGGGGATTTTGAATAATTTGCAAACAATCCAGTAGCCTGGTAGCAAAGGTGAGTTTAACTTATTTGAACCTGTCCCTCGCAGGCTCGACCAACCTTTTGTGGCCGGTCCCCATCTCCACCTGGAGCTTCAGCATGCTTGCATGTGCGAGAGTACAGCATTTAAGGACAGTAGCATGTTTAAGGGGAGCAGAGACAATAAAGAAAGGGAGCAGTTGAAGATATGCATGAAGGATGGCACAAGGCAGGGGGAGAGAAATCTAATAAGGCATGACGCGGCATGATCAAGGGGACAAGTGGTGGGGCAAGAGGAAAGGAGAAGTGCAGCTACCTCCTGTCCAGTTGCTGTGAAGAAAGCCTGAAGGGTAGGATAGACAAGGTCAAAGTGTGGTTGAGAGAGAGTAATGAAGGGGGGAGAATTCTCTCCATAAATGATTATTTTTCTTAGTAATAGAGCACGCAAAGCTATCGGCTGAAAGGTTAATTTGGGGGAGGAGTAGAGAAAAAAAAAAAAAGAAAGTTGAAGGTATCAAATAGATGCCTGAGATTATGGAAGCATCAACTAATGAGAGATGAAAAGTATGATTGTTTAGCAATGGTGAGGATGAACACAAAATTAATTTATAATGAAGAAAGTCAGATAAGGTGCAAGGTTTCCTCTAGCAGCGTCCCACTGAATGGGAGCATCTCTGCAGGCAGCGGGTCGATTTAGTGTACCACGGTTGGAGGTACACCCTCATTGAGGTTTATGTTTGGAGCAGGAATGCAGCATCCAGGGCAGAGGTGAGGGTAGTGTTATAGGAGGAGATAGCCAGAGAGGGACAGGAGAAAGTAGGGATAGATGAGTTGAGAGTGGAAATCAGCTGATAGTTGCTGGGGCTCAAGATAATTCAGGTTCCTCTTGAGTTGAGGAAGGTTAGGCTGAGAATGTTGTGTAAGGGGGCTCTCAAGAACAAATGATAAGAGGTGGTGATTTGACAGAGGAAATGGAGTGGTACAGTAATTAGAAATCGTGCACATAACTGCAAACATCATTTCAAGGGTTTTGCCAGCTAAATGCGTGGGAGAATTCAAGAGGTCAAGGGTGGGTCAATTGGAATATTACCCCAAGAATTATAGAAATAATATTACTTGAAAGGAAATAGGGCAGCCAGGCATCAAAATTGTCAAACAAGAGAAAAGGGGAACCAGTGAGGTGGTAAATAATGGCAATGTTTGCAGAGATGGGTTTAAACAGGTGAATTGAGTGAACTTCATACAAGGAGAAAGAGAGGGAAGAGGGGATGGGTAGAGGTTTGAAGGGGCGGTGGGGTGAAAGCAGAAACCTTACCACCACACTTACTATCAGATTGTCTAGTGGGTGTGAGTTAATGAAAATACAATGATAACAAGGCAGTGTTTAGGTTAATGCAGCAAGTTTAGGGAAAGTGAGATTAACAAATCATGGACAGCGGTTGATTAAGTGTTGTTGCACATAGAAACATAGAATGTGACGGCAGATAAGAACCATTCGGCCCATCTAGTCTGCCCAATTTTCTAAATACTTTCATTAGTCCCTAGTCTTATCTTATAGTTAGGATAGCCTTATGCCTATCCCACGCATGCTTAAACTCCTTTACTGTGTTAACCTCTACCACTTCAGCTGGAAGGCTATTCCATGCATCCACTACCCTCTCAGTAAAGTAATACTTCCTGATATTATTTTTAAACCTTTGTCCCTCTAATTTAAGACTATGTCCTCTTGTTGTGGTAGTTTTTCTTCTTTTAAATATAGTCTCCTCCTTTACTGTGTTGATTCCCTTTATATATTTAAATGTTTCTATCATATCCCCCCTGTCTCGTCTTTCCTCCAAGCTATACATGTTAAGATCCTTTAACCTTTCCTGGTAAGTTTTATCCCGCAATCCATGAACCAGTTTAGTAGCCCTTCTCTGAACCCTCTCTAAGGTATCAATATCCTTCTGAAGATACGGTCTCCAGTACTGTGTACAATACTCCAAGTGAGGTCTCACCAGTGTTCTGTACAATGGCATGAGCACTTCCCTCTTTCTACTGCTAATACCTCTCCCTATACAACCAAGCATTCTGCTAGCATTTCCTGCTGCTCTATTACATTGTCTGCCTACCTTTAAGTCATCAGAAATAATCACCCCTAAATCCCTTTCCTCAGATGTTGAGGTTAGGACTCTATCAAATATTCTGTACTCTGCCCTTGGGTTTTTACGTCCAAGATGCATTATCTTGCACTTATCCACATTAAATGTCAGTTGCCACAATTCTGACCATTTTTCTAGTTTACCTAAATCATTTGTCATTTGGCTTATCCCTCCTGGAACATCAACCCTGTTACATATCTTAGTATCATCAGCAAAAAGACATACCTTACCATCAAGACCTTCTGCAATATCACTAATAAAAATATTAAAGAGAATGGGTCCAAGTACAGATCCCTGAGGTACCCCACTGGTGACAAGTCCAAGCTTCGAATATATTCCATTAACTACAACCCTCTGTTGCCTGTCACTCAGCCACTGCCTTACCCATTCAACAATATTTGAATCCAAACTTAAAGATTGTAGTTTATTGATAAGCCTTCTATGTGCAACAGTGTCAAAAGCCTTACTGAAATCTAGGTAAGCAATGTCTACTGCACCACCCTGATCTATAATTTTAGTTACCCAATCAAAAAAATCAATAAGATTAGTTTGGCATGATCTCCCTGAAGTAAACCCATGTTGTCTCTGATCTTGAAATCCATGTGTTTTTAGATGTTCATCAATCCTATCCTTTAACATGGTTTCCATCACTTTCCCCACTACTGAAGTAAGGCTTACTGGCCTATAGTTGCCCGACTCCTCCCTATTACCTTTCTTGTAAATGGGCACAACATTCGCTAACTTCCAATCTTCTGGGACTACTCCTGTTAACAATGATTGGTTAAATAAATCTGTTAATGGTTTTGCTAGTACACCACTAAGCTCTTTTAATAGCTTTGGGTGTATTCCATCAGGTCCCATTGACTTATTTGTCTTTACTTTTGACAGTTGAAATAGAACCTCTTCCTCTGTAAACTCACGTGTAATAAATGACTCATTTATCCTTTTTCTCAACTGAGGTCCCTTTCCTTCATTTTCTACTGTAAATACAGAACAAAAATATTCATTGAGGCAGTCAGCCTGACCTTTATCCTCTTCCACATAGAGCATGCATTCCAAAGGACAGCGCAAAAGGATGACTTAGTGGGAGTGTATCATGGGATGGGTATTAAGACTGGTGTGGTTTATGATAGCACAAAGTAGATTAGCAGAGGAGGGATTATTGATCATTCAGAAATGCTAACTTTGCATAGGGCTTTGGTTTCTAGCTCGGAATCCTGAGTGCAAACTTATGAATGTTGTTTGGGGCACAGGGTGTAAAAGTCTTGGGTTAAATAAAATCTTCTTATGGATGGAGAGGCATGCAGATATTGAGGTGAGAACAAATCCGCAGAGTGGGGATATATGTAATGGTACAATCTCTAACACCAAGGGCTTGTTTACACACTATCACTAAGGGCTTGTTTACAACCTTATCACTACCTTTCACTGGCCAGCCACTAGTTGCTAAAATGCCTGGTGCAACTGCTAGTAAATAGTGACTGCTTTCATGCAAAATTTTAAGAGAAGCAACAGGGATTTACTGGCAGTCACTACTGAAAGGCATTCACTAAATAGTGGCAAACGACAATCACTATTCTCATCTTAGCAACTACTTTCTGACTTTTTTCAAAATCTGACCCTAGTAATTACCGGCTACTACCCCACAAAAAAAATTATATCAGCTTTTGGCATAGTGTAAAATGTCTATGACAGCTAAATCTTCATACATCTTCATACATCCTATTGAAATAAAAAATATTTTTCTAGCCACGTTGCGAAACTTTATCGGCCAGCCACTTCTTGCCTGTTGCTATTGGCCACTTAGGGTGAAGTGCGCATGTTCATGTTCGTTTCTGTGCTTTACCACCAAGTCACTAATCACTAATCTGCAAGTGATTGGTATCTGTGGCGGCACCAGTTATTATAGATAAAGGCTATGCAATTTTAGCAACAAGAGCAGAAACCTGGTAGTAATTTGTAGCTACAATACAAGATACGGGCTTGTTTATCAACAAGATTGTAAACAAGCCTGAGGTGTGATCTATATTAATATTTTATGAATTAAATTATACAGTATGTATAAAGATGTTTTAATGGGCTTTGTATAGGAGAAAAAACAATGATGCATGTTTGCAACTTTTTCTTCTCAAATCAGTGACTTTTTATTTCAACTTTTCTTATAGTGCAATTGACACCAGACACAATAGCAAATAACTGTTGTAAAATAAAATGATCTAAAAAAGTTGCAAAAGTGTGTGTATTTTTTACTTACTCTGTGATAAGATAAGTATACAATAATCAGATACTTTTCTACTTTACTGCAATTAGCACATAGATATCTGCAACTGCGCCATTTTTCTCATAAAACCATTTTTATACATAACCCTCAATATTTCAGCTATAATTAAACAGATAGATGGATTTATCAAAATACTTTATCAAATATCCAAAAACTGCTGCAAAGTTATAAAAACTCCAGCAACCGCTGCTGATTCTATTGATTGGTTGGTAACCGCACAACTTTGATGAATTTGCGCCACAATTTAGAACACAACACTTTTTTTCAAATTTTGATATTTTATTTCAATATAATTATGAAAATTAGTTCCCCAGTAGTCCATGAGAGATTCACTAATTTGGATATTGATGTCAAACTCTACTTATTAAATCTCCTGGACAAACTTTGCCTGTCATACAAGCAGAGCTGTAGCTCTTTCGAAATACTAACTGAGTGTAAATGTATGAATTCAAATTTTAAAATGAAGGCATCAGCCAATGTATTTATGTTGCTCTTTCAAGAATCAGTTTCCAATGGAAAATTGCAAGTTGCAAAGTAATGGTTCATAAAACGAAAACTACCCTGTGAGCACCCTTAGTGTCAAGATCTTGCAATTTTGTAATACTTTTTTGCATGTGTTTAACAGTATTAACCAAATTACTGCAAAGAGTATGATGGGATGTGTAATAGACTCTCTTGAGATGTATTCGTGAGATAAAAATGCTAAATTACAGGAATAGGATATTTTTGATGTTGTTGAAATATACCAAATGAAACAAAAGAAAAAACAATATTAAAAAAAAATCATAATGAACGTGTAACTGGCACAGAGAGGATAGGCCAGGATGTAATGATGGGCAAGGGTTACTGCACCTATTAAGTCCTACTTTGCTCCTTAATGTGGGTTCCTTAGCAATGGACACACTCCATCAGATACATTTATTTCATATTCTATGAGCCATGTACAGGTACAGTGCATGTATCACATTTAAACCCTTCAATTTCATTCTTCAAATATTAAGAGTTGCCAAATAGATATTGAGAAGACCTTTACGGTTAACTTCCTCTTGTTAGGTCCCAGTGTAGTTCATTGAGAAATGTGGGTCCAAATGAAACTTTGGACATGCACTAAGAAACTGTCCCCTCGTTGTGGCTTTGTATCAATAATAAAACATCTTCATTGCTTAGTAGGGGGCCATCACTCTGACAACTGTTTGGTCAGCACACATCTTTAGTGCTCTTACGATACACAGTAACATATAACTCACTGAAGGTAAAGTAAGGAAGAAGATTGGAAGAAGAGTTGAGGCAGATCTTCCAACAGGCGTGCAGTTAGACTGCCGATCTTCTGACATTTCACTGTCCATTTGGGGGAAGGTGCAGACCTGTCAACAGGATGATTACAGAAAGAAGAAGCTATAGAAAAGGAGAAAGAATAATAATGAGGTAATTGGGATATGGCTGGAGCAAGACAGGCTTGGAGTTGGATTGTTACACGTAGCAGTTAGAAAGGTGCCATGAAGGGAAAGCAAGAAGATATTAGGTGGGGCTTGTATGGACCTGGTGCTGTAGTTTTTACATGGCCAGATGTTTTAATGTATGAGTTCACATACATATATAGCCAACATTATAAAATATTCCCCAAAAATTCAAAATTTTAAAACAAATTCTGTAAACTTCCAGTTTGGCAATTTTGGCATAGAATTTGAAATGCTTTCCCTAAATTGTGATAATTAACAATGACTGCTATTAGGACACGGGCTGATATTCTCTAACGGGCACACAGAATATTTTTAAGTTCTTTCATCATTGCTTGTAGTTGGGAGATAAATATAGTGCCAACTACTCACTTTGCAAAGGCCAGGTTATGGCTGCGACTCAAATCAATGACAGTGTAAAATAAAAGTTAATGATACCAACTGCAGCAGGTTCATACAAAATCCTCTAAAGTTGTAAGTATTTCACAACATAACAACCTGTGAAATGCCATCAGAATGTTTGTATAGATTAAGTATTTACTAATCTTTCACCAACATGTAATTAATGTGAATGCACATCATTTTAACACCAGGGTCAACTGGACATCCAATTGCTTATCCTATTTAATCTACCTCGGCTACTCACTAAAGCAGGTGATGGCAACCTTTGGCACTCCCAATGTTGTGGACTGCAATGTCCCTGATGCTTTGCCAGCATTATGGCTGTAAGTGCATTATGGGAGATGTAGTCCACAACATCTGGAGTGCTGAAGGTTGTCTACCCTTACACCAAAGTATGAATTCAAAGTGAATTTCAAATTCTGAAATGAAATATTTGGAAAACGTCCCCCAGTCAGCTATGTTTTCACTATAATGAATCAGCCTATTTATCTGCAATTTACTTTTTTGGTATATACTGCACTTACAATGGTTCTTATTACTATATACCATTTTCAAAGACTAACCTTACTTTCCCCAGCAAAAATGGTGCTCTAAGTGCTATCAGGGTTATTCACTAAACTGTGAATCGCTGGAAATTGACCACAGAATGTTTGTTCCAATAAAGTTTGTTTTGACCAGAAATTCCAGTCAATTCATGGTTTAGTAAAACATCCTGTATATGAATAGACGTTTACATGAATGAAAACAGAGTGAAAATGTCCATACAAAGTAGTAAACATAAAATGTCAAATTAGAATGATGGGATAATCACGTGCACACACAGAGACAAAATATTTTGCAATAAAGTTTTATGAAGCATTTATGAAACAACAGGTAACATCTGTTCCTCTCCAAGATGAAATACTAGTGGTATTAGGCTTATCAGTGAGGGGTAAACCTTCTTATATTCGGAATGTCAGAAGTGTGTGTGTTGTATATATATAAAATTAAGGATCTCTGCCTACTTAAATACAAAGAACTGACAAAGGAATTGCAAATTTTATGCTAAATCACAAAAATAAACTTACATTTTTTTTACAAGGCTATCTCAGCAAACAGATAACAAATTGGGATACTGTTGCATTGTGGTGTGCTTAACATGATATGGCCATATGATGTAATTGAATCCCCATATTTCTTTGGTGAGATAAGAAGTCTTGTAAAATTGTATTTTGTGTGTGCGCTTAATGTGTATTTTGTATACATTTTGGTCTCTACAGCAAACTGCTTAGAAATGCAGCGACGCTCTACAATTCTCTCTTTTTTTATATTCTCTTTATTTATATATAATCAAGGCCCAATTAAGGTGTCTGTAGGTACACAGACATACATATACCTACACACATACATACAGACACCTTGATTGGACGTTGTTGATCTCCATGATATCTCAATACGATTGCTAAAGTACATTGAGTGCTCTTGTTTCACCCATTAAAAGCACTGAATCTATATTGTAACATTAGATTTAAAAAATCTACAAAAATTCATGTCATTGATAGTTTATCTATTTAATGATCTCCCTGTTATTGTAACGATCAGATGATTTCTTATGACAGGGATAATGTCACAGAGCAGATGTCATTCAGTTACTTCCAGGATTTATAGTGCTTTAGAAAGTTCCCAGTGTGGTTGCTCAGAAACCTAAACAGGCAGACAGTTAGGAATGGTTCTGGAGCACTTCCTGAGAATATATGTAAGTTGCCTTAAGTGTGGTAGACATCTACATCACTGTGAAAATTGCTCAAAAAAATAAGGGGCTCATATTTATCACCAGTGTAAAGGTCTCTATGCACCAACACATCTTAAGTGCACGGGGTAGTTTTTGGCCTCATATCAATGCTGTATGTTTTTCCCTGTTTAAATATATTTCATTTTGAAAACTAACACAACTAACCCCTCCCCCCTCCCCCCCCACACACACTTCGCTGCTTTTCACAAAACATCTTCCTGATTGGAAGTAGGCAGAACATCACATTTATTTTAACAAAACTAAAGATATTTGAATGAGGGAAAACATGCAACATTTAAACAAGGCCAAACCCAAATGTTTATTGTGTTGGTGCCTGGAGTGTCCCTTAAAGCACACATTATATCTACTCTATGAAATTAATACACTTTCATATACAATATTGTATTCATTGTTCTGAAACAGTTTACATTCCTTTTTGTTATTTCTTGTCTTTACTAACATGTTATTTGGTATATTTTAATTGAAAATAGTAATTATCCCCTTTAGGCAAGGAAACACGTCTTTTCTGCAGAATAGTTCCAAGATAACATTTGTGAATGAAATGTTCTATTTTGTTTAGAACCTCTCAGGTCGCAGGGGATACACGTAAAAACCAACCACACACACACCAAAAAATGGAAACACACGTTTTAAGTTAAAAGGTATAAAGTATATTTTTGTCTGAGTGCTATAATGTCCTCTGTCTCTCATACAAAAAATTTATTCAAAATAAGTTGTATAGCATTATATTTGAAACATGAAATGTTTTGACACCAGAATAAAAATTATAACACATGACAAGTGTCTATCATATACATTCTAGACATAATACTGCGTTAACACGGCATGTTGGATACAATTTATTTTTTAACGAAACTGACACATGGGATACTTTAAAAAACAAACAAAAACATAACATTCAAAATTCTAAAGCTACAATTTAAGGCAATGGTATGTATAATATATATATATATATATAAAAAATAAACTGTTACATTATTCCTACTGCGCTGTTCACAGCTTCATGTTCAGAAATATTTTTTAAAAATATAACGGCGCTTTTGGTTAAGTTGCATCCACAAGCTTTACAAATGATATACATCCTAATCCAAATGCACTGCAAATGCAAGACAAGACACAATGGAATGAGCTTGACAATGAAGGGATGTGACGACCCATGAATATGCTCCCATAGTTACCGAGGAAAGAGAGATACCTAATAAGCAGAACAGTATCTAAACTGTGAATGTTTGTGCCAGGACATTGTAAGCATCATTAAAGTGGAAGGCAGGTTTGTTTTATTTATTTTTTTGCAAGCTATGAATTTTTACCATTTATAGCTAGCAATAGCCTGTGCCATTCTGACAGTAACTCTCATCACTCAAAGCCAGCCTAAATAGAGGTGATTTAATGCATGGTAAGATCGCTTACTATTTATGGTAGACTATATTCTGAGTACCTGTATATATTGACAATAGACAGCCCTTTTGTACACTTTGGGGTTTATACACTAACTGGGAATTATGGAGATCGGACAAGAGGGATTGCACATTGTATAGACCAAGACAGGAGAGCCAGAAAAAAATTTGACCCAAAACTTTTTTGTTACAATTCTTCTGCTTTTTTGGTCTAAACTTTGTAGTTTCCTATTTATTATGCCTACTTATATCTCTGCCTACTTAAATATAAAGAACTGACAAAGGAATTGCAAATGTTATGCTAAATCAGCCATTTTGGCCTAAATTTGGGCCTAAATTTTGCAATTCGCTTGTCGTCCCCACAATACCTGGTTTAATTAACAGTCACTTTTATTACACATAGATCTTCTACTAAGTAATTGCGATGCAAGGCTAAAAGACTATTACTATCCGAATATGTGTGCCTGAGCTCAAAATATAATCAGATACTCAACGATGTTGATAGCTCAGCTATATCCTTAATCTATCTACTTATATAGACCGTTATTATTTGAATGCAATCACAACAGAGGGGCAAGATTTGTGACATTTTTGTTTACTGAAACCTTGAGCCTTGTCATTTGTTTTATTTGTTATTTAATTTTCAAGATTAAATTTCACAGTGTTTACAAAATGCTATCCCTTGTGTTTCAAAGAACATTTCATAGTGCTGTTAATTAATGTATTAACAAAAAACCACCTATATTCAGGCTTCTTATATACTTACATGCAGAGGAGGGAAAGCACATCCATATACATTCGAAAGGAAGCCATTTATTCTGTGCACAGCCAAGGACTACTGTAGAGAAAGTATAGATACAGAAAGAGAGACATACAGGTGCAGCAGTTTTAAGCTAAACATGGCCCAGGGATAGAGTTCTCATTGGTATAAATGTTATGACCTCTTTTACTATCCTCTCCAGTACCTCCCTTTATCCATATTTTAAGATATTTACTATTGCAGATACCAGGTGTGAGTGAATTGCTTGCTTTTCTACAAATAAAAGTATTGCAAAAATAAAATAAAAAAATAATAAAAAAAATATCAATAGCATTTAAAAGCAAAATGTCACAAGAAAAACAAATTGCTTGATTCAAATAGGATGTATGGGAATTATATTTCAAAAATGTACGTTATACTGTAAAGGCACTTAGTGACTTGGCAATTAGATTTCAGTATGTACTTTATATATGGTACATGCTATACTCCTCCAATACCTTATAAGTATATGAATTACACATAGAAAGTTTAGATATATCTATTTGCATCTGCCCCACTATGTCCATTTCAATACACTAGATACAGTATGGCAACCACACATAAGGAAAGTGTACGAGATACTCAATTTAGGGGATAAAAGGAAAACAAAACCATATATAATAACTCAAATGAACACAAAATAAGAAAATAAGGTGCCAAAAAATTGTGTATGGTCACAAAGTAACTAAAAACAAGAAACAAAGGATTTAACTGTCTGACATTGGAGGCTGTACACCCAGTGATATTTATGGCTATTTAAATATATATATATATGCTTAGTTGGCATATTAAGGTTTGATGTCTAAATCCAGTTTTAGCAAGTGCCAAGAGAAAAAAAAAGTATGCTCACAGACAGCTAAAAAACACACAGAACATTACAAGCATACAAACTTCAGCATAATGAGTGATTGGATGCAAGTCATGGTAAGGAAACTTAGTGTCCATTCACAATCCTATTCTGCTTTTAGCACGTAGTTGCCTATATTCCTGGTGTTAATTTATTTACCCATTTATCAATCTTCCCCATCTCTAGTTGTATTGACCCAATTTTCTTCCGACCCAGAGCCATGTTTAGGCAGTGAAAAAAATAAACTCTGCTTTTATGTCAGAGCAAAACCAAGCGGAGAAAATGCATTTAAGATGCATTCAAGCACATTTGCTTCCAGGGTGCAGATGTGGGAATGGCTGCAGGCAAAAAGGAATGTGCAGATTAATAGGTGGTGCGTGTCTCTGTGAGCTGGATTAAAAAAACAAAAAACTATAATGAAAAAAAAAAAAAGATAAATAAGAGACAGGCTACCTAGCTATAAGCAGAAGGGAAACGGGCAAAACAGCATCAGGAGAGAAAGAAATCCCAAAGTCAAAAGGTAAACATGGGTCGCCACTTCTTGGAATGTATCAGAAAGGGCAAGGCGCTGTCCAGGAAGGAAAAGGCATATAAAAATAAAAAGGAATACAAAATACAAGTACGTCAGTTTTCTTACCACGTATGCCATTTTAAAAAATAAACACGCTTGGGATGTTCATGTCAAGAGCTTACATGTTCATTTGAAGAGAATGGCAATGGATACTGAGAGGGAGGGAGAGAGAGAGGAAGGGGGAGAGAATCAGGAAGCTCTTTGACATACCCGCACGGATTTCCTGCTCTTGGTAGTAACATACAGATGTGAGTACTGCTAAAAAGATATTTATTGAAACACATTTACACTTACACATAAAAGAAAAGGTCCTTGTTGCTTTGTAAGCCAGTTGCCTTGCCAAAACCCATAGTGCTTTACATTGAAAACATCCTACCATGATTAGCCATTAGATCGCCCAAGGTGTGAATCTACTGCATTATACTGGTCCAGGGATGTCTAACCTTGATATTGCAGGTGTTGGTCAGCCATATCTGCAGTGCCATGATTAGCCATCAATGGGCTAGTATTTGCCCAGAAAGTACTTAAAGCAGTGCTTGACACCCTGCCTAGCACAATGATTATATAAAAGGTCTTGCCAAAACAGCACATTTTATTAAATAAAGCAAAGAAAAGGGGTTTATTAAACAGCATTTTCCCTTGTTTCTGCATATTAATCAGCAGTAAATAGTAAAGCATTATAATTGTATTTGGTTGTCTATTTCGATTCAGCCTCTTCTAACCAGTGTGGAACATTTTCCATTGGGCCAATGTCAAAGGGTTTCAGCAAAAGACAAGTCTGATGATTGTTGGAATGGGTCACACTGGCCTCTGTCCAAAACCTTTCAGAGATTGAGGGGAAGAAAATTAAGGCTGTCACGGCCTAGTAATGGAAAGTTATCCAGACTAATTCATGAAGAGCAAAGCTTAAAAATTGAAATAAACTTGGATACAATTTTATTAAGGCATTATTGCAGCTGCATGGTATTATCTCTGAACAGCACCATGAATTCAGCTTTACAAAGACTAAATTTAGTTTTGGTCAGTCTTAAATATTCTGGACAAGCATGGAGTAAAGGCATGATATAAGCATGTATTAAAGGCATTGGGTTACCAACAGTGAGAGTACACTTTAAATGGTGCTGTCTGAATCGATTACATTTGCTCAAGTGATTTAGTCATTCTTAACCAGGGATACCAATTCGTAGCTATCCAGCTGTCAACTGCCAACTAGAGTCAAACGGCTGGACAGCTAACCGTGAATACCCCTTTTCACAAAACAAATGTAGTTTTGATCCATAAATAATAATAAAGTGTTAGGCAAATCGTTATCAGCAATGTGAAAGGCCCACGTTGCTGCAATTCGTTGCAGGCCAGGCTTGGCAACATTCGCTTCCCAGCAACAAACAGTCCGAGTGCACGCAGTTTTTTTTCCTCCCCCCCACGTGCAGCCAAACATGATGCATTTAATGAATGATTAGTGATCTGTGTCGTGTAACACAAAATGGCAGGGACACATTACTGCATAAAGCAGGGAAATGCAGGAACATCCTTGGCTGGCCAGACTTTATGTGAAGCTCGCACTGCAAGTTAAAAGAAAAAAAACAAGAACACACAACACAAACACAAAAAAAAAACAAAAAAAAACAAACAAACAAAAAAACAACACAACACATACAGAACACCCACATTAGAAATGGAAAACAACAAAATAAAAAATGAATTAGAAAAAATATATATCAGAGGTTCAGCATCTTTGGGGTAGATGCCCATGCAATATTCACATGTAATAAAACATACTGCAAGAGGAAAAATACATACATTTAGAAGATTTAGGATCTCAGATCCATAGGGTCTATGTGTCAAGCTAACATTTATGTTCTTTCAATGTTATGTCAGTGGAAAAAGTTCGTAGAGCTTTAAATTACCTATAAATTGGAGGCATAAACATTCTTCAAAATAATAATTAAATGTGTCTGTTATGTTCCAGTGTGTTCCACGGGAACATTTTTTGGACACAAATGTTTGGAATTTTTCCAGCTTGACACTTAAACTTATAATACATATAAGCAAATAAATGTAAGCCCCCACCCCCTATAAAAAAGACTGATACATTATTAGGATATTCTTCCAGATTTCTTTTTTTTTTAACGAAGCAATTAGACTTTTTGGTTAGTAGAAGATGACTAATGCAATGGGTGTACAGCTGTAAAATGCTTCATCTTGTAGAGGTGCATACTCCGTGACAGTGTGATGTAAAACAACTAGATTTTTATTTATTTTTCAAACATCCATTAATAGTCAGAAACTGGGTGTCCTGACCTTATTTAATGAATCTTAAAAATGGACTGTTACCATTCTAGACAGCAGGGTGCTACACTGGCAAAACTAAACTGAATGCACATTCTATTGTTACATCGATAAGTCATAACTGGAGGAAAAGACTCCCAGACAGCGAATATGGCAATGCTGCTAAAGATTTAGATGAGACTTAAGGGCTAGGAGAAAACACCATTGCAGCAAACTACAATATCTTTACAGTGGTGAAATTAGCTTTTTTTCTTAGCAGAGGATATATTCTTTTTTATGTGTTATGATTTTTTTGCTACAATATAATGTACAGTTTAATGTAACTTTAACAAGTGAAGTCACAAATAAATCTATTTGAAGTCTTCTTTGTTGTGAAGGGATGTCTGTTATATCAATGTATCAATGTGCATGTAAAACAGAGGATGAATTCAGCTCTCTGTCTCGGATACTGGGTAATGTGATAAGTAATGCTTTAACAGATCAAATCTTGCTGCACATTCATTGTTGTGACTATGTTAGGAGCAAAGTATTGTACAGATGCAACATATAACATCAAAATGGTATAACAAATTGTTCAGGATCAAGTTTAGTACCTAATGCTGCAATATCACTTGAATCAACATAGATATAACATTAATAAACATTAAGAAGTGCATAGTATTTTAGTGTGTATTACTTTTCCTGGCCATACGTGCTTAAAGAATTTAGTTGATTTTTTTCTGTCTGCTTCTATTTCCAGTGATGCTAGGTGCTGACAATAAATTAGTTGCCATACCTGTAAGGTATTCACTATAGTGAGAATTCAAAGTGATTTTCAAATTTAAGATCACAATTGCTAAGTCAGCTATGGTATCAGTTTGGCCTCTCTGGTCCTACATTTGAAATTCACCTTGAATTCTCATTTTTGTAAATAGCCCTGTCAGTAGAAAAGACCACCAACGACATCTGGAAGTTGGACACTCCTGCTCTGTGCCAACTTGATGTTCTGATCTGTGTTTATCAATTCCACAGTAATTATTGGCCATATTCTACTAATTTTCTACAATAATTGTCATTCAGGCTTCTGCCCAAGTTGTGCAGCCAGTAAAGTTGTGTATACCAGGATATCACAATAGGGGCCTCTGAAAATGAATGGTTTCCAGTGTTCCATGCCAAGGATATATTCCCCATATTAATTGTTGATGGCAGAGTTCAGGAAAAGAATAAAACATTGTACACATTGTGCAGGAATTGACTCTCTATCCCCTGTCCATCATATTTATTACTGATCATGCTGGGCTAACATTCCTTTCTATTGTGTAAACCAGTAAGTGTTGACCTGTTTCATTCTGAGGCTTCTGAAGTGTTTCTGGCAATTAACTAAATGGACTTGGTTCTGTGAACACATTTCTTTTACATTCATACGCTTTGGTAACTGGCAAATATATACTTTGGACGAAATGTATCACATGTAGTGTAACTGAAGCATAATTACTATCTATACACGTGTATAAATGTGATTGAAATTACAAGTGTGGCAGCCGAATTAAAATCAAAAAGTGATTAGATGATTAATGAATGTCATGCGTTTTAGCTCTCTGTCGACAGGTATATGATATTATTTGCACAATATGAAAAATTGCAAAGCATGCGTAAAAAACCTACACTAAACCTAAAGGTATCTTTATGAATATATAGTAAATTCATACACCTTTATATTTAGCAAATATAAGGCCAAACAGATGGTGCTTAGCATTATAAAAAGCACATCTATTTATATATAATCCTATTTATGTCCCTTTTTTGTTATTCTCTTTGTGGCACTTCCGGCACGGTGCAAAAAAAAAGTGAGGAGCAGTGTGAGATGGGATCTGAGACCGCAATCACGGAATGTCAGTCACATGGCAAGTAAAACTAAGATAACATCCAGATAGATAAAGAGTTCTTGCCATCTGGCGTGACTAGGCATGGATGAAAGGAGATATATCCACAGGAGATTTTGTAACTCCAATAAGGGTCACTTTCTAAAACAACTATTAGTGTACTTTTTATTTAAATTTTTAACTGATCAGCATTTAGGATAAGTGCATAAAGTGGTGACAGCTTTGTTTGTTAATCATGCCTCGGGGCTGGCAGAATATCAACTGATATGTAACTCACAATAACCAATGTTATCTATGACTAGTATAAAGTAACACATTGAGCTTTACAATGTAAAACTCTTGAATATTCTATTTCCCATTTAATTTTGTTTTCCAGCCTAGTGTAATAATTTTGTTTGAGATTAGAACTTGTTGTTTTATCACTGCACAGTAATAAAAGATAGTAGTGAGTGTCTAAAGCAGGGGTCCTCAAACTCCGGCCCCCCAGATGTTGCTGAACTACAACTCCCATGATTCTCTGGCTATCTATGTAATTCAAAGAATCATGGAAGTTGTAGTTCAGCAACACCTTGAGGGCCACAGTTTGAGGACCCCTGGTCTAAAGGAACAATATGAATGAAAACATGTATGTATAGTTATAACTACCTATTTTAGTATACCCCCTGCCCCATGTGAGGGTATGAAAGGTGAGATGTACTTGTCTTTCAGGCCTCGCCACACCAGTCTTCACCAGAGACTAGTGCGCATGTGCACTTAACTCTCTAGTTATTGGGGTGGAAGTGCCTCTAGTGGCTGTCAGGTAAACAGCCTCTAGAGGTATGTAAACCCTGCAATGTAAAGATTGCTGTTCCTGCAGAGCGATATTGTTTTACATTGTGAGGTTAAACAGACACATGGCACCCAGATCACTTTATTGAGATGAAATGGTCTGAGTTCCTGTAGAGTTCCCTTAATCTGAATTAGATGTGTTTGTAAGTTAGTTTTTATGACAGAAAATGTACAGCAATATGTCACAAAGTATTGTGACAATATCAATCAATGGGTCATAGACTGTAAGCTCACTTGAGCAGGGTCCTCTTCAACCTATCATTCCTATAAATTGTCTTGTAATTGTCCTATTTATAGTTAAATCCCACCCCTCATAATATTGTAAAGCGCTATGGAATCTGTCGGCGCTATAGAAATGGCAATAATAATAATAAAGTTTCATAGACTGTATGTTATCTGAAATATCAAGCTTTCTAGCCAAATCTACAGCAATGGCCCACTCCCCAATCTGACATTTACACTATGGGATTTACACACTAAACACCACATTATAGTGAAGCAAAAATCAAACAATGAAGTCAGGCTAAAATAGCTGGTTTGGAAAATGTATCCAACTATTGTCACAGCTTGGCTACTTTGGTCTCATAATGGCAGTTTACAGGCTTATTCACTAAAGTAAGAATTCAAAGTGAATTCCTTCATAAAGGCCAAAGCAGATGAACTGGATGCATAGCCGACTTAGACAAGGTTTCCATTTCGGCTATTTTTACCTTGATTCTGAAATTCAATTTGGATCCTCATTTTAATTCACTATGCCCCTCGGTTGAAAGAAAATGCTTGAAGAAAATGTAGCGCATTTTAATACAGAGGATTAATTATTAAATTTGTATTTACCATGTCTTTTTTGTAAGAGAAAATATTTGTATAAGTTTGAAGCTATCCTGCAGTTCATTTTAGACATGAACTACTATATGTTAGTGCAGACAATTTAAGGAATGAAGTGGAAAGCACCCTGTCAGATATGTGCATCTGTGGTAAGCCAAATGGATTTAGAACAGGTGCTGTACTGAATGAGACCTCTGCATCTGTCCCTATTTCTGCTCATGTTTCCAGTTGCAGAATAGCCTCACTAATCTGTCATATATTAAAAGGACTAACTGGAGCAGTGTCTGAAATCCTTTTATAAGCTAGCGGTTTATTGTGCTTTACTATTTTCATGGTTTCCATGGAACCCTGGAATATGGATTGCCAGATGCCACTACAGAAATTAATGTGTGAACTGTCAGGAATTCAAAGTCAATTTAATGTGAATTTCAAATTTAAGGCCAAAATAATTAGTGAAGGCACAGCTTGCTTGCATAGATATTTTGGTCTAAAATTTTAAAATTAATTTTGAGTTCACGAGAATTCTCACCCCATTGATGTTTTATGTGCTTAAGGGGCATAGAATGCAAGAGTCAGGTTTATTACTTTTAAAACATTTTACTAGATTTTGAGTGTTGTCAAGCAGGAGGGATTCTGTTTACATAATATAATATCTACTCTCTTCTTCATCTGTTATTTCAAACTATTGGCATGTCAGAAGCCATTTTGTCACTTAAGTTGTTTTTTTGAGAAATAAAATCACTTAAAATTTTTATTATCTGTCCGAACAGCCAAGTTGGGTCACATTCTACTGTTATCTGACCAACTGGTGCTATAAACATATAATTATACTCACTGACTGCTATGTGAACTGTAATGTAACACTGCAATTCTTTTAGTGTGTTTAAATTATAGTTTTAGTGATAGTTTCCACTAACATATTGTTTGCTCATTGCTACTAAGAGCCAAAGCTGACAGAAAGGGAACCTTGGTAACAAATGCATTGGACAAGGTATGGTTTTAGAACTGAAAGATAAAAATCTATTCATATGTACCCTTACTGAAGAAGACCAAAAAATCCCTATAGGTAGCTGTATATTAAATATATGATTTATATATCTCAGAAATACATATTTATTGCAAGCTACATGGATTAAACATAAATATCTATATTTTTTAAATACTAAAAATACCTAAACAATAATAACACAATAGTAATAAGATAGATAGATAGATGTTTGTAGGGTGATTTTTATAGTAACCCTAAAGAAGGTTAAGTTAGGGATAGCATTTAACAGGTAGGACTTTAGAATTACAGACAAGACACTAGGCCAGGGGTAGGCAAACTTCAGGACTCCGGATGTTGTGGACAACATCCGCTATAATGCTTTTACAGCCATAATGCTGGCAAGGCATCAGTGGAGATGTAGTCCACAACATCTGGAGTGCCAAGAGTTGCCTATCCCTACAACTAGTTAGAAATATGACATTGGTTAGTTGTTATTTCATGAGATATTCAAATATTTCGACTTACATATAAACATATGTATTCAACTCCGAATATGTGGATGTATCCTTTAGTGTTATCACATATTTGAAACATAAGGCTTTCTTAAAGGAGACACACATGGACATAATCTCCAGTTAGAATTTCTTGAGATAGAACTTTGGTCTCAGACATGATATAAAGATATTATTTTCAAGGTCCAACAGCCTGGGTAGAAATATTTTGCACATCTTGAACAGCAGGCTATTTCCTTTTGTGAGAAGAAACTTTTGGCAAGTGATATTTCCCCACCTGACCTCGAATGTGATGTTTTTGATTTGAAAAGTCTTTTAAAAAATAACCAAACCACTATATTCTAAATAAATTGAATGTTCCCACGGGTATAAAATAATGAAAAGGAGATCAGCTATTCACAGTCATGCAAACAATACAAAAAGGTGAAACTGGATGAGGTCACAGAAATCTATGGACTGCTTACTTTTTCTTGTCCTTGTCTTTCTTGGTTTGCTGAGATCCAGCTTGTTGAGCTTGGGATTGCAGGAGCTGTGTGGCTGCCTTCTTCTTCTGAAACATGCTCACTTCATCTTCGATCTCTTTCTTCTTGTCGTCCAGCTTCTTTCTCTCTTCCTGGTGAGTTCTTTTTAGAAGGTCAAACTTCTCATGGAGCTGAGGATAGGAATGTTGGTATACAGTTACCTTATGCTTTTATGAATAATCAAAGTCACAAACTATTCCCATAGACACATATATTTTTCTCTTTTACTGCGATCCATCACTGAGACAATTTTAGTCTTCCGTTCAGGCATGGCTGGTCATATACATCATATCTATCTATCTGTACATTTACTTACACCCATCCAGTCACACATAATCACGAGACAATGAAGCTGTAATTTTAAGGATATAAATATAGATATGAAAAATACGTATTTGTATGAACCCCTCCCATGACACAGGACCACCCACTGACTGCATTCCTTCCACTGTCAAGGCCAGCATCTCTGTTGTTCGAGTGATTGAAACAGGAGTACTGAGTGAATTCTCCACTGGATGCACCTATCTCACTTTTCATTGTGGTTCAGTTTAAGTGCAAGTCGATTGAATAATAAAGAGTGGAGGATTATGATCTTAAAGGAACTCTATAGTGTCAGGAACAAAAACATGTATTCCTGACCCTATGGTGTTAAAACCACCATCTGGCCCCCCTGGCCTCCCCTTTGCATCTTAAATATAGTAACATCTTATCTTTACTCCAGTCTGCTGCTGCTGGCTCTGTCCCTGATCAGCCTGCTTGGCTGACATCATCAGAAGTGGTGTTCTGAGCCTATCACAATGCTTTTACATAGGAAAGCATTGAATTGGCTGAGAATGTCAAGGAGATAGGTCAGGGGCAAAGCTAGCACAAACCAAATACAGCCCTGGCCAATTAACATCTCCTCATTAAAATGCATTGAATCAATGCATCTCTATGAGGAAAGTTCAGTGTCTCCATGCAGAGGAAGGAGACACTGAATGGCAGTGCTGCTCACTGTGCAGCACTGCCCCAGGAAGCACCTCTAGCAGTACTCTGAGGAGTGGCCAGTGAAGTTATCACTAGGCTGTAATGTAAAGACTGCCTTTCTCTGAAAATACAGTGTTTACTGCAAAAAGCCTTAAAAGAATGACTATACTCAACAGAACAAATACAATAAGCTGTAGTTGCTCTGGTGACTATAGTGTCCCTTTTTAATGCTTGTATGAAGCAGCGAGCAAGCAGTGAAACTGGGGCAGTGCTGCACTGCCAGAGGGAGGAGACACTGAATGGCAGTGCTGCTCACTGTACAGCACTGCCCCAGGAAGCACCTCTAGCAGCAATCTGAGGAGTGGCCAGTGAAGTTATCACTAGGCTGTAATGTAAAGACTGCCTTTCTCTGAAAATACAGTGTTTACTGCAAAAAGCCTTAAAAGAATGACTATACTCAACAGAACAAATACAATAAGCTGTAGTTGCTCTGGTGACTATAGTGTCCCTTTTTAATGCTTGTATGAAGCAGCGAGCAAGCAGTGAAACTGATGTATACACTGGGAAACATGTACAACACTCCAGCTCTATTACTGTCAAAGAACTTTACGTACAAAGAAACAAAGCAATTGGCTAGTGGACATTCTGAGACCTGTACTTGTGATAAACATACTTCTTTCTCAGCTTCCTTGAGCTCAGCTTCTTTTTCTTTTACCCTCATCACAAACATTTGTCTCATTTCTTCCTCCTTTTTCTGTAGTTCACCAAGGAATTCATTCCTCTTTGCTTCATATGTTTCCTGAAGGCTGTAAAATATATTGCAAAACCGAAGTTGGTACATTGGTGTTTTGTTATCTATTGAACACAATCAGCGACATTAATATGCCCTGGTTTGTACCTGAATGGTTTACTGTCAGGATCAGTGTCTTTGAACCCCATTTCTTCCAGTTTGCATCGTCTGTAAAGTTCGTAGTGACGGGCGTGAGTCTGCTCCCTCAGATCTTCCATGTTCACCCTGATCAGCATTTCACGGAGCTTCACAAAATCACAATGGTTTTCATTTTCAACTGAGGAAGCACAAATCTGTTAGAGGAGCTTAAACATATATTAAGACTAAACAGAGAGTCAGGCAAACCAGTGAACAATTAACAATGTGATAGCATAAACAGACAGTGTATGTCAATCTACACAGAAGAATGTGGGCTCGATCCACTAGTGACAGTCCAATGTTTTAACAGATGTTTGAAGTAAAGTCTGTAAAAGAAACATTGTTTCAAGTCAACTCTAATCCAGCGGCCTGAATTCAGACCACTCTAGTATAATGTATAATGCTAATAACTTGTCCCCTCTGTACTCTGTACTGAAAAAGTGTTAGCTTAAGCAACAATGGACAGCTGTGTTTGGCTGAGAGTGTCAGCTATACGCTTTCAGCTTATCGCAGTACCCATATGGTTATGAATCAACCTGGCTAGAAGGAACAGCCTTAATCACCTTACCTGTAGGCAGGGATATGGGAAGCCAAACTGACCCTTATTTAGGTTTAAACTGCTCAGAAATGGTTTAACAATGAATTGTGGGACAGTGCCAGGGAACTCCAGTAACTATAAACACTTCAATGAGATGAAATTGTGGTAGTGCCTACGATCTGGACCATATAAATTAAAGAAATTTGGTTGCAGTACAGCTGTAAATATTTAGCTAAGTTTTAACAGCTTACCAATGACAGCTGAATGATGGAACAAAAACTGAATTTGCCTTTTGTGAATAGTAAAGTGAACAGCCAGATTTGGACAACCAATTCAATTTGGCTACTGTTTTTCACATAGTAAAGACACCTCACAGATTAGGCAATCAGATTCCACAATGTATAGTTTGTTATGATACACAATATCACATTTTTTCTATAAACAGTTACAGTTTATTATATAAAGTACAGTAAACCTTGGAGAAAATGTTAATCATATGAACTATTTAGGCATGCATGATACATACCCTGCACTATTCCCCAGGGATACTGCCTGGCTTTAGCCATTTTATTTCCAATTTTAACTTCTTCAGTACTGCCGACAACTGCAAATGGAAGATGTACCTGTAAGAGACAAGAAAATAATTCAGGAGGTTACACTTCATTACCTGAATGCTATTTGCAGGGTGCAAAACCCATGTGAACGTATTTCTGGCCCATATGTGACAGTTTTTTTTACACCCTCTTTCCAATGATGTGCAAGTGTTTCAAAATCTAATATGACAAGAAGAAGAACAAGTTTTGATATCGACCAATAAATTCCTAGGTACTGATTGGTAAAAACAGAAAAAACAGAAAAAAAAATCAGCGCTAAATAGCCACAATATATGAAGGCTGCACTCCTATAAAGGGAATCCCCTACAATTCCCCAATGATTGGAAGAACACAGAACAAACAGTACAGTAAGAATGCGCCTAAAAATATACTAAAATATATAAAATGCGTAATAAAATAGTGTATAAAATATAAAAACAAAAATAGTTTAAAAACTTATCAAAGTTTGTAATGAATAGTCCCACGTAAAGGTAAAAGGAGATTCTTTAGGGTTCGAAGTAAGGTCAAATCTTCATATAGGATTCAATGGAGCATATGTGGAGAAAAGAAGAAACAGGACTCCAATGGTACAGTATGTAAATACGTTGAAAATGAGACAATAAGATAGGTCTTACTCACAATTTTCAGAGCTGAGGATCCAGCTCTGATGTTAAGCACGTGAAGTGGAATAATCCCCACTCAAGGATATATGGAGTAGACTTCAAATGGCGATTCTCTGGTACTTATTCAACGTCCAAAGTACGGACCAGGCACTCCAACTTCAAGCCGCAGGCAGATTTATTATGACAGAATGCAACGCAACGTTTCGACCGGAAAGGTCTTTTTCAAGCTGCTTGAAAAAAGCTTGAAAAAGACCTTTCCGGTCGAAACGTTGCGTTGCATTCTGTCATAATAAATCTGCCTGCGGCTTGAAGTTGGAGTGCCTGGTCCGTACTTTGGACGTTGAATAAGTACCAGAGAATCGCCATTTGAAGTCTACTCCATATATCCTTGAGTGGGGATTATTCCACTTCACGTGCTTAACATCAGAGCTGGATCCTCAGCTCTGAAAATTGTGAGTAAGACCTATCTTATTGTCTCATTTTCAACGTATTTACATACTGTACCATTGGAGTCCTGTTTCTTCTTTTCTCCACATATGCTCCATTGAATCCTATATGAAGATTTGACCTTACTGATTGGTAACACCACGTTCCAATTCAGAGGATCCATAGCTGGATCTGTAATTTGCTAGTGAATCCTATTAAATAACATCTTGCAACAAGTTAATTTAAACTTGTGTTACCATTTTACACTAAGCCAAATAACTCCACGTCAGCCTATTATAAGACAAGAAGGCCCATCACAGAAAAGGTTTCTCTTGTAGATCTTTAAGATCTATTTACCAATTGTCTAAACATCAGGGTTATTCACCTGATTGAATTGTCTGGAAGTCAAATTAATTTTTTCCATTTTAGTCCAAAATAGGTCTATTGGGGAAATTCATCTATGTTTTCAATTCGGTCCAAAGACCAAGAATTTAAAATTCATTTTACATTTCCAAAACTCACAGTAGAGATTGTAGCCATATTAGTCCAGTGGTGCAGATGTTCACACAGTGCATAAAATTATATGTTTCTCAGTACCAGAAGTCAGGAAAGAAGAGCGTGTATCTTCTTCTCTAACTTGCTTGCAGTTCCTTCATTATTTAGCAGCAATGTTGAAATGTTTGTTTTTAAGAAACAAGCCATAGCCAGTTTTTAGAGTTTCGCTCACATTAACTGATATCTGAATTATGCACACTTTGCTTACATTGTGCTTACAAAGCAAGAAACTATGTAAGTAAGGATATTAACATGTGACGAGTGAAAACTCATCCTGATGACATCAGTGCAAAATGACAAAAATACTGTTATTACTTACACTCATTGTAGCATTTATCTCTGCAACTGTCTCCTCATCTGTTGGAAATTGGTAGATCTGCACCCCATTGCTGACAAGTTCACTCATGATCTTACTTTTGAATTTGTGCAGTTCGTTTTTGGCAATGGTGTCTGCTTTGGCAATGATTGGAATGATGTTCACCTGAGCAAAGAAGAAAATGTGCACTGATTTAATTCATTATCATTTTAAAGTGTCCCTTTAGCTATCACACCAGATTTGTTCGTGAACAGCAACTCTTGTGATCTATTATTACATAATTGTTGTAAAATAATTTGCCGAAAAATATTGTTTCTGCATTCTGTCAATCGGCAGATTATTTTCTAGCCAGATGCATGATTATTACAAAGGCAATTTTAGTGATTGAAAATAAAACAATACCTTCCCTGTCACCCCTCCCGCCCCCTCCAAACCCCAGCAAAAAGCAATGTGTACTGCCAGATGTGGTCATACCACTGGCATACAGTGTCTATTTTACTTAAGAAAATAGATGTGTTCAGCTGTTCAGCAAGAATCATGTAACAGGAAATAGTATGATATTAACCATTTAACAGGAAGTCGGGTCTAATGTTCCTATCCTCCATATGTCAGTATTCATTAAGATACACAGGAAGAGAGGATGTAACACAGTTCACATGATCTATATGTTTTGTATATATGTTAGATTTGTAATTGCTAATTTATGCAGTTCTAGCACAAATATCAGGGTAGACGAAAATGCCATTTGCCACATAAAATGTGTTCAATACTCGGGGATAAAAAATATCCAATGACTTCATACAAAGGTCTATTTACTGGTCACAGTAACTGTCACATTGGAGTATTCTAAAAAAAATACTGAATTATTTGGGGGAAATGTGTAATGAATTGTAGACACCAGTGTTTGGAACAACCAAAATTGGTCCCTAGGGAACAGACCATTGATGTTTATGGGACTAGCTTACCTTAGCATACAGGAAAAGATAACCTGTCCTCAACTGAAAAGGCTCACTCCAAGCACCGTAATTGTTTAATTAAGTGAATATGATAGCAAATTATTCCTGCAAATTTTACTTTTCAATCCTTTGCTTTTTCACAAGTTGACAAAGATATAAATGATTTTAGAAGTAAAAAAAAAAAAAGATTCCCTACCAATATCAGTAGTTATTTTCACAACCAGTACAGGAAATAGTTTATAAATAGGTCTATAACAAAATTGAAGCAACTTCATTTCAGTTTTACAGAAACTGCTTGGGGTAAGTGGTGGTTTGTAGAAAAGTCACAGGAAAAAGCATATGAATTAAACTTTAGTATTATTCATTAAACTGTGATTGTCAAGGACTGACAAGAGAATTGTTGAAAATAAGCAAAACAGAATTTTTTGCCAATTCAGCTGTTTTCCAGTTTGTCTATTGGTCTTCATATTTTACATACAAATTCCGAGTTTATTGAATAAACTAATTTTGAAGGCAGTCGGGTGCAATACAATATTTTTTCTGCTGTAATATAAAGCATTAAGATTCAACATTAGTTACTGTACAAAGATGTGTAAAACATAGAAGGATAAGAAACAAGTGAATGCTTCTATCTGTGAACAACAATCATGGTTGTGTTTTTTTTTCTCCGACATCTCAGCTGTTCAACAAGATATTTGTGCGGCCTCAATCCTGTCTAGATATGTTTTAGGGTTTAACGTAACACATCATTAATATGATATCATCTTTCCTGCATGTCTCTGTGTCTGGACGGTTTGTGGTCCTCTATATTGCATTAGTGGACAAAACTGGATTAGTAACACACCACATTATTTACATGACTTGTGTTTCCATCCTATCTGCAACAAACTGAGATCTTGCTGTACATTTTAAAATTTTCTCCTGAGCCTTTTCAAAGTTGTCCTGTGGTGGATATACAGTGTACCTCTATCGATGTTTTTCTAATAAACAGCATCATTTACACTGCTTACTATGTCACATGTTCATTTTTTTTTTTTGCACTGCTTATATGTTGCAGGTTCATTTGTTTTTGTGTTTTTTTACACTGCTTACATGTTACAGGTTCATTTTTTTTTTCACTGATTATTATGTTATAGGTTCATTTGTTTGTTTTTGGCAAAAAAAAGCAAACTGCAAAGGATTCAATAATCAATAATCTCCTATTTTATGCAAACAGAAAACTATATAAAATAAAAACATTTAGGGGGTGAGGTGGGTGCTGGGGGAGTAAGGGGCTCAGGGTGGGATAGGGGCTGAGGTGGGTGCTGTGGGAGATGGGGGAGATAAGGGCTCAAGTTTGGAATAGGGGCTGAGGTGGGGTAAGATAGGTGCTGAGGTGGAGGGGGGCATGGCGGATATACATATAAAGAGGGGGACCAAGGGGAAAACAACCCACACCCTAGGTTGAATAAATAGGTAAAACAAGATAAAAAGCATAGGAAAAACCTAATAGCTCAAACCAGGAGTGGATACCAACACCCAGAGATATATATAAAAGAAAGGGTGAATAGAGAGGTAAAATAGTAATATACACAGTACAATTAATAAAATGTATCTTAATAGATGAATGAATAAATGAATAAAATAAATAGATATATACTGGATCAGTGCAAATAGATATTGTCCACAGTCTTAATTCAAGTAATAACCAGATCTAGTGGTTGGATGAACAGTCCAAAGGAAAAAGCACTTACAATGTAAGCTCATAAAAGAAAAAAATGGCTGGAGTACCCTCTATATTTTTTTGTTTTTTTTTAAGAAGCCAAATAGTACAGAGTCAAAACCTCCCCACAATGTTTTGGCATCCTACTGGCTGCCTTTCTCAAGGGCATTGGGGGGAGGTTTTGACTTGTGCTCTGTACTGTTTGGATTCTGCAACAGATGGTGATCTCTATATGTTAAGTATATTAGCTTTTATGTACCTGGTCATATATTTTCTGTTACTTTGTATTTATTTTTATTGATTTATAAAAAAAGTGTTATATTCTAGATTACTATTGGAGTGTGCATCCCTAATTATTTTCAATTTTGAGTTTTCCCGGCATTTTTAGGGAGTGCCTATTTTTGGATTTGCACCTTGCTTATGATTATATTATTTAAAGTGATAGATGGTACACTCTTCATGCTAGATTAGAATTGATATTGAAGTAACTCAAAATATAAAAGCATGCAGACAGGATCAAGAGGTTAATTTGTTGTTCAAACCCAAGCTTGGTGTGGGGAAGAAATTATTTAAAGGGACACTCCAGATCCCTAAAGCACTTTAGCTTGCCTATAAGCTTTTTATGTTTGAAGATTGTGTCCTCTTTTTTTTTATTTTACAAAAAGCACGGGTTTCAATAGAAATTGTCACGTTTATAAATTAACCTGGTTACTGCCCCATGGCTTTTGAACAGACAGCAGGTCCTGTTATTTCCTAGGTTAGTTAGCTCAGTGGAGCTAAACTCAAGAGGCAGCAATTGCTCGGAGCACCTGACTTACAAAGACGTCTCATTAAGCTGCATTGAGAAATCTATGATTGGACAGCCACAGGAAGTCTGGGCAGGGTTAGAAGAGGAGAGCTTGCAAAGGCAGCAGAAAAAAGATTGGCAGGTTTTGCAAACTGCCTTTAGATATATCCCCAATGAAAAATGCATAATTTAATACGAACAAATTTTATTTGGGAAATATGTACTAAACAGTGACTTTTATTTATTTTGTATTTGTGCCGTGGAGTGTCCCTTTAAGTGATATTGACAGTGGAATGAGTGTTGGTGCTGGATATTGTGGTTTAAATATCTCAGTAACTACTGATCTCCAGTGAGTGTCAGTCCTGTGGGAAAATGTCTTGCTAACGAAAGAGGCCAGAGGAGAATGACCAGATTGGTTCCAGCTGACAGGAAAATGACAGTAGCTGAAATAACGACGTGCTATAATAATGCTATACAGAACAGCATCACAACACACAGAACATCAAAGCGGATGGACTACAGCAGCAGGAAACCAAACCAGGTTTCACCCCTGTCACCTAAGAACAGAAGGCTGAGGATACAATGGACACAGGGCCAAATATGGACTGTAGAAAATTGGAAAAATATTGCGTGGTATGGGAATAGGAACAGCAATGTTTCCATTTTCAAGCTCTTATTGAAATCATGTCACAGACAATTATGGCTGTTTAGGGAGAACCCTACCATATATTATAAAACTATAGCTAATAAAACCTTGGTTTAATAATGTTGGATAAGCTTTTCAGATGATTTAAAAAAAAAAAAAAATGATTAAACTTTTAAATTGATTCGATATGTTAAAAAATAGTTAAATTTTTTAATATTTTGATGTTTCTTGATAATTAAGTATTTTGAATAAACTAATCTTAACATATAAAAAAAACAAAGAAAAAGGTCAGTCGTAAGTCTATTTATAAAAAGTTCACCACATAATAACAGTTCACATTGTTTATAAATAGTGATGTCCTGAACAGTTCGCGAACGGTTTGCCGCGGACTCATCATTGAGTAAACTTTGACCCTGTACCTCACAGTCAGCAGACACATTCCAGCCAATCAGCAGCAGACCCTCCCTCCCAGACCCTCCCACCTCCTGGACAGCTCACTAAGAACGCAGCTTCACAATGAATGTAAAATGGATGCTGTCCAGGAGGTGGGAGGGTCTGGGAGGGAGGGTCTGCTGCTGATTGGCTGGAATGTGTCTGCTGACTGTGAGGTACAGGGTCAAAGTTTACTCAATGATGAGTCCACGGTGAATTGTTTGCGGCGAACCGTTCGGGACATCACAATTTATAAGGTAATGTCTTTAAAAAAGTGGCAAGCAGTAAAGGGGGTGGTCAAGCAGAAGAGCCTGGATAAAGCACATAAGCATAAACTGCAGGTAGAAGGATATAAAATAAATGAATATGCTTTCTTAAACCTCTTTAATGACATTTCAAAATGTGTCTTGCTAGGTGGCAGAGCACACTATATAAATTTATCACAGCACTAATTTTAATTTTTGACAAGCAGTTTTGAGTTTGTAGTTATTTGAATAATACATTAACATGGCTATTCACTAAAGAGAGAATTCCAAGTGATTTTTAGGAGAATTTCAAATTTCATGCCAAAGAAGCTAAACTTTGGTATTTACTTAGAATTCTCACTTTAAACATTTGTGGCAATTTAAAAAACAAACAAACTGCAAAACCACATGCCTGAATGACCACTAGAGGTATCCAATGAAAAGAGTATGGTTATATACGGTACATGCATGAGTATTCTGTGTAGAGAAGTAAATTAAAGAAATGTCAAATTCAAAAGGGCTGCTTACCTTTGATCCCCATGTTCTTTAGAACTTTTGCTATTAGGTTATGTGTTAAAGAATTTGTAATATAGTTCAGTAGTGAAATGAATGCAAATTTATACAATTTTAGTAGACCTTGAAAGTAATTTAAGATTGAGTTTATTGTGAATATCTATGTATCTATGGCAGAGGATAAAGTTGTAGACATGTGCGCCAAATTTCGCATTGGTTTTCCGAACGGTTTCAGAGAAGAAGCCATTTGAAGATTTTTTAAAATATAGTTGATAGGAATTTTCTCTGTCAAGAATTTCCCCTTGCCATGGTCTTTCATATCAATTTGGAACTCTCTGTATTTCTCCTCGTCCCCAAATCAGCTGGTGAGGAGCCCCAAGGAACGAGACAAGACAATGCAAGGTTCAAAGTGACTGCTAATTTTTAATGGGCTGTGTAACAGGTTATATACAGCAGGGAAGAGGGGTGGTCTTACAAGCATTATCCAATCTTAATAAAATCATCTATCTTATCTTAACATCTTAACCTATAGCAAGCTTGTAGGTGTACCTTCATGTTCAGGCCTTGCTCAAAGCTAAGTTTCACTATAACTACGCAGTTAAAATTAATATGCATTCGCACTTAAAATTAAAGATATTTACTACACAGTTCTAAATTACACATTACTAAGCGGTTATGATCAAAGGGAGAAAAAGAGGAAATAAGGCCAGCAGCAGAAACACACAGGATATAACACTAACACTTGTTACAGGATGTTCTATAGCTCTTGTCTAGGGGTATATTGACTAAGCATTGGATATAGATAAACTATATTATTTCAAATAGCTGACATGTTCCAAGTTAGCCAATTTGAAACAGACTGAACATCCTGTCATCTGTAGCTTGAGCTTTGGGTCAGTATAGGCAAAGTGTATTATTACCAACAATAGTATTGGAATAATACATATAGTAAGACAATTAGTAATAAATTGGAAAACAAATAAAAAAAAAAAAAAAACCCAATAGACTGTCTCGTAGAGACTTTGCTTGGACACTAAAACACTACCATAAATGGTCCGAATTAACCCAGATTGCGCTGTGGCTTTCTCCCCCAGAGGAAAGAAGATGGGTGGATTTAGAGTCTTCGCTAATGGGTTTGTACCTACCACAGTTCTTCACGTGGGTACCAAAAGACAATCGGCCTTCCCTTAGAACGGAATGCCCTGCTATCTTAAATTCACTGAAACTATGGGACACTGCTGTCTTATAATATGGCTTGTCCTCTTCCCCTTCCACGTTTACACCATTCCTGCGGAACGGGGTGTTCCCCCTGGATATGGGATGTTGATAAACTTTTTGTATTATGACAACTTGTTTTCTATGCTCATTGTGTACTGGGTCACGTGATTGTAACTAACGTGTGTGTGGATGACCATCATGGTAAAAATAAAGAATAAAAACAAAACAAAAAACACTACTATAATGAAAAAAATAAATACATAAAATGGAATGTTGTTGTAATAACGATGACTTCCAGTAGGTGAGGCTATTGCATTATTTTGGTAATGTGTCTAGAAGACAGTTACTCTATCTATATAGTTAAAACGGTGAAGTAAACTTGAAGAGGCCATTTTAAACATTTTGTTGAAACTATTCCCATGATTCCAACATGATATGTGAGAAATTTGGCACAGAAATACATCACAATAAAAAGTAACAACACATGTAAAGTACTCCAGACATGTTCAATACTTTTTCTTGCATTCCAGATAAAGTAACGAACACAAATCCAACAACGTGACAAGTGATCTATTGTTGCAGCAGAACCGCTAAAGGAGACTCTGAAAATACATCTTATTGCTCAAAATGTTTATGTTTCAAAATGTCTGTACCTAAAATGTAAAAGGACAGTAAAACACAAACAGCTTGCTTCTTAATCTACAGCACAATTGATCAAATCTATGTGTTATTCTGTGAAGACTAATATATATCCGTTCTAAAAGCAATAGAAAACAAAAATAAATGTGTACTATGCTTGTTTGTCACCTTCATGATGCCTATCTTTGTAAACTCTGCCAAACAGAATTTCACACTCACAGGTTACCAATTTTTGCGTCATGGAGGGGCATATTTCTATGTTAGTCACCACGACAGTTACTGATGGTCTGTTTGTTATTGTAAACAAAATGTTTTATTACAATGGAATCATGCTCACTCATAGAACACACCACTGTATCAAACTGAAACATAGAAACATAGAATGTGACGGCAGATAAGAACCATTTGGCCCATATAGTCTGCCCAATTTTCTAAATACTTTCATTAGTCCCTGGCCTTATCTTAGGTCTAGGATAGCATTATGCCTATCCTATGCATGCCTAAACTCCCTCACTGTATTAACCTCTACCACTTCAGGTGGAAGGCTATTCCATGCGTCCGCTACCATCTCTGTGAAGTAATACTTCCTGATATTATTGTTAAACCTTTGTCCCTCTAGTTTAAGACTATGTCCTCTTGTTGTGGTAGTTTTTCTTCTTTTAAATATAGTCTCCTCCTTTGCTGTATAGAAACAGAGGATAATGTTAGCTGTCAATTTTTAAATGCAAACCTGAACATCTTAAGATTTATATGATTTATTTATGAATGTACTCGCAACTATCTTTCTTTTTCCAGACGATGATCTGCAAACCTTTTTAACCCCTTAAGACCGGAGGGTGTACTATTACGCCCTATTCTAAGCGGCTCTAAACGCCGCCGGGCGTAATAGTACGCCCTCTGGTCTTTTCCTACTTACCCGGGGAGCCCCCCGCAGCACGTCCGACCCCCTGGAAGCCCCCCAGCCATGTGAGAGTGAGGTCCTTGCGAGGACCCCACAATCACATGGCCGGGGGTAGCTAGCTGCAGCATTGCCAGCAGGGGGGCTGCCTGTAATGACAGGTGGTCCCCCTGCTGGCTGGAAATAAAATCAAATACATTAAAAAGTGTAAAAAAAATAATAATATATACTTAGATCATATGTATATGATCTAAGTATATATATACACATATACATACACACACGTACACTGTCTAGGTGTATTTTACTATTAATATATATATATATAATTATATATATATTAATATCAAATTACACGTAGACTGATACTGATTAAATATATATAATTATTGTTATATATATATTTATATATAAAATATAAAAATAAATATGTAAATACGTTAAAAAATAAAATTAAAAAGATAATTAAAAATAAATCATTAAAAAATATATAGATGTGTGTTATTTCTTTCTAACTGTATTGTGAAATTAATATATATATATATATATATATCAAAATACACGTAGAACGAAATAATATATATCTATTTACATAAATATATACGTATATATCACTATATATATACACCTATATATAAATAAAAATATTTAAAAAAATTAGATAGATATATACATATATATATACACATACGTATATATATACATATATTAATTCTACATATATATTTATGTAATATTTTTACATAATTAGGTATCTTAATTAATTACAATTAGCGGGACCTGCCTGACAACCCATGCCAAAAGTAAAGGGAATTTAATTTGCTAGCACTATATTTAACCCTATAACTTTCCAAGACACCATAAAACCTGTACATGGGGGGTACTGTTCTACTCGGGAGACTTCGCTGAACACAAATATTAGTGTTTCAAAACAGTAAAATGTATTACAACGATGATATCGCCAGTAAAAGTGACATTTTTTGCATTTTTCACGCACAAACAGCACTTACACGGACAATATTATTGCTGCGATACTTTTTACTGTTTTGAAACACAAATATTTGTGTTCAGCGAAGTCTCCCGAGTACAACAGTACCCCTCATGTACAGGTTTTATGGTGTTTTCAAAAGTTACAGCGTCAAATATAAGGCTTGCGTTTCATTTTTTTCACATTAAAATTCGCCAGATTGGTTAGGTTGCCTTTGAGACCCTATGGTAGCCCAAGATTGAAAATTACCCCTATGATGGCATACCATTTGCAATAGTAGACAACCCAAGGTATTGCAAACGGGGTATGTCCAGTCTTTTTTAGTAGCCACTTAGTCACAAACACTGGCCAAAATTGGTGTTTTTTGCATTTTTCACACACAAACAAATACTAACGCTAACTTTGGCCAGTGTTTGTGACCAAATGGCTACTAAAAAAGACTGGACATACCCCATTTGCAATACCTTGGGTTGTCTACTATTGCAAATGGTATGCCATTATGGGTGTAAATTTCATTCCTGGGCTACTATAAAGTCCCAAAGGCAACATAACCAATCTGGTGAATTTCAATTTCAAATGTAACGTGCTATATTTGACCCCGTAAAGTCCCAAAACTCCATAAAACCTGTAAATAGGGGGTACTGTTTTACACGTGAGACTTTGCTGAATACAAATATGTGTATTTTATTGCAGTAAAAGCAAACAGTATTATGACATTGACCGTTAAAATGTCATGTAGCGCAAATGCCAGGTTTTGTTTACATTTTGTTTTGTTCACAACGTGTACATTTGGCTCCGTCCTTAAGGGGTTAATCTGTACATCAAGCATGTCAAACTTGCAGCCCACAATTAATGATATTGCGGCCTGGCGAGCCGCTAGTTTGCCATGCTTATTAAAGCAGAGTAGGCACCTGCTCGCCCCACATTGCTGTTTGTCAGTGTCTGTGTGTCTGTCAGAGTATGTGTATGTGTGTCTGTCAGTGAGTGCGTGTCTGTCAGTGTGTGTGTCTTTCAGTGTGTGTTGGTCAATGTTGCGATGACCGCGGCTGGACAGTGGAAGACCTGGAGGTGCACGGAGGCACGCAATGCCATGTCACATTCTGACGTGACATCAACGTGCTCCACCTTCACAGGTTTCAAGGAGTAGCAGGAGGATCCGTTTGGCACAGGGTGCGGACGGCGCCATTGGGCGTATACCAGAGGTTGGAGTCCAGAGTCGCATACTGGCAGCGGCAATGTAAGTCGAGTCTGCTTGTTGGCTAATATTGTTTTTTTGTTTTTTTAAAACAAGGGAATTTAGCATAGAGGGGGTTCTGAGATTTAGCATAGAGGGGGGTGCTGGGGTTTAGTACTAAGGAGGGACTGGGGTTTAGTAGAGGGGGATGCTGTTTTTTTTTTATACTGTACTTTTTAAAGCAAACCTACTTTTCTATGAAAATTTAAGGTTTTGTTTTTTTTGCAGCCCACAGAAACGTAAACCTTGTTTATGTGGCCCTTGCTAGCCTTTGAGTTTGACCTCCTTGCTGTACATCATTGGTTCTCCAATGTGGTTCTATTTTCATCTGACCACAGGTAGGTTCTGGCCACTGAGCTGTCTCTCATTCCAAACTCTGTGTCTTTTTTATTCTAGACGTCTAAATTGCGATGCTAAAGTAACATAGTAGTAACATGTAGTAAATGCGTTATATTTCAGCAGACTTGCCAGATTAATAACAAGTTGTGTGAAGTGCTGTATCCCTTATCTGTATTCTCCGGCCCTTCAATTAATTCCTGTTATTGTTAAAGAGGACTCAGACCGAGGACTAAACAATAGACAAGTATGGCGCACATTAAATATCGCAATACATCTGGTACTGGTGTGATTTAAAATTAAATAGAAACCACTACTGGATACATGGCATTAACCATATTATTGGGAAACCAAATTATATTAGTATAAGTCTTCAAAACTAATACGTACTCACAACAAATGGTAAATCAAACTTTATACAAGATTCTCGTGCAATATTTTTTTCTGCCATCTCTGACCTTTGTTTTAACAGCCTGGTGTTTCCCACAACGTTCAGTTGATAATGACGCTCTCTATTAAGGTTTATGTTTGTCAGAAAATGAGGAAATACAGAAATTCCCTTAAAGCACGTCTGACTCCCCCAAGCCTATAAGTATACTTCCGCTTGAAGGAATCAAACATACACATATTAATGAAACATTCTATCATATCATTATTAGAGTAATGTTCCTAATAAATATATGGGATAATGTCTAGGATGGATAAATCCCAGGGACTAACAGGTTCTATCACCTATCTGGTGGATAATATGTTGTTCCTTGGTGCTTTATTACAATTGTACTTACAACAAAATAACACTGTTACCGTTCTTGGTATTTTGCCAAGAGTTATGCGGTAATACTATAGTATACTGTGTAATGACATTCAATGAGGCAGAATTACCACAGAAAATCTAAACAGTTACCATAGCAACAGCCAGCACCTCCCCTAAAGAGTCTATGATGCAATTTGTTTATAGGTTTCCAAAGTGTAGCACAGACTAATGTGTGTATGCAAGAACAAGGGAATTTAAAGATTATTTGGAAACAAAACTAGAATGAGGGTTTACAGAGTTCAATATCTAAACTATACATTATATCAATATCCCAATCTGTCGACCACAGGCTTGTGATGCCCACAACCCTTACCCTTGAATCTTTAAGGATTCAGTGAGCCACAGAGGCCTTTCTTCTAAAACGTAAAGGACAACTGTCACCTCGATACTAATTACTATTATATATTTTTTATTCTTTATTTTATCTGTGCAGGAAAATACAATAATGCCTGTAATGCCACAACAGCATATCCAAGCTGAACCACAACATATATGTTTTAACACAAGCATGGCATTAGAAAATTCAGCATAATTTTTAGGAATGATAAGTAAGAAAACAGGCATGTCTAAGCTGAGTGAAAATGCTTAGTATTGAATGACTGATAGACATAAGATATTCACATGCAAGAGGGCCGTTGGTTTGCTGCTCCTTATACTTCTGTTATACAAGAGGTATGGGGGACTAATTAGTTAGCTAGTGAGAATGTAGAAGGAAACATTCGTCTATCTCCATGTGACTGTCACGTATTCATCCGCTTATAAAAATGTGGTTAATGGCATTTACTGTCCACACAGGAAAAGTTGTGCCGAGAAGCAACCAAACCCATAGAAGGGTTAATGCTGAGTAGCAATTATGCAAATGGCAACCTTGTAACTGCCTTTGGGGTCAAAGGCTGGTTACAGCCTATCAGATCTAGAGGAGGGGTATTTAGGCCCAGTTCTCATCCTGCTCAGTGCCCTGTCGTGGTTTCCCTTGTGGTTGACCGAGAGCGTGTTATTTGATTCTGGTAATTCTGGTTATTTGACTTTGGCATTGTTTTTGACTTCCCTGTTTTCTGGCGTCCCTGACTCCTGGCTTTTCCTTATCGTTGTGTCTCTTTCTGTTTCCCTTTACCTCGGCTATTCCTGACTATACTTTGGTACGTTAGTCCGGCCATTCTATGGTCCGGTATACGTAACCTATCAGTCCTCTATGTTACACAATTCTACGTGCTGGATCATTTGGTAATCCTGACAGTGACAGGGGATAGATGTAAAAAGGATCTTAGATGCTGTGTGTGAATAAGGCAGCAGCTGGGGAGATGACCTCAATGCTCTCTATAGTTCGGACTTAGTGTCCCTGTTCACCCTATGCCCACAACGGGCAGAGCACTGTCCATGGTTGGGGATCGATGCCTCAGGCTCTCAAGCATAGTAGATAGGAGTTGACATTTCACATTTCATAGCACCCTCCAGGATTAACTCTCTCGATGCCACCAGCTCTTTAGAAGACCTCTCCATTTGTTTCAGAGTGAGTCCTGAAATAGCCAGGTAAGTCCAGAAGCGCCAGAAATGCTTGTCGCCAAGAGCACAGGCCTTGATGAGGTAATCATGAGCCTTCGGGATCTCCTTAGTGTGAAGAGCCCTCTGGGCAGGTGGATGGCAGGGGTGATGCGACTCCCTATGGGCTGCCAGCCCAGAAGCGGTGCGGCAGGCCGGCTCAATCACCTGTACCTCCGGCGTTTCTCGTGTAGTATATGCCGGAAGTCTGCTGTTTAGTCGGCTCCAGAACCTTTTACAGACCTCATCAAATCTTGCCTCTAAGCATTTCTTCCAATCCCAGCTCTCTGTGTTTGGCTGGTCTGACTGAGGCTCCAGTGCGGAGGCCATTATGGACTCACCACATGGGCCCTGGATCTTCAGGCTGGAAGACAGATGTAGTGGGGAGGTAAGTTGCCCTAGCAGGAAGGGGGAGGATTATGTGCCAGCCAGGTTTGTGTGCCGGCAGAGGGTCGGCCGCCTCCTTTGTCTGGTGTGGTTTGCAGCTATTAGTGCTCTCTTAGTCATATAGTAGCTGTCCATGTAGGAAATTGGGTGAGTTTGCAGGCAAATCAGCAGTTTTTCAGGATAATGCTGAGGAGCTCAAGTTGAGTGCGACCTACTCGGATGGCTGTCAGGTCCCGCCCCCCACCCCGAAACCACTTTTTAAACAAAATAACCATATCATTTTCAAAGGGAACTGATTTTTTCAAATAAATATATATGTTAAATAATGAGAAAAACCCATCCCAACCTTTATTATATGACAAGATCCTTCAGCCATATACATACACCTTGGGTCAGACAATGTTCGAAAATCGACAGTTAGTCTCTATGATTTTCCCTGCACAGAAATAGGGAGGACCATAGAGACTAACTGTCAGTTTTCAAACAGTGTGACCCAAGGTATATGTATGGCGGAAGGATCCTGTAATATAATAAAGGTTGGGACGAGTTTTTCTCATTTTTGTGAGATTTAAAAAAAAATAAAAACATTTCATTTCAAAACCATGTAAAAGGACTATTATATTATAAAATAGTTTTGAGGTTACAATTATCCTTTTACGTGGAGAAAGGACTTAAAGATAAATTTGAGGGCGGATGATTCCCAGAACGTAATGAAGTTGAAAGCAAGTATTTTTGAGAAATTACTGACTAATACACACGCACAACAAAATGAAGTGTTCCTCTTTCCAAATTGGCCTACATGTGTTAACTTCCACCTTCTAAACTGGATAATTAATCAAAAATAGGCAATACTTACTATGCATTTTTGGAAGTAGGTTACACTGTTGCTGTGCAATGAAGCTTTGTCAGTAACTTTTTACAAAAATCAAAGAATACAACGTACTTTCTAATACTGCCAATTAATTCTGGGCAAGATGCCCACATAATGGTAACAATGCTAGAGTTCTTCACTTAATTGATTGTAAATAACATTTATTGTTACATGTGGTAACTTGGTACTTGGTAAAAGTTCAGAACTTTGCTTATTGGAAAAAAAGTAGAAACTGTAGGAGTTAGACAAACAGTAACAGGGACAGACAAGCCTCTTTTAGTGCTCTGCCAAATTAAAGCAGCTCAGTCACCATCTGCATTGAGGTCTACGGAGAATTCCACGAGTCCCTCCACGGGAAGAGCTTTTTTAACCCACAGCCATCACTGATGATGTCTGGGGTAAATGACAAGCTTGACAGCTGTAGCCCAACATTGAATCAAGTATGTGAGGTTTGAATGGTTACTACATTACATGTAATAACAAACTTGATAAAAAAATTTACCAGTCTTCAAAACACTTTTTCGTCAGAGTCCTACACTAATTAATTACACTAGCACAAGAAAAAACAAAAAACATTCCACACCCAATTTTCTTTCGCCACACTAAGGTGTGGGGGTTTATTAACAAATTATGGCACTGCTTTAATTTATTTCTCCTGTAGTAAGCACTAATGGAAAAGACATTAATAAAAAGACAGAACGTGTTATTTTGGTAAGAGTCAGCAAGTACCTTACTGTCAAGCTTCTTCATGGTGACCAGGTCGAGAGATTTCAATGAGTGCCCAGTGGGTGCTATGAAATAAAGGCAGGCGTGAATCCTTGTATCGTGATAATTGAACAGCGACCTCTTGATCTTGAGCTCTTCCTGCAGATAGGCTTCAAACTGGGCATCGATATATTCGACTATGGGCCTGTAGCTGAAATAAAGTAACAGCAGCCAGAATTAGATGTTGTGTCACAAAAGCTATAAGGGAGGACATCACTGTGATTATTGCATTATTTCTCTAAGTAGGTGCATTTTTAAGCAGTTATTATGCTCTTTGTTTTCCATACTTGGCATATTATGGCTCGTGCATTTATTGTATCATGTCTCAGTCTTGCTTTTTACGTATTCAATTATTTTCATACCCTTCACAAAAATATGCAAAAAATGCTGAAGACGGGGTATGTCTACTAAATGTTTTGTTTTTATTTCTGTAGAGTGTCCATTTAAGAATAGGCTCAGGCAAATCTCTTAAAATATGTTCAATTTGATTAGTGTAATTACAAACAGTAAAAAGGGGGCATTAAAAAAAACAAAAATGTTTTATTAGTAGTAATGTCTATAAGCTGCCATTTATTCTTCAATTAATGAATAATCACTGTATCTATAGGGATAGCAAAAAACAGGGTGCTCACTGTGCCTAGAGACGTATAAGCTACACCTCGCTGACAAGGCCCAAAAAAGGCAGAAACATTAGTCCGGAGTTGCTGTATTTCTCATGTTGAGAGGATTTGATGGTATTTCGGTTCTGGACTGTCTTTACGGGTGGAATCAGTCTGATATACAAATGGTATAGATTCTCTTTGTAATGGCACGAGTGAGCAAACATTTTTGAGACCTGAGCGGGGACTAACCAAAAGGCAAGCTACTGAGTCTGTCTGAGTTTTCATATTCTCTGTTTTTGTTCATTGTATAGCTATACCCTTAGTGGACAGAGTAAGAGCAAGAAAAGCACAATTAATTTCCTACCAAGTCATTAGAAGAACTGATACAATCTCCTCTCACTTTAAAGCAGAGGCAGGCTTTGTGAAAAACCCTTCAGCTAAATTTAACTAGTGCAACAAAATTGACATGTAGGATAGCTGTGAAATATTTGCCTTTTCCTGTCCAGACTTCCTTATGGGCCCTTTATTTCAGCAGGCGTAGTCCCGGGGGAACGTACCATGAAAGCACACTTTATGATTGATGTGGAGCTCCGCTATCATTTTGCCCATACATGGAAACAGCTCTGGGATAATGGGTCACCAAAGGCAGGAGCTTCTTTTATGCGTAAAGATATTCCAATATTAACGCAGAATTCCTGATTGTTTGTGTCAGCTGGATATCGGAATGTGGATTCACCACACACTCACACACTATATAAACAAATGAGCTATCCGCCTAAGGGAACTTTCACACAGATTCTTGGAAGAAAAGCAGTATTTAACCCATTTGATGACATGGCATAATTCGATTTCCTTGCTTCTCTGTATATCCTCTATTTTACAGCTTTAAAAGCCTTGCATGGGAAATGTATCAAATATTCCTTGCCTCTGTCACATTAGGTCTCGTGAAGTTTAGCCCTTAGGAATCTCTCTGTGCTATATAATAAAACATATGCTACATGTACTCTATATGGCTCTGCTATGTTAAGTATAACACTAAAACATACACAAAAACAGTAAATAATGAGAAAAAAAAGGATACTCATGGAATTCCTGTTTTGCAGGTGCAGTAGTGAGTTTGCCCACACCATGTACTGACTCAGCCAATCACCATGATCACTTAACTTTATATAGCAATGCTTCAACATTCTGCTAATCTACATATTGCACATGACATGTGTAGGATCCCAGGATGCCTCTTTCAGGAGCACCATATATACTACATCTCATTGTATTGGTTACAGTGTTAATAGACTATAGACTCCATACCCCAGATCACACCTAGGGTCATGCAAGGCCCTACTGCTTGGTCCCTTGCTCGCCATATTGCAACTTCTGTAGTTACACTTCAGAATTAGCAATATCAATTCAGTCATTCAGGACAAAGACTAGCTAAGCCAATCTGAAAACTCACACAGCTGATCATTGCTGAGCCTTTGCTGCCCTAGGGAGCATTGGTTTGTGTCAAATTCCTCAAAAACATAGCAATATCCTGACAGCGCCATAACCACTAGAATGGACTGTAGTAGTTGTGGTCATTAGAGCGCCTGTTTACAATTGCACAGGATGTTTAGAAGAGATAATATTTAATTTAGATTAGTTTAGTTTATTTCTTGATTGTTTTAAATGTGTAATGAAATATTTGACTTTCTTTTCAGCATTTTCCAAAGCAAAATGTCATGCAAGAAGTCAACTGCATAACTTCTAATCTGTGTTTTTTTTAAATATTCTGTTCATATTACAATACATGTATAAATCGATTCAGAACAATAAAGAAAGATTGAAACTAGAGTGCCTGTTTATGCAATGGATATTACAAGGTTTCATTTGTCAGACATGGGGTACCATGTTTGTCAAGCCCTGTCTGCTTTGACTAGACCCTGACTTAGATATGTAGAATGTGAGCTGTTACTGGTCCAACTCTTTGCAAGAGATGTTCAGCTTATGGTCAGTGGTTGATAGGGAAACTTGAAGACAAAATATATGTCTATATAGAGTTTGCAGATTAGATGTAACCTTCATATTGTTAACAACAATAGAGAACACACTTTTTATTTTTTAAATGTCATTTTTAGTAGAGTTCACGGACCTGTAAAAAAGAACTATTCAGAACTTATTATTTTATGAACATGTACATCTAAGTTAATATAAAAACTCTTTTACAATACATAGACCATGCTCTCATGATGCCATTCCTTTAAGTAGCCATTAATAAGTAGAAACAGCATGATCAACCTGACTCCATAAACATCTGTCTTTAGACAAGTGCTATTGCAAATGGACTAATGACTGAGAGCTTTCATATGAACTTTTAAATTACAAGTCATTCAAGATAAGCCTTTAGAAAATAGGCAGTGTGCCTTTAAATTATGATCGCTTGCAGCAGCCAAAAACAGACATATTGCTTTTTTTTTTTTTAATACGAAACACAGGTTCAGCTAATTTCCCCCCAGATATAAGTATCCGTCTGTTACAAAGACCAGATATTTATTTATCAGTCCCATCATCTTTATTTTTATGCCAACAACAACTGAGGACCATCTGTGGCTGATCCAAATTTGAGTTCTACCTAGATCTATATATCCGGAGCTCCTGTTTCCATGTACGTTTTGGCAGTGTATCACTATGAGCCTCTTTTAGTGACAATGGATTGTTCGTATCTCGTTTTCAAACACTCCTTCGGCTCTCACTGCAAGCCTGTTTACTTTCAGATACATTCTCTCTCATAAGGTACATTACTCTTTTCCCATGGTCTAACTTTTCCAGCCATCTCACACCCCTGTGTCTGATCATCTACCATACCAAAACAGGCATCACATGCGCGACATCTAACGTAAAAGAATTTGGAAGATTTACGAGAGACAATACTTGACTTGTTTTTGTCTGCATGCACATTTAACAAGCACATTTCCTGCAAACTGTATTGTATGTATTGCATTGATTATTAAATGCCACACCAATTTCTTGGACTGTACCTGTCATCTTTATTGATCTGATCACCAAAGCCCACAGTGTCGACTATGGTTAACTTAAGGCGCACATTGCTCTCCTGAAGCTCGTAACTTCTAGCTTTTAACCGGACACCTGGCTCGCTGTGAGACACTGGTTCACTTTCAAATTTTGTGTTGAATATCGTGTCCATTAGTGTTGATTTTCCAATGCCTGTTTCACCTGGAAAAACAAACAGAAAATGCTGAAGAATAGTCTGTCATTACAAAGATTACCTATAGAGATCACTTTCAGTTAGAGCTTCAAGCAAGATGTATAGACCTGAGAACACAATGTTGGCTGATTTACTAAGTGTATGCAAAGGAAGGGGTTAAAGTTAATTAACTGCTTAATTAGAATAACACTACTCGGATTGCTTAGCTGCAGCATTCTTTTAAAATGTATAGGGGAAAAACTCTTCTGTCTTTTCTGCGATGTTCACAATTGTATTCTTCATTTCTTATGCTGTTAAATGTTGTATATATATTATGCCAACTCCACAATGACATTTGCCTGGAATGAATCACAGTTATAATTCTCAAAAAATGTGTTCATGGGTGGGTTCTCTTCCCTCTGCACTGCTGTTTCCAAGCTTTGAAGAACCAAGTATTAAAACAGATAACAGAGATTAAAAGTTATCATGGAGATCCTTATTTACATATCCCTATATAAAAGTTGTATTTTTCTCTACAATGCACTACTAGTGATCCTAGTAATGGGACTATAGACTAAAGGGTGCTTAGTGTACTGCTTCATTAGCTTAATACCACTTGAATGCTGTAAGAAGATTAAGGTGCAGACATAAAGGTGAGAATTACCTAATTAGCTATGGCTTTAGGTAATTGAGATACAGAGCTTAAAATGCAGTTCTTTTCTAACAGAGTTGTTTTTGGCATATATATATATATATATATATACAGGGCCGGCCTTAGGCAATTAGGCGCCCTGTGCAAAAAGTCTTCACGGCGCCCCCCCCCACCTCCCACCAAGTTGCCTGAATACAGTAACACACACAAGCACCGGGGACGTGTGTATCACGAGGCAAACAAGGCATCTGCCTTGGGCGCCACTTTGCAGGGGGCGGCAAAAAAAAGCATCCCTCCAAACCCCCAGGCAGATCCCTTGCTTGCCTCGCATCCTGGGGGGCTCAAGAGCTGACCGGCTGGCCACTTTTGAGCCCCCCCAAGGCTGGCAGCGGGCAGCGAAGGAGCATACTCACCTGAGCTCTTCCTGCTCAGCTTCCTCTGCGCCGCTTAATGAAGCCGGGAGCCAGAATATGACGTCAGTCCGGCTCCCGGCATCACTAAGCGCTGCTTACTCAGCCTGTGCGCCCCCTGCCTGCCTGCCTGTCCAGCAGCCACACTGGACTGCTGGTAAGAAATCCACTCCAGCTTTCCCAGGGAGGCTGGGTGGATTTAAAATAAATGTAAAAAATATTAGTTTGTGAGTGTTAGTGGAAATGTCTGTGTGTGTGTCTGTGAGTGTTTATTTTGAAGTGAATGTGTGTGTGTGTGTGTGTGTGTGTCTGTAAGTGTGTAATTGTGTGTGTCTGTGAGTGAATGTGTGTGTTGGTCAGTGAGTGTATGTGTCAGTCAGTGAGTGTGCATGTGTCAGTCAGTGAGTGTGTATGTGTCGTCAGTGAGTGTGTATGTGTCGTCAGTGAGTGTGTATGTGTGGTCAGTGAGTGTGTATGTGTGGTCAGTGAGTGTGTGTCGGTCAGTGAGTGTGTATGGGTCAGTGAGTGTGTATGTGTCGTCAGTGAGTGTGTATGTGTGGTCAGTGAGTGTGTGTCGGTCAGTGAGTGTGTGTCGGTCAGTGAGTGTGTGTCGGTCAGTGAGTGTGTAGGTCAGTGAGTGTGTGTCGGTCAGTGAGTGTGTGTCAGTCAGTGTGTATGTGTCGGTCAGTGGAGTCGTGCATCTTTCAGTGAGTGCTTGCGTCTGTCAGTGAGAGTGTGCATCTGTCAGTGTGTGTCCAAGTAATAGTGTATGTGTGTATGTCATTGTTTGTCAGTGTATATGAGAGTGTGTGTCTGTCAGTGAGTGTGCGTCTGTCAGTGAGTGAGCGTCTGTCAGTCAAAGTGCGGCCTTGACAGGAAGGGGTGGGGGAAATTTAAACTCGGTTACAGGCATGTACACACACACTCAGTTAAAGGCAGTCACACATACACGCACAGGCACAAACAATGGCACAGCTACAGCGACACACACAGACAGACAGTCACATAGGCAGTCACACACACACACAGACACACAGTAACACACACATAGACAGTTATACACACACAGGCAGGCAGTCACACAGATAGAAAGTCACACACACAGGCAGGCAGTCACACAGATAGAAAGTCACACACACAGGCAGGCAGTCACACACAGACAGATACAGACAGACACACACAGGCAGGCAGGCAGTCACACACACAGGCAGTCACATACACAGACAGACAGTCACACACACAGACAGTCACACACACAGACAGTCACACACACAGACAGTCACACAGACAGACAGTCTCACACACACAGGCAGTCACACACACGGGCAGTCACACACACGGGCAGTCACACAGACAGACAGTCACACACACAGGCAGTCACATACATGGGCAGTCACACAGACAGACAGTCACACACACAGACAGTCACACACAGGCAGGCAGTCACACACAGAGACAGTCACACACACACACAGAGACAGACAGTCACACACACACACACACACAAGGACAGGCAGTCACACAGACAGACAGTCACACACACACACAGACAGACAGTCACACAAACAGGCAAACAGTCACACAGACAGTCACACACACACACAGACAGTCACACAAACAGGCAAACAGTCACACACACACACTTACCTCTTTCCAGTGGATGCAGTTGGCTGATGGGGAAGCATCTTTCCCTCTTCCTGTACAGCAGGGGCTTCGGGAGGTATTAGCCCCGTCTCCGCCTCTCGATAAGCCCCGCCTCCGCCGCTCGGTAAACCCCGCCCCCTCTGCCGCGATTTTTTTTTTTTTTTTAAATAGACCCGGGTGGAGAATAATTAATCCTCCAGCCAGGTACCTCTTTTAGCTCCCCTGCACTCCGGCCATGAGTGAGCTGTGTCGGCCACAGGGCGCCCCCTGTTCCATGGCGCCCTGTGCGGTCGCACAGCTCGCACACCCCTAAGGCCGGCCCTGTATATATATATATATACACACACACACACACACACACACACACATATATATAATGGCGGCCCTGTGCATAGCTGCCCTATCATATATCATATAATCGTCTCTGTTCTCTCTCTTTCTCCCTCTCTCTATATATATACCCCTCGGACACTTCACAATCTTTATAGGGGTTATTTTCATACCTCCCCACATTTCCAATCGACAAAGAAGGCCACTGTTAAGGGCGGGAGTGGGAGTGTGGCCAGAGGCACAACTGTTCTGACAAATATTTGGTGACTTACAAATAACAATTAAATGTCATATGATAACTAAAAATTAATTTAGAACAAGAACAATGTGTCTTACGTACACAGGCTGATTTCTAAACATATTATCGTGAGCATTATTGCTATCACACAAATTAAAAGGAGCTCCTAGAAAAGAGGGAGTTTAGGACAGAAAAGATGGACAGGGGGATTTGGGTTCAAAATAGGGACATTTGGGATGAGTGTATTTCTCAAATGGAATTGTTTAAGAAGTATACATTCCATATGTAATAGGCCTTTGTGAGACTGGAAACCTGTTAATCCCAAAAATTAGTAAATCTGATTACTAACCCTTTATCTTCTCTTGTGCAATCATCTTCAAGATACTGCACTACATGAGAGAAAAACACATCTAGCGACCATGAAATAGCTGTGTTGTGACCTTCATAATCTAGTTCCTGTACACAAGCACTAGCAGATGGAACATGTAATAGTTTTTTTCCCAGCCAGATGTGAGCTTTAAACGAAATAACCATGTTTGCGAGTAATTATAAAAATATTAAGCAAAACATATAAACAGAGCAAGTTCCTGCCATTCCTACATTGGCTCACTGTCCTAAAATGAGTGCTAAAAATGCGTTGCACGTGCTTACTTAGAAACACACTAGTCAGCCATCTTGTTTGTAGCTAAAACTAGGTGATTTCTGCACACAAGCTCAGATTCACCGAACATGCATGTTTTACTCATCTTTTAAGCAATCATAAAATCCTCCCTGAATTGATAACATGTGCTCCTAAGACTAAAATATCGTAGGGGTTTAATGACTAAATGGTGGATTGCAGTGAATTTAAAATTGAATTGCACATTTTAGTCTAAAAAAGACAAACTATAGATGTGTGAGAGTATATTTTTTTAAATAATCTATTTAGTCTTAAATGTTGATATTTAGTTTTTAATTCACTACAATCTAACATGTACTGAATACAATCCTCCAGTCTCATAGAAACATAAACTGAGGATGCATTCACCCAAAAAAAAAAAAAAAAAAAAGGAAATCTTCAATCTCAAAAACAAACAAAAATAAAACAAACAAAAAAGGGGTTTCTGTTCCATCACCCCCATCTTTAATTTCATAAACTAAAAAGGAGGGTAATCATTTATGAATGAGAATGGTCATTAATTACCATAGTTTCTCCTGCAGAGAGAAATGCATTGGATGACTGGCAATTAAAGAAATACTGAACACATAAGGCACTTTAACTTGCTGAAGTGCTTTATGTGTGAAGAGTGTGTCTGCTCTTTCAAATTGCAGTAGAAATCGGTACTTTTATAAATTAGTCTTGTACCACCCCCTCATTGTCAGTCACACAACAGGTCCTGTTACTTCCTGGTTTGGTTACCTCAGTGGAGCTAAACTCAGTAGGCAGCAATTGCTCAAAGCACCTGCATTCCAAAGACCTATCATTGAGCTGCATTAGAAAGTCTGTGATTGAATAGTCACAGAAAGTCTGGGTGGGCTTAGAAGGGAATGGTTTGCAAAGGCTTCAGAAAACAGATTTACAGCTTTTACAAGTTGTTTCTATATATATATAGCCCAGTGGAAAAATATAATTAAATGCAAAAAGTGATTTATTTTTTTTACTAATATTTATTATTAGCCTGAGACCTCAGGGGTGAACCTGTTGCACTAACAGGAATTTGTAAATATTAATAATTAAATATTAATGTAGATTTTGCTAGGATGACAGGGACCCCCTTTAATTCACAGAGTATGACACATAGTACAAGTAGCGTTAATGTTTGTTAATGACAATTTTGTAAAACTTTGAAAGATCTACGCCGGAAGTAAGCAACCTTCGGCACTTCAGGTGATGTACACTACCTCCCATAATGGTCTTACAGACATATTGCTGGCAAAGCATCAGGAGATACGTAGTCCACAAAATCTGAAGTGACGAAGATTGCCTACCCCTGGTCTGTGCAATTGTACAAACAATGAAACACGCGTGCTGCCTAGGTTGATTAGTTACTTTGATATGTAATCGTTATAGGGGACACAATTTAGATCCAGTGTGCAATTTGAAACATCGACAACACTCACCCAAGAAAGTAACAGCCACCAGTAATATCCTGCCTACTTGTGACCAAAAGTCATTTTGCGGGAAGCTGGAGCCATTGTAAAGAATTAAGTCATGTGTACATCTCTGTGGCCTTATTATCTGACATAATAAATCTGTGTGTATCTGCAAAGATGCACCCCTGTTTTTACTGCTATTAATCTTTAAATGTAGGTACCATAAAATTCACTGGATTAAAGTGGCTATGGCTGTGATTGGTTCAGAGTGCCAACTGGGCACTCTCAACCAATCACTGCTCCAATCGCTGATATGAACTGGTACGGCATGCCAGGAACCATGCTAGGAACCAAGAATCTCTACTGATTAAACTATTCAGTAGTAACGTGGGACCTGCCTCCCGCAGACTCCAGATACCATAACCACTTCAATCCTGTATCATACTTAAAGACAGCACCACAACATATTAGGGGAGATTTATCAAAGTGTTTTCAAAACACTGGTGCAACAATGTTAAAGTTTAATGTATCTGCTGGTTTAAAGTGGTCTCCACGGTATTCTACCCACTTTTAATACTTTAGATCACTTTTTGGAACTTTTTGGTAAATCTACCCCCATTTGTCTAAAAAGTTAAAAGCTTGCAGGGGTATAGGTGGCTTGTCAAAAGTAGGAAAAGAGGAATAATCACTAAAACGCAAATTATGCTGCTTTTGGAACTCATTTGTACCTCAAGGGGATACTATTTACATACCTTCTTTACTGCACCTCAATATAGCAATATAGCAAACATAATCAATTACAGAAAATAAAAAAAGAGATGTCAATAAAAGCCAGTTTTACTGAGGTCACTTCCTCTTTCTTTGTTGTGAGCAAGTGGAATACAAGACGGTCAAGTCCAAATAACAAGAATATCTTATGAAGTGGGAAACTGAAAAAAACACACCAAACAAGGTAACACACTAGAAGAAAAAGAAGAACGAAAAAGAGGACCAGGCTGGCAGGTAAACTAATATGTATCTTGTAAATAAATACTAACTCCAAATATTAGAGATATAATGAAACAGGCAAACTTAACCTAACTAGAGTAATACAGTTGAAGATATACACAACATAATAATGATATCATTACGTTGGTAAATACATGATTTTGAGCTTGAATGAAAACATATACAGTCAAGAACAACATAACATAGCCGTAACTACTATGGGGTGGGAAATATTCACCTCCTGTCACTATTAAAATTAAGATTATTTTGTCACTAATAGCAATAATACTCTACAATTTTCCATAACCATAAGGGTATAGGCATCAAAGCAACTTTAGCTTAATGAAGCAGTATAATAATTGATTGTATTTCCCTGAACTGTCAGGAGTATACAGAAATCAGTCAATAAGGTTGTCCAGTTCTGCAAAAAAATTAGAGTTTTACTGCATGTAATAGAGGGGGAGAAAAGTTTAAAGCATGAAAACTCACCAGAGTGGAACTTGGACCGCCCATCTCCTCGTGAGCCATGTCCACACTGGAAACCTGTGACTTTGTTGAGGTGTCTGGGTAGAAGCTAGGAGGCTGATAATCTCTGGGGTTTGCAGACCAAAATTGCCTGGTGATGAGACCTAGTCAGGTGGGCAACCAGCCATACCAAAAACACTCCACTCCAGTATGGGCCCAAAAACTTTTCTTAGGGATGTTCAGGCTTTATTTAATGTAGAAAATATATTAACATGTTTTTCAAGCTCTTTTAAAAAGAGTTCTCCAAAAAGCTCACAGCGTGCTTGTGGGCATTGTTCTCTGGAACACAATTCTGCTAACTTTGGAACAATGCACAACAAAACAGCTTTGCGCCTCTCAGTAGAGAGTGCTAGGCTAGCATTGCCCTAAATTCAAAAGCACCGTTGAGCCCATTCCTTGACAGCATGGGCATCTAAAGCAGTGCCAATAGATAAAGAGGCATCTGATACGTATAAGATTTGAGCCATTAGGCCTGTAGAGTTTAGTAATTTGTCTTGGGCTAATTTAAGCCCCTTTCGATCCCCTTTCTGGGGTCTCGTGCCTGCACGTGTCACAATGGTGACCACAGTAGGGTCAACCTTGGGTGTGAACGCCACTTTATCCAGGAAGATCGAACATGGACATTTGTTTCTAAGTCAGGTTCTAATCTTGTTATCTAGTGGGTGGTGTAACCAACGATGCAAGAATTTAGCAACATGGGCCAGTGGATACCACTTTGGCGAGTTCGGGTGTCTAATAGCGCGTAGATCAAACATGGCGTTGCCTGCCGAATCTAACATTTTCTAATTTTCTTGGACATGCAAAGTCTCCTAAACGGATGGTCTTTAGAATGGGGCTCACCAGTAAAGGATTCTTTAGTAAATTTGGACTTACTGTCCGGCCCAATTTAATCATTATTAACTGAACTTTCTGCTTGCCAGTCATCCACCCAAAATATGTCAGATGGGCAACTGTGGTCCTCCTCAACTGAGGACAGTCTGGATACCCCTTGAACTTCAGAGGCGGAACATTAATCATAGCCTGTAGGTTATCAGTAGATGGCATGGAGTCAGGACAAGGTTAAAGGGAAACTATAGTCACCAGAACAACTAGTAGTAGTGTGGAAAATGAAATCATACTCTGATCTGATTCAGGATGTGTGCAGCAAAGAAAGATGACGTGAGCTCAGTGACACTGTCTTTCATTTATATCTCTTTGTTTTGACTATTTGTTTCTGTTTAGTTCTGCTACTATACAGAGGTACAGTAAACAAAGAATGCAAATTTGAGCCTCCTTTTATGTCATATAATTAAAATCTCCAACTATGCTATTCTTGTCTAAATATTGTAGTTTGGTTTTCAATTTTGCGCATGTTAATAATTATAATTATTAATAATAGGATTTTTCTTTTCTTGGAATGCAACCAACAGATCTTTGAAAAGGTTTGTAAAATGTGAATGTCACTAAAAAAAACCCTCTAAACTGACTTCAGACACCATTGCTCTTTTTTCACAATTTTCACAAAATAAGAGGATGTTGCAATCAAAGAGAAGGAATAATACAATTACTTACCAACACACAGTATATTGAAACAGAAGCCTTGGGAGGTGGATTTGTTTACCAGTTGATCAGGAAGGCTGTCAAATCCCACATGACCAGATAGGGCGAGTGAACGGAGGTCATCACTGGGTGACTGGAAGAAAAAAAATGGAGAGCGTCTTTAAATTAAATGAAAAAAAAAGGAATACGTGTAGAACAAGCATAACATCTGTGTTCTTCCTATAACCAAGTGGATTCTTCTTCTTAAAGGAATCAAAATGAAGTTGTCCCTGGCATTGGCTCACCTTTAGGGATTAAATAATTCTCAAACAGTTTAACTCCACAGTATGTGTTCCAGTGGTGGATCTCTCGGTCCATCTGTCCTTCTGCTTGCTCAAATTCTGTAAACTAGAAGACTTGGGCAATATTGGCAGGGGAAGCTCTGATTGGCTGAGAACATACCTTTTTCAAGCCCGATTAGGAATGGAGAGCCAACTGATTGGCTGAGAGCGTCAGCAAACCACTCTCAGCCAATCAGCCCACCAATTACCAGATCAAGCGGAAGGATAGAGGGGCAGAGAGATCCCGTAGCGGAAAACAGACTTTGGGGTTAAATAATAGAGAACAGTTTAACACCTAAAGGTGAGCAAGGCACTTCCTATTGTCATAATAGCTTCATTTTAATTAAGCTGATATAGTGTCCACACTGTTCCTCTAAACAAATATAATAAAAAAAAAAAAAAAATCCCCTTCTCCATAATTGCATATGCTACAGACCTGCAATTTGTTGGGTCAACATATATTGTGACCTAGATTCAGATTCGTCCAAGGGAAAATAATTGGTCACACAGTTTGATGTCCATATTGCATTGCTTGGAATTACTTAAATGCTGTTTTCTAATCTTTATGAAACCATTTGTTAGAGCAACATAAAATGTGTCATATACTTTCACAGTTTAATGGTTTAACACCCATTAGATCTGAAATCTTTTTCGTCTTTTGGTGTTTATCTTTGTATGGTGGGGGTGGTAACACCCATTAGATCTGAAATCACTTTCACAGTTAAGTCCTCTCTGTACACCATTGTTATTCAAAGCAAGTCGATATGAAATTTAACAGGACACCAATTGCTACACACCAATTACCACTAAAACTGTATACATTTGTGTTTATTACACTATCCAACTATATTACAACTTATTAAATATATGATTACTCAAACGTAAATGTTTAATGTTTGTTTTACCATCTGCAATATAGAGCAATTATATCATGCCTGTCTGATCCAGTTTAATCCAGGCACAGACAGGGCAGATATTGCAAATTAGGAAGGAATTTCTCCCGTTCCCCATGTACTTCCTCTCTATGCGGAATACCTGCCAGGTGCAAAGGATAGGGTAAAAACAATGTATAACAGGGAGCTAAATTGAGGCACCCATAAAGAGGTGTTTATTTCTACATTTTCATGGTTTATTTTTCACACCTCCCGAATATAGATTTGATAAATATTGGAATCAGTAAACGTAATCATTTGTTTCCATTTCAACATACAGAGCCTCTTCCAGATTTGGCAATAAAGGAAATGCTGAAGTCTGATATGGTTTGTATTCATCCTTTCCTTTTATAAACAGAGATAAAGGAAACACTTGAACATTATTCTAATGGAAGCACACATTCCTCCTGCCAGAGGGTCATTTAATACTGAGCTCAATGATGCAGGCCTGAGATATACAGGAATATGCAAATGTGGGCAGTTATCCCTGCCAAAACAGTCAGGAATTGAAAACATTCCAGTAAATCACACACACTGGAGTGAAGGTATTAATTGATATACAGGACTTATGGGAAAAAAATTATTTAAGAGACACCACCAGCAATTTAACTTTCAATTTAGACTTTTAACTATGAAACACAATCAATAAACATGAGTGATTCTTCATCCAAAAATAATATAGCAGATTGGAAAGAAATGTACATAGTAAAAAGAAAATAGGACAGAAAAATGGTATACTGTATAGGAATGTATTCAGTTAACTGAAACCACGCCTTTAAATAAGACAATTGTCAAACAAGGGATGCATGTTCCTTTTGCTATATTCAGATTCACGTACTCCGTGAAATGGAATTTTACAGCCAGTACAGTTTTTCTTCTAAATATTCTAGAGTTGCACTTCTACATGAAAAAAAAAATGTAATGTTATATGTAATTGATATTTGTTATATTTAACACAGAACTGTTAAAGTGTTAAAACCGTTTTCCAGTTATTAATATTTTATAATTGCACTTTTGCTTGAAGGAATGAAGCATGCAACTTGTTATAATCAATGCCTATCTAATTACTGGTCTTTTGTGAAACAGCATAGCTATACTTTGTTTCTTGGTTTTATTTAATTTTAACATAAATAATAAAGTTACAACACAACAGTTAAATATGTGTCTGTATTGCATATTCAAACCATAATACCACAAATAATAACAGGTGAATCACTGTTTACTCCGCCAGGAGTATATAATAAGTTTACAAATTCTAGAGAAATACTTAATTAATGCATTACACTTAAACTAAACCCATTCGATTTTAATCAAATACATCTTCTGTACATTTAGTCCAGTAAAACAATTCAGTTGACTAAAACATGACTAAAACTAAACTGCATTTTTGTCAAAAAAATGACAAAAACTAAATCAACATTTGCTGACATAATTAATATTGTACAGCACTAATTCATACATTGTCAATTTGTATTTACTGACACTTTGACAAATTACAAAACAAAAGTCACACTGTACACATAAAGACTTGTGTTAATCAAATTGCAAAAAAGGCACACTCTACACACAAATACTTGTGTCCAAGTTCAGCCTCATAGATTATAATGAAAATATGGTAAGCAATGTAGAAAACATAAAACAAACAAGTCTGATTGATAGAGAGTGGACATTTGAAGTTATCTATGTTCAATTCAGTCGGCGGTGGGGAGAGCTGGCGGGGAAGAGAAGCGTGTCCAATCAGAAAACAGGTTGTGTAGTAACTAGCTGGGGCACCTGCCTAGTGTCAAAATGGGAAGAGTTCCATTTATGCGGCATAGGTAGAATGCAACGTGATGGTTACAAAGGCGGACAGCATGGTGAGAGACGGATATGGACATATATGTTGGAATGAGAGAGAACAGTAAGAGATTATGTTAAAAAGAGAGGTGGCAGGTTGGATGTGGACAGAGAGGTTATTACAAAGGAAGGAATAAATAATGAGCACATGGGTGTGGTAGTTGGGCAAGAGATGTTGAGTTTAGGAAGTAGAGAGACTGGAGCGGGTATAGTCAGGGACGTTTTAGCCGAGAGGCAAACAAGGCATTTGCCTTGGGCGGCATTTTCCAGGGGGCAGCAAAAAAAGCCGCCCGCGCGCGGCTGACGAGGGAGCTCTTCCTCTGAGCTGTCTGCTCAGCTCCCTCGCGCGCCACTGAGTGAGGCTGGGAGCCGGAATATGACATCATATTCCGGCTCCCAGCCTCACTCTGCGGCGCGCGAGGGAGCCTAGGGCAGCACAAAACCAGGATACACCACTGGGTATAGCAGCAGATGAATGAGTAGAGGCAGTCAGGGACAAGGTTATATAGATGGCTTTGCTCACAAGGATAATACATTTGAAAACAGATCTCTAGTATAGTGGAAGCCAATGGAGTTTGGTCAGAAGGGGTCAGGCATGAGTGGAACAGGGCATGTTAAGGAGTGAAATGAAAGCAGCAATTTAGATGTGTGAACGATGGAGTGTTATGGAAGGACAGCTAGTGCAGCAATCATGACGGGTAAAGAATATGGAGGAAATAAGATATTTTGTAAAGATAAGATTATGAGCCATGGGTGCACTATATAAAAGAACAAAAAAAAGAGGGGGGGGGGGATTGAAAGACCAGGCATAGTAGTAAACAAAGGTCCTACAAGCATACAACTGTACTTTGCAGGTTTGTAGGATAAAAGTGATGGTTGGGCGGCCAAAGGACTTGTTGATACTGAAGTGACCTTATAAGTATGTGTGTGTCTAGATAATATGAACATGGCCCACAAAAGAATGGTGATTATTCACAGTCAAGAAAAGACTATGTTGACACACCCTGGTCTTTGCTTCATTTGGGTTGAAATGGACATTGAAGACTTAGGTTGAAGCTCTAACCCTGGCTTCCCCAAACTCCGGCCCTCCAGATGTTGCTGAACTACAACTCCCATGATTCTCAGCCTATCTATTTCATTCATAGAATCATGGGAGTTGTAGTTCAGCAACATCTGCAGAGCCGGAGTTTGAGGAAGCCTGCTCTAACCTCAAACCTATGTCCAAGTTAAAAGACCACTTGAGGCACTCTGACCCCTTCCTCTCAATGATGTGGTTTGGGTGCAGTGGTCATGTCATTTTAACCCTGCAATGTAAAACACAGCAGTTTCATAGAAAGTGTAACTAAACCTCTAGTGGCTGTCTTCCTGATGGCCACGAGAAGTGCTTCCTACTCCAGAAGTGAGAGAAACTCAGTTCTGGAATTAAATGCTGCTGATAGCATTTGATTGAAAGAGTGCTGCTTTCGGTCGAGCATGCCTGGTTCCAATTCCGCAATGGATTAGAGGACATCACTGGAGGAGAAGCTAGAGGTTGCGACAGAGGAGTCCTGACCCAAAAAATGAGGTAAGCAATCTTTATTTTACTTAATTTTAGTGAGCAAATCACTTTATTATAAGAGAACATATAGTCACAAAATAACAATTGGTGGTTTTATTCGAGACTATAGATTCACTTTAAATTAGTGTGCTCTGACCAAAACCTTACTGAAATGGTTTTCTACTGAGCTGAGCTTGTCATGGCAGCAACAGCTACTTTAAATTAGCTGGATCCTACATAATGGGTTTTTCTTACTGAGTAATCCAGCCAATTCCATCTGGATTACAGTTAAACTGAATTAAAAACCAAGGTGATAATTTTAAGCTCATTATCCAACAATTACTTCACTAATCAGTACATATTACTACACATTATTTGTGTGCTCTAGTAGAATCACGTTCATATCATCATCTTGTCCCAAATAGAAAAATCATCTTGCCATTGTTGTAATGTATTTGTATTGGATTATTTTGTATTTTTTGGCAAGGGGAAATAAATTAAGTATGCAACTAAACTTCTTTTTGCTTTTTCAAGCTGTACATAGCGTTTACTTTTAAGCCTAACTCTTGTCCACTTTGTATGTCATATTTACTTGATGTTTTGAGAAATTTTGCCCTGATGCTATTCCAAAAATTGAAGAGTGTGTAATTTCCTTTTGCTTTCTGGATTCATGATAATCTCAAGAGAATGGAGAAATCATCTCGATACTAGGAAGCTTGTTCCAATGTTCAGAGTATCACGGAAGCATCTCACAGGAAGCAATCAATGTAATTACTGCTGACGTAGAAAAAGTTGGATTTTTCAGGGACGTTTTGTGATATGTGTATGGCTATCTACATACTTGCACGCGTGCTTCCAATTAATTACAGATTTTGCTTTGCCATCTGTAATGAAGCCAGTGAAGGGACTGTATATAACACATATTCCTAGTCAAGGATATGGAACTAAGGATTTTACAATAGCCATTTTACTCTTCTGAGATGGGGGGAAGGGGAGGAAGGGGGTATGTCATAGACATGTCGTAATAATCTGTAAATGTTGTGACTGTTCACATAATAATGTACATAATATGTTCTACCATATGAATGTGTGCATTGTGGCATAATCAATGAAAATGTATTTATTTTTTGTCATATTATTATAAAAGGTGTATGCAAAAATAATTGTATGTATCTAATAAATTAGAACCTGACCCTATAGTATACAAAATATCTCATAGCACCCCTTCCCCCCATAACCCCATAAATATAGTAAAATCTTACCTTAATTCCTGTTTACTGCTGCTGACTCTGCCCCTAATCTACTTACTTGCCTGACATCATCAGAAGTGATGTTCTGAGCCAATCACAATGCTTTCCCATAGGAAAGCATTGGATTGACTGAGCTCGTCAAGGAGGCAGATCAGGGGCAGAGGCAGCACAAGCCAAACCAAGCACTGGCCAATCAGCATCTCCTCATAGAGATGAAGTGAATCAATGCATCTCTATGAGGAAAGTTCAGTGTCTGCATGAAAAGGCAAATGTTTGATGCTTTGTCACAATGCAATCTTTCAGAGACAAGGAGTTGTAGAAGTGATAACTACTTTAAAAAAGGCCTTAGGTATTTATGAATACTTCAGTAATTTGTGGTTCAATCACTGGCTAATGTCACAAAGGGGTTAGTTGCATTTTTGATAGAAAGATGATAACAGTTCAATGAAATAGTTTCATGCAAATCTCTCCCTGCTTGGGAAGTAGATATCTATTTATTAAGATATTTTTCGCCTGTCGTTTTCTATTTTGTTTGAAAACCTTTTGAAATGTGTGTGCATTATCTAAACTAGATGGATATAGATCATATAATACTGTGAACTCAATCTCATAGTTAGAACTTGAGTGTTTATCCACAGTTGTGTTCACATTCCTTACTTTAGATCTGTTTCTTCCTGCTCCATGTTTTATCTCTTGCATTTTAGATGCCTGTCCCCGTTTGTCATTGGGACATACTGTTGGTTAGAAATGAATGCTCTCCGCCTTTTGCCAAAAATTGCCAAAACTGCCAATTACATAAAACAAAGTAGACCCTTAAATATACCTAGCTTGAATGTAATATATCATATATTACATTCTTTTTAAAGATATAATCTTTAGAAAAAGCTGGGTCTATTTAAGGGTCTACTTTGATTCATGTAATTGCCAGTAAACTTTAAAGAGACACTCCAGGCACACTAATCTCACCAACACAATTTAAAAGGACAGTAAAGCCATCACGGTAAAATAAAATGCAGTTTTGACTCAGACACATCTCAAGTGGTCGTCAAACTGATAGACACTAGAGGCACTCGGCTACATGACACAACAGCTCATAGGAGAGTACTGAATAAAATGCTTGAATGCACATCAGGTCCCCATTGAATTGGATTATAGCTGAAAAAGGCCATGTCACCATGTTGCAGGACGGGGAAAGGTAAGCAGTGCCGAGGGAATCTCCGTGCTGAATTAAGTTTTAGAAAGGGTGTTTAAAAAGAAAAAATATATATATATTTTAACGGCAAACGGGGGTGGGGGTTGTGGATGTTACTAAGAACTGGGGCACTATTGCATAAGGTTGTATTCTTTATGCTATAGTGTTCCTTTAAGGGGATGCTCCAACCCATTCCTGCATGCCCTAATGGGCACTAAGGAAAAGGTCCCCTCCTGTATAACCTGCAAAAAAAAAAAAAAAAGTTGTTTCCTGGAATCCAGCACCAGATGAAGCTCCCGGTGCTGACTTCCACACCCCCTTTAACATGACAGGGAAGCCAGTCATTTGTCTGTTTCGTCGGTTCAAAGTGCATACGCAGGCTCCCAGCCAGCAAAGGAAGGGGAGGAAGCATTTACAAAAAAAAAAATTTATGATGGCAACGCTGGAGGGAGCATTCAGTGGAAGGAAGAGAGAGAAATCTTCCCCTTTACAGGCGCTCTCCCTGCAAAGGAGAAAATGACTGTGTCTGTTGCAGGCTCACTAACAATAGATACAAAATATGAACAGCATTGACACTAACAACCCGGAACTGTTGGAACAGAGTTCTGGGCTGCCAATGTCTCATGCGCTGGTTTTGCAACTAGCCCGCGGCACTCATAAATAACTCAGTATATGCAGTATTTCAAGTAGAAATGCTGAACATACAGACACCTAGCACCATGACAACTTCAAATCACTGAAGTGGTGGTGGTGGTTTGAGTAACCGTTTAAGTGTATTCAGTAAATTTGGCCCCTATATCCGTGCAACAAAAAAAACTTTACTAGCTTTCTGTAATTATTATTATTATTTTATTATTTATACAGTGCCATAAGATTCCGTAGCGCTGCCCCACCTCATAGCCACGCCTCCACTATTCAAAAAACAGCTTCCGTATTAGAAGTTCTTTAAATATATACTCCGCTCGGCCAATAAAAATTCAGTATGAACTAATCTGTTGACTTAATTTCATCCCACAACCAATCACTGGCCTTGTTTTATCTGTCCCATATCCCCTTAGCCTAGCTTTGAAATTTTACACAGTTGATAAGAGGACATTGATTGGCTATAGGACAGAGTCATTTCAGAAAAACTACACCACATTTTTTTTTAGCAAAACTAGATATTGAAATGTGGTGATAAACAGGATATGAATAGGAGGACAAAACCTACCAACTGGACTTAAGTAGTGTTTGTGCCCACCGTGCTCCTTAAAGGGACACTTCAGCTCAATGAAGTGGTCTGGGTGCCAGGTCCCTCAGGTTTTAAACTGCTATGTTTACATTTGGGGTTAATCCAGCCTCTTCCGGACAGCCACTAGAGGCGCATCTGCGACGCTGGAGGCATATTATGCCTCCATCGCGCAGAGCGTCCATAGGAAAGCATTGAGAAATGCTTTCCTGTGGACACCTTAAATGCGTGCGCGGCACTCTGCTCCGCTGATGTCGGACGGGGCACGTGCATTTGGCTCCGCTGACGTTGGACGGGGGAGCTGACGTCGGCGGGGGAGGAGAGGTCACCAGCGCCACGGGAGGGAGGCCCTGAGGGTGGGGCAACCTCAGGGCACTATAGTGTCAGGAAAACCGCTTTGTTTTACTGACACTATAGTGATCCTTTAAATTTTCAATTCACACGGGTCATGGGAAGTAAGGATTGTGAAAAAAACATTCAAAGCATATTTGACACAGCCGACGTTTGTTGTGGCGCAAATCACATCCCAGTTTTAAACATGCTATTCTTTAATGTTTTAAACAAAGCATTTACCCCTCTTTTAGATCCTTTAACATTCAACACTCTGCAGAAATTAGATGTGTGCACTTGGCGTGCCATCTTGTAAAATAATGCATGTTGCTACTGGATACAAACAGTATGCTGTATTTTAAAGTATTTTAAAATAGCAAGGTTGGTCAGCTTAGAGCTATATAAAACAGACAGAGAATGCATTTTGCATTAGGTTAATGCATTGTCAGCAGGAGAAGGTAGAGTGGGAGATATATTATAATTATCATTTAAGAAGCACAAACATATTCTACAGTGTGTCGGGTACATTAAATAAATGGATTAACAAAACAGAACCCATACGCGCCAACAGTACCAAATTTGCTGGTACAGTCCTAAATTTTACGGTATTGTCCTAGCAAAAAATAAGTGTTAGGGAAAGGTCCGACATTTTGAAATCTGATGGAAGACTGGGCACCAGGACCATGCATAGAGCGCTTTGTGCATTGGCTGCATAAGGAGTAGGCTGTCAGTCAGATTGGACACCCTCTTTAGACTTGGATCAGCCTTTTGACAGGAATGCTCATTGCAGGCCCAACCCCTAAATCAGGCAAAGGCAAACTCCAGATGTTTTGGACTACACCTTCCACGATCCTTTGCCAGCATTATAGGTGAAAGAGCATTGTGGGGGATGTAGTCCACAACATCTGGCTAGCCGAAGGTTGCCAACCCCTGCCCTATTTAGTCCTGCCAGCTACTTGCACAGTGCTCCCGGACGTTTGGTAGGGAAGACAGGCATGTATGAGAACCACTGCCTTTCTGTGTAAAGGAAAACAGAAACAGATACAGATAAGTAACACACAGGTATCATAGATGGACAGAGGAAAGATGTATTGCACTGATTTTAAATATTATGGAACTTTGGGGTGTTAGTGAAAGGATCTATCTGCTTCTAAAGAAATACATTTTAACATAGTCTATGAAGATGGTGAAGAAGATTTGCAAGGTTATTCACTAAAAAGTGAGAATTGACGGTAATTCAAAGGCAATTTAAAATTAAAGAAGCACAAACATGTATTGACCTTATAGTGTTAAAAACAAATATGCTAGCCCTCCTGACCCCTTAAGAAGCACTGACCCAGGAAGCACTTTTAGTGGCGGATTGAGTGACTGCCACTAGAGGTGTCTATTGAAAGTAATGCAAACAATTACTTTTCTCTGAAAAGGCAGCGTTTACATGAAAACACATGCAGGGACAGGCTATAGACACCAGAACAACTACATTAAGCTGTAGTTGATCTGGTGACTATAATATCACTATAAAACCAACCAATAGCTAATTTTACTAAGTCAACCATGCTTCAAATTTAGCTAAATTGGCCTAAAATGGGAAATTCCCTTAGAATACTTGAAAATGTTCAGTTTAATTAATAATCCTGAGAATGTGAAGATTATGTAGTAGTAAATTACAATTAGAAAGAGTAGCTCAGGAAAAGTCCTGTAAAGGAGAGAGGAAGGATGTAGTGAAAGATTAAGAACCACAGAAACAAAGTGGGGTCTTAATTTGTAATAAATGCAGAGAAAAATAAGTGATTTGTGGATACCTTTTTTCTAATTGAAGGTAAGACGTTCAAACTTTATTTTTGGTCAAGCAAGTGAAAGAGTTGGCTTGGAAGGTAAACAGAGATAAACAATAAAACTGCTGGCATGGATAGGTCAAAGCAACCCGTGGAGATGATATATACACATTTAGCCCTTTCCCGCCTCAGACGTAAAGGGATAAAAAAAACAACAGAAATAAGGACTATATCCATCTGATAAATCCATCCTATACTAGTTGCAGCAGTTCATCAACAATAAGCAGGCCTAGGTTTATGACTCAAATCACTCTCATTGAGAGCATTTGATTAAAGCAGCACAATGTTTTTTCACACATTCGAACTAGCCATCCAACAATTCCCTACAGGGACACATTGGATTGGCTGAGATTATCTACATTGATGATCTCAGGCACAGAGGTGGAGTGGCAGCACGGACAGCAGCGCACCACGTGTTTTAAGGTAAGTAAAACTTACCTTTTAAACCTAAATATTCGGGCCAGGGGTGGATACCTAGATTGGTAGGAGAACACTATAGCATTATATGTTTGTTTGTTTCTTTAATTAAACCACTATTATTGTGCAGAATACATAAGCATACTTTTTGTATGCATATCCTTTTTTACAGAAGTTCCATAATTGTTCTATATAACGTTCAGAGCAAGTCATACTTCACACTCTGTGTGCTTAAATATTGAGGCCACATTAGGTGCATATTAAAATGAAAAGAATGCATGACTCTAAACCAATGTGATCATACACACGCTTAATAGCACCAGAGCAGAGAACAAGACTGAGAATTGGGATTTTTCCGCCTGACCTGATTCGTCTACATCTGGTTTGCTTTATACTTAAACTGGGGAAAAAATGCATGACTTATGCAGAATACAAACCATCACTCAAACATATATTCTGCTGATCGCTCATTTTCCTTTTATATATCTCATTTTATAACAACTGCTGATTCCTCTTTGTTTTACTTTTTTAATGAAAATTGATAAATTTGAATTGGGCAGATTTATGCAATCCCTTAAATATAAATATGGGACGGTTTTATTTTTAAACCCTGCCACCCACAGCATGGTGTACGTTCTTTTTGCTGCAATGCATTTCCCGCACTCTTATAGCCATTCCTTCTCAGACTGTTACATATTTTAATGAAAACACTTTTGGAATGCCAAGAACGGAGCACAAACCACAACTGAGCAGCAAATGTACAGATGCACATGTAAAAAATGGACACAGACACAGATCCATCGAGCCACACATTTTAACACATATGAAAAACACAGCAACATGTTGAGTCCAATATATCACCATCTGATATCCTGAGGCATATGAGGCAAGAACAGAAAAGCAAATATTATTTTTCTAGAATAAACCTTGTAAGGTTAATGTATCTGATCTATTGCATGTACTCAGTTTTTATACAAAGCAAATAGTTTTCAATCAAGAAGTACAGTTTTAAAATCTCAAGTGGTTCAATCTATTTAAATATGATGCAGATAAAAGTGACTTTTTATCACTAGGACTGAGTGACATTCTTCACTCCACAACAAGCCTAGTTATGTTATATGTACAGCAATAAATTACCTGCTTCTAAGCTGGATTACTAATGCAACCAAAAAGGGGGGGGCTAAATGGTGTTTTTTTAACACCATAGGATCAGGAATACACATTTGTGTTACTGACCCTATAGTGTTCCTTTAATATTATATTGCACTTACTAATCTATACATGTGCTACTAGCTGAAGTATAATTAATACTCGTCTCCCAATATTCTAATGTTCTTTGCAGTACATTTACTATTTGTTTGCAAATTCATTTTCTACACGTTATTATTTGCTGTTGGCTTGTTCCAATTTTGCATTGTGCTTTTATGTTCAACTATACATCTGTCATTTACTTGTGATACAAATAGCAGGGTTCTCTGCCTGTTTATCACACTATCAGCGGTCACCAAAAGCTGGATCTTTAACTGCTGTTGAATAATTATAATTAAGATCTCCTGTAGTCTGGTCCTACTGACTAAGATATAGTCTGGTCCTACTGACTAAGATATAGAATTCTCCGGGAATATGCGTGAGAAGAACGCACGGATGCGTTCCACTACATAGGAAAAGGAAATGATACATGCATTCCACCGATGGAACGCAAAACCCAGAAGCGGAAATACCACACGAACGCACAAACCGACTGCAACAAGTAAGCGCCAATTATGTATCATTTAAAAGGACACTTACAACCAGAAACATATCAGCAACTGAGGAAGCCTTTGAACGAGGCGAAACGCTTTTTGCACTACTTTGACTATTCCAAAGACTTACCTTCAAACTGTAAGGTCTTGATTTTATTTATTTTGTTTAAAGTTACTTGTGCACTTTTAATAAAGCACTTTATTTTCATACTTACCTTTGAGAGGATATCTCATTACTTGAAACCTCCTGGCAGTATAAAGAAGGGAGTGGGAACCTTGATATCCCACAGAGCTGGAAGTCTGAGCCTTATCCATAGGCTCCCTACTTGTGAGTGAAATTCCATCCACTTTTTGCACTTTAGAATTGTATACAGGCGATATTGCACATTATGTGTCCTACTTTGTTTTATTTTTAGGAATATTTACTATTGTCAGCTATTCAAATAAGAAGATACTCTACCTTATACTGTATGTATACTTAGGTTTGTTGTGAGGATAAAGGGAAACTCACTAAGGTGTTTGAGTATCTATTTCTTGTGTGTCTCACTGGGATACTATTATTATTCAATATTTGAGAGAAATAGGCCTTTTGTGTACATAGAAAAATCTTTGAGTTCAACTCATGAAAAATGGGGGCAAAAACAAAAGTGTTGCGTTTATAATTTTGTTCAGTGTATATAGTTTAAAAGGGGCATATTACTTCATTTAAACACATCTGACTACATCAATTAGACATATTCTTATAAATAAATGACTTTACATTAAATTCTCCCACAAAATATTATGAAACCATATACATAAAAGGGAATATGTTTGATAGAGAAATGAAACATAAAAACAAGTGCCAAATAAAGGGGAGTATTATAAGATTATAAAAACTGGAAAGCCTGTATGTAAGAAATAGTGAAAAGTAGAAAAAAACTTTAAAACCTTCATATACAGGAATTCATTTCAAAATCGGCATTTAAACCGTGAGGTAGTAGAGTGTCAATGTAAAAAATCCACCTCATTTCAGATTTTCCGAGAAGACTATCAATATCCCCTCCCCTCCAATGTACTTTCACACCTTCAATCCCCATGAAATCCAGTCCATTGGCATCACCACCATGGGCCTCTAAAAATGCTTAGATACGCTACGTTGGTGGAATTTCCTATTAATATTATAGATATGTTCTCTAATGCGTATCTTGAGAACCCTTAATGTTTTGCCAATGAACTGGAAACCACAGGGACATGTTAGCATATAAATAACATTTTTAAAGTTACAAGTTAAGAATGACTTAATATGTTCTGGCTAGTATGCTTATACTTTTCATTGCTATCAAAGAGAAGCTTTCCAAATATATGCAATAAAAGTCAGTATGAGGAGATACGTCAGTCGGTAGAAACAACTGATGAACTGGGACTATGGCACTGTGGGTCAATACATTTTTTTATCCATTCTGCAACGAGACATTTTATTAGGATAAAACGAATGTACCTCACATCCTGGGAGCTTAGTCTGTCCCCAAACGAAAACTTATGTTGCTGAGCTGACAAGGAACATCTGTGCATTCCTTTGCGTCTAGTAAGCTTCCTTTTAACGACAAGGATGTGACAAACGGGCTAAGAAATATTTCAAGAAGCAAATTCAAACAAACTAGGAACACATGCTGAGGGCTGAAAGATACTGCCAAGCCCTTGTTTGTTGTATATCTGTACTGCTGTCCTACATGCATGGGTTCTCTTGGGCTCTTGTCTCCTGCACAGATGCATATTCCTAGAATATCTAGAGAGAATTCCGAATTTCCTGAATTCCTTGTAGACAAGGGGTACATTTTAGTACTGAAGTGCTTCTTGTGGGAGGAAAACTAGTTTAAGCAGTATGGGTACATTCAAAACAAATGTCAATAATTACAAACAGAGATTCCTGTTTATGGTTAGTTGTCAAGAGCGCCCTACAACTCCTGCTATTTCTATTATTTTGTTATAGACAGAATTTTTGCTGGAGATGTAGTATTGTAAGTGAAGAAAGTGCAGGAAATGATAAATTATTAAGTCCACCTCTAAACAAATTAATATAGCAAAGCAAGTACGGTTAAGGTTTGATATGGTTCTGCAAGGCAATATTTAAGAAGTGGAAAGATTAAAATAGAAAATGTGTTTTGTGAGATGGTTAATGTTGGAGTAAGTCAGGTTTATTTTTAGGTCGGACAAGAATTAAGATATGGCTGTGGGTGCATAAATGAGTAACAAAACTGTTATAAAGAAGGAAGGGATTGTATTTTATTCCAAAAATCATTATCATAATCACCGGTGTTCCGGCTTCTTTATTTTTAAAAGGAATATGCCATTTACCGTAACTACTAATGGCCCTCCTCCCACTGCAAGTAGTCAAGCCGTGTTAGAATGCATCATATGATAGCTCTCAGCCAATGAGCTCAGCCCTGTACAACCAGGCTTAGCTTAGACATAGAGATTTTGGCTGTCTGTTGGAAGTAGTAGAGGCAGGGAGCGGTGCCAGCAGGCCCCAGGTAAGAAGTTAAACCATTGTAAAATGGTTTGATGACTTACGATAAAGGGGTTTTATTAAGTCCCATTTAAAATGAAAACTACAAATGCAGTGGATGTGTACTTACCAGCCCAATCAGACATACTATGCTCAGGGTCGGTGCAAGGATTTTTGCCGCCCTAGGCAAAAGTAAAGTTTGCTACCCCCCCATGTGACATCACAATGCCCCACCCATATGATCTGCCATGTTAACTAACGCCAGTGCTGCAGTGCCACCGTGTTTACATTAAAAGGCCTGCAGGGACAGGCTATAGACACCAGAACCACTACATTAAGCTGCAGTGGTTCTGGGGACTATAGTGTTCCTTTAATGTGAGGTAAATTAGAGATTAGTGCCGCGAATAATATACTAGATTGCCTACTTACGACCAGATGAGGATGATGATGGGCTCTAGCTGCAGTTTGGCTCCACTGGTCTGGTGTAGAACAGGCTCTCTGGAGGCTGTTTGTAACTGTGGTCACAAAAATCAATGTTCTGGGAGAACGGGAAGCAGCTCCATTTTTTTGGGGCCCTTTACACAGCTCAAGGTCTAGATCCCAGAGTCCACCTTCATGTTCCACCAATGAGTTTGTTCACAGGGGGTGGAGTGTGTAGGGGATGTCCTGATATGTGTGTAAGGAATGCATTGTGTGAATCTGTGTGTGTATGTGTAAGGGCTGCAGGGTGTGTTTCTGTGTATGTACGGGATGCAGTGTGTGCGTCTGTAAGGGGTGCATTGAGTGTGTGTAAGGGGTGCATTGAGTGTGTGTAAGGAATGAATTGTGTGAATCTGTGTTTGTATGTGTAAGGGCTGCAAGGTGTGTTTCTGTGTATGTACGGGATGCAGTGTGTGCGTCTGTAAGGGGTGCATTGAGTGTGTGTAAGGAATGCATTGTGTGTTTCTGTGTGTAAGGGATGAATTGTGTGTAAGGGTTGCATTGCTTGTGTGTGTGTGTAATGCATTGTGTGTGTAATTTCTAAGGGGTGCATTGTGTGTGATTGTGTGTGTGTGTGTATGTGTGTGATGGATGTCAATTTCTCCCCCCCTCCCTTGTCACTCTCTTCTCCCCCCCTCCTCCCTTGTCACTCTCTTCTCCCCCCCTTGTCCCTCTCTTCTCCCCCCTTGTCACTCTCTTCTCACCTCTCCACTCTCATCCCTCTCCCTGTCAATTTATTTCTCTCCCCCTCCCCTCCCTGTCAATTTCTTTCTCCCCCCCTGTCAATTTCTTTCTCCCCCTCCCTGTCAATTTCTTTCTCTCCCCCCTCCCTGTCAATTTCTTTCTCTCCCCCTGTCAATTTCTTTCTCTCCCCCGTCAGTCAATTTCTTTTTCTCCCCTGTCAATTTCTTTCTCCCACTCCCTGTCAATTTCTTTCTCCCCCCCTGTCAATTTATTTCTCCCCCCTCCCCTACCTCTGTTGTAGCGTGGCCGATACCTGTATGGTCCGTGGGTACAGGGAGCTATTGTTTCCTGTACCCGGCCGGACTAAAAGGAAGTGCACACTCAGTGTTAGTCCAGCTGGGTACAGGAGACAGATGCTCCCTGTACCCGCGGACCATACAGGGCTCGGCCACGCTACAGTGAGGGAGTGACAGGAGGGAGTGCTGAGCACTTCCCTCCTGTCAGCCCCTCTTCTCATGCTGCGCCCTCATGGATGCACCAGCCCGGGAAAAGCTGCAGCTGCTTGAGGCTCTCTGCAGAGCGCTCGGGCGGCTGCAGCATGAGGGGGGCCGGCACTCCTGGCGGCGCCCCTTCCCAAGGGACGCCCTAGGTGGCTGCCTAGTCCGCCTAACAGGTAGCGCCAGCCTTGACTATGCCCAACCAACACTGAATTAGGGCAGACAGCAGAAATGTTAAGGAGGCACTATATTGTCAGGAACACAAACGTGTATTCCTGACACCATAGTTCTCAGCCCCCTTACCTCGGGTTAGAAAGATAATTTACTCACATTTTTCCACGTCTTTTTCCACAGTTAATACTCTTAAGCTGAAGTTGTTCTGGTGACTATAGTGTCATTTCAATCATTAACATTATATAAACCATATATGTGCTGATCATTTCCGTAGCACAATGCATGGATTACATTTGAATACTTATCCAAAGCTAACCTTGTCATTCACATGAATTGACAATGGCAAAAGGCACTTTAAACACCACTGTAGTACAAACTGTTCTACAGATGTAGTTACCACCTTAAAGGAACACTATAGTCACCTAAATTACTTTAGCTAAATAAAGCAGTTTTAGTGTATAGATCATTCCCCTGCAATTTCACTGTCATTTAGGAGTTAAATCACTTTGTTTCTGTTTATGCAGCCCTAGCCCACCTCCCCTGGCTATGATTGACAGAGCCTGCATGAAATAAAAACTGGTTTTGCTTTCAAACAGATGTAATTTACCTTAAATAATTGTATCTTAATCTCTAAATTGAACTTTAATCACATACAGGAGGCTCTTGCAGGGTCTAGCAAGCTATTAACATAGCAGGGGATAAGAAAATCCTAATTAAACACAACTTGCAATAAAGAAAGCCTAAATAGGGCTCTCTTTACAGGAAATGTTTATGGAAGGCTGTGCAAGTCACATGCAGGGAGGTGTGACTAGGGTTCATAAACAAAGGGATTTAACTCCTAAATGGCAGAGGGTTGAGCAGTGAGGCTGCAGGGGCATGTTCTATACACCAAAACTGATTCATTAAGCTAAAGTTGTTCAGGTGACTATAGTGTCCCTTTAAACATTTTAGATTTTATGACAACATTCTAAATTATGAACAAAAAACAAGCACCTTTGAATCCTCCAGGTCCTGTGAGTCCTGCAGTGTAGTGAATTTCAGGCTATGTTGCCAATAAAAAGGATTTATTAAACCCATCCCCAGGATCTGATGCTAGAGGTCTATCCTTACATAAACATATGTTAAACATATGAAATGAAAAGCAATAGTACAGATAGCAAAGCCAAAAAGGGAATTAACTTTGACAATGTTACACAAGGTATACAATGTAACATAGAACACATACCCATTGCGGAGCCAAGATCTCTTGGCAGAAATGTCTCAACTCAGATTGTGAGTTCTTCAGAACAAGGTTACTCTGTATATATTATTCTAAAGTTCAGTATAGTATTTTATCCTCTCATTTATGCCATTTCTAAGGATCATTATTATTCAATTGAAGTTTTTTCAAGTGATTCAGATGTATTAAATACTACATATCATGCATGTAAAGCCCACACAACTTTCCAATGATTTATGATTTATATTCCATTTGTATTAATGAGCGTCACTTTTGGATTTTTCTAGAACTGCTGCAGTGTGAGTTATGGTGTGACGGTATTGTGGAAAATGACTGATCATTTTTATGTAAACACTGATCTAGGGATAGCTATTTTTGCAAGCCACAAAGTATATCAGCAGGTTACAGCAGTGGTTGAATCCTGGTCAGACCTCCTTACCAGTAAGTGTCCCTGCATACCTAATTATACATATCTGCCTTTAGCTTGTTTGAGCAGGGTCTTCTATACCTAATCCACCCTACATAGTTGTAAAGTGCTGTGGGCTATGTTAGTGCTCTAAAAATAATATAAAACAAAACAATTTTCTATTCACATACAGTGTAAACAGCTTTACCATGGAATTCCACAAAGTATATATATATCAGAAATAAAAAAACTTATGGTAGAAAAGAGAATCTTAATGCAGTAGTTCTGGGCAAATAGAACAAAAACACAGTGTTTACAATGCCACCTCTAGTGGTAGGCCACTAGCTATTTCCTGGGTTCAGTCCTGCAAAAACTGCCCAACCAACATTCCGTGTCTGCGGAAAGCTCCCCGTAGAGATGCATAGAGAGCCAATTCCATCTCTGTAAAGAGATGCTGATTGGCGAAGTGCAGCAATTTGCTGTACATGCATACTAGCTTCCCAATGGAAAAGGAATTGGGATTGATGAATGAAGCCAACAGAGATGGGTGAGACTAGTGTGCCAGGGGAACAAAGGTAAACACAATGCTGTGTTTTAGTTAAATTAGGGTAGGGCTTGAATGTCTAAATAGGTAGTACTCTAGTATTAGGAATAAATGTTAGTATGCCTAACGACTAAATAGACTGAGGGAATTTGTCTACCTTCCTTGTATATAAGGGATCTAGGTGGACCCTATGTATTTATATTGTTATTTGAGTTTAACTTACTGTTGCTTATATTCAGCATTTCTTTTGTATTCCATACTAAACCAACTAAAATCTCAGAAACTGTCTTCAAATATCAGAGCAAATTAATTAATTATTTAATACATACCTTTTTGGTGCTATTTTATTACATGGTCTCAAATGAATTAGCACATTAGATGCTAACTTTAAATTTCTAATACTGAATATTCTAGAATTTATGCATATAGAGTACATATTCACACTTTAGGGCTTAGATTTCACATAACTCCTCAAAGCTGCATTGCCTGATAGTATTTGCAGTCATGGTCATCTCTCCAAAGCAATGAAGGTCAGATTTTGTATGGGAAAGAACAAGTAGATTCTAGACTGCAAATCTACTCTGAATAGTATTTTCGATATACTTCAGTATAGTGATTTGTGATATACCCCAGCATAAAGATACATAACAATTATTTTCTCAACACTTTATAAAATGATTTCCAAATTAGTAGTGACATACTACAAAGGCCCCCATAACTTTATAAAAGCTACTAATGCGTGTGACTAAATAATCATACAAGTTTCAAAGCAGATGTTAAATGTATTAGAAAAACCATTTGAATTGTTTCATATATGAAAACCATATCTATGTTCTACTAGGGGTCTCCACGACTTGCAAATATATTCAATTTAAATCTCAAAATTCAAAATTTTGATTCTTCTATTCAGTAATGGCAATTTAGAGGCACAATCAGTGACAAGAACTGAATGTGCGAAATCCCTACGCAGCAATTCTCTGCTTGCTAAAACATTAGCACCAATACCGTCCCTATATAGATTAATGTTAGTTTATGTATTATGGCAAGAGTCCACTTTAAATAGGTACTAAAAATTTGCCGTTTGTATAGTTGCTCCTCTGTGCCAGCAGAAAATCAAGCCATATCAGCACTGAATAAATAGCAAGCATGCCCCCTCCACCCCCAAACTGGGACTATGAAGCTTTACAACTCTGCAAGATGCCTACACTTCATTAGATACACATTTGTTATTTTCAGAATGAGACAGAGGTCAGCATTTGCAGCAGATCTTAAAAACTATTATCAACTTCCTGCAGCACTGCGTTGTTGACAGATCTTAAGGGGACATTGAAATCTAACTTTTGTAATTAAAATGCTGAACTATTTATATCTAATAAGTATTTTTGCAGGCTAGGTAGGTGTGTGCTGTCAGCATCTGTGTGCGCCCCAGCAAATCAGTAGCAGATAATGCAACGGTCAGGAAGTGGGGGGCTCTCACTGGTACTACTACTACGTTTGGCGCTACCGTTGTCCCTGTATTATATTTTCCATGATGCTCAGCCTGTCCATGGGTTAAAAAAGTCTTCAAACCTTAGCTAAATGAGAGCATGGACAAGCTTCACGCTGGAAGCTTCCTGTGGAAGTTGTTGCTGCCAGACTGTGTAAAGTAATACATGGCTAAAGATTCCACAGCTGCTACAGACTTAAAGCAGAGCTGTCATTTTTGAGCATTTCATAATGATAGACTATTTATTTAAAAAATCATTTAACCCCTTAAGGACCAAACTTCTGGAATAAAAGGGAATCATGACATGTCACACATGTCATGTGTCCTTGAGGGGTTGAACTGTGTTGGAACTTCACTAAAGTTCAAACATAATCAAATCTACCATAAGTAAGCACAGGGAATACATTCTCTTAGAAACATAGAAACATAGAATGTGACGGCAGATAAAAACCATTCGGCCCATCTAGTCTGCCCAATTTTCTAAATACTTTCATTAGTCCCTGGCCTTTTCTTATAGTTAAGATAGCCTTATGCCTATCCCACGCATGCTTAAACTCCTTTACTTTGTTAACCTCTACCACTTCAGGTGGAAGGCTATTCCATGCATCCACTACCCTCTCAGTAAAGTAATACTTCCTGATATTATTTTTAAACCTTTGTCCCTCTAATTTAAGACTATGTCCTCTTGTTGTGGTAGTTTTTCTTCTTTTAAATATAGTCTCCTCCTTTACTGTGTTGATTCCCTTTATGTATTTAAATGTTTCTATCATATCCCCCCTGTCTCGTCTTTCCTCCAAGCTATACATGTTAAGATCCTTTAACCTTTCCTGGTAAGTTTTATCCCGCAATCCATGAACCAGTTTAGTAGCCCTTCTCTGAACACTCTCTAAGGTATCAATATCCTTCTGAAGATACGGTCTCCAGTACTGTGTACAATACTCCAAGTGAGGTCTCACCAGTGGTCTGTACAATGGCATGAGCACTTCCCTCTTTCTACTGCTAATACCTCTCCCTATACAACCAAGCATTCTGCTAGCATTTCCTGCTGCTCTATTACATTGTCTGTCTACCTTTAAGTCATCAGAAATAATCACCCCTAAATCCCTTTCCTCATATGTTGAGGTTAGGACTCTATCAAATATTCTGTACTCTGCCCTTGGGTTTTTACGTCCAAGATGCATTATCTTGCACTTATCCACATTAAATGTCAGTTGCCACAATTCTGACCATTTTTCTAGTTTACCTAAATCATTTGCCATTTGGCTTATCCCTCCTGGAACATCAACCCTGTTACATATCTTAGTATCATCAGCAAAAAGACATACCTTACCATCAAGACCTTCTGCAATATCACTAATAAAAATATTAAAGAGAATGGGTCCAAGTACAGATCCCTGAGGTACCCCACTGGTGACAAGTCCAAGCTTCGAATATATTCCATTGACTACAACCCTCTGTTGCCTGTCACTCAGCCACTGCCTTACCCATTTAACAATATTGGAATCCAAACTTAAAGATTGCAGTTTATTGATAAGCCTTCTATGTGCAACAGTGTCAAAAGCCTTAATGAAATCTAGGTAAGCAATGTCTACTGCACCACCCTGATCTATAATTTTAGTTACCCAATCAAAAAAATCAATAAGATTAGTTTGGCATGATCTCCCTCAAGTAAACCCATGTTGTCTCTGATCTTGAAATCCATGTGTATTTAGATGTTCAACAATCCTATCCTTTACCATGGTTTCCATCACTTTCCCCACTACTGAAGTAAGGCTTACTGGCCTATAGTTGCCCGACTCCTCCCTATTACCTTTCTTGTGAATGGGCACAACATTCCCTAACTTCCAATCTTCTGGGACTACTCCTGTTAACAATGATTGGTTAAATAAATCTGTTAATGGTTTTGCTAGTACACCACTAAGCTCTTTTAATAGCTTTAGGTGTATTCCATCAGGTCCCATTGACTTATTTGTCTTTACTTTTGACAGTTGAAATAGAACCTCTTCCTCTGTAAACTCATGTGTAATAAATGACTCATTTATCCTTTTTCTCAACTGAGGTCCCTTTCCTTCATTTTCATCTGTAAATACAGAACAAAAATATTCATTGAGGCAGTCAGCTAGACCTTTATCCTCTTCTACATACCTTCCTTCTTTTGTTTTTAATCTAACTAATCCTTGTTTTACTTTTCTTTTCTCATTTATGTATCTAAAAAATGTTTTGTCCCCCTTTTTTACTGACTGTGCTATTTTCTCTTCTGTGTGTGATTTGGAAGCTCTTATAACTTGCTTAGCCTCTTTCTGCCTAATCTTATAGATCATTTTGTCTTCCTCACTCTGGGTTTTTTTATAATTCCTAAATGCTAACTTTTTGTTTTTAACTATTTTGGCCACATCTGCGGAGTACCACAGTGGTTTCTTGAATTTTTTGCTTTTACTGACAAGCCTAATGCAATTTTCTGTTGCCTTCAGTAGTGCAACTTTTAAATAATCCCATTTCTCTTGGACTACATTTAAATTGCTCCAGTCTGATAATGACTCCTCTACACATATTCTAATTTTAGAAAAGTCTGTTTTTCTAAAGTCTAAAACTTTTATTTTTGTGTGGTGTGACTCAATCACTGTTCTTATATTAAACCACACTGACTGATGATCACTGGATCCTACACTTTCACCTACAGTAATATCTGATACCAAATCTCTGTTTGTTAACACTAAATCTAGTATGGCCTCTTTACGAGTTGGCTCCTCAACGACTTGTTTTAGAGACAATCCCAGTAGGGAGTTTAGAATATATGTGCTCCTGTCACAAGCAGCTATTTTTGTTTTCCAATTTACATCAGGAAGATTAAAGTCATCAATGATGATAACTTCCCCCTTCATTGTCATTTTAGCTATTTCCTCAACTAGTAAATTATCTAACGCTTCAATTTGTCCTGGGGGCCTATAAATCACACCTACACGAGTTACTGTGTGATTACCAAATTCTAACGTAACCCAAATGGACTCTATGTTCGCCTCACTAACTTGTATTACTATAGTGTCAGGAATACAAACATGTATTGTTGATGCTATAGTGCTAAATTTGCCATTTAGGCCCCTCCCCTGTTAAAAAAAAGGCCCCAACCCCACGCCGCCTCTTTGGCTGAGATAATCAAATTTGATAAACTCTCAACTAATCCAATGCATTCATATAGAAAAGCATGGGGAGGCTATTGTGCATGAGCAGCAAAACGCCAACCAGCATCTCCTCATAGAGATGCACTAAATCAATGCATCGCTACAAGGAACGTTCAGCACCTGGAGACACTGAATGTCAGTGCTGCAAATTATGCAGCATTGACCAAGGAAGCACCTCTAGTGGACGTCTAAGTGACTGCTACTAGAGGTGTTCCTAGGAAGTAATGTAAATGTTGCCTTTTCGTTTACATTAAAAAGCCTGCAGAGACATACCATACACACCAGAACAACTACAATAAGCTGTAGTTGTTCTGGTGACTATAGTGTACCTTTAATGTCTGCTTGGAAAGAGAAACAATAGGAGATTGGCTTTATCTCTCTGTGAATATAAGGCTTCTCCTAAGTTTGTGTACTTATCATATTTCAGTAGTACTCCTTCCCAGGAGAATTACTCCTTCCCGGGCTGCTTAGTGATAGATGAGCCCTAACTAGAGCTAGCTGTGATACATGTCCTGAAATAACACCAGACGCATAGCAAAGCTTCAAACAGGCCCCAGACATGCTGATGCAATGTCACTGATACACTTTCCAGAAACCAATTTCCAGTTCACCCCCCAATAAACAAGAATCACACAGGAATATTTAGCAAAAATGTGGATTGTGGGGATTTTTTTTCCCAAAATAGCTGAACTGAAGTCTTGGAGACTCTTTTCCATTTTGACCTACAATAATACAATTCTGGTGTAGAGAAACTTTCGTTGCAGTCTTAGTAATGTAAACACTGTTATTTCTGAAATAAATTCCAACTCTACTCTACATATGCAATCTGCATCACAGGAAAAAGCAATGCATTTGTTTTGGGATGTGCAGCTGTGTATTTCCTGCTGGGCGTCTCAGTACTTCCTGCTGAAACTATGATATATTTGATGGATCCATGTCACAAAAGGTTTCCATGTATGTTTTTATTAACATATTTTCAATGATGTTCTAGATCAGGGATAGGAGACATTTGATGTAGCAGAGCAAATCAATGAAGTGCTGAGGAGGGGAACTGACGGACCAGAGGCACGTTTTACAGAAGTAGTTATAGGTTCCTTTTAATAGAAAATCAAAACAAATACAAAGTCACACACACAAAACCCCATCTCTATGGCTAAATTGCTTTGATTGTGTTTTTGAAACTTGTGTTAAAAAAACGTTACCTAGAAATGTAAACGCTGTCCGTCAATGAATGACCCTCTGGGCATGAAATATGCACAGAATTGTTCTAGGTTGATTAATAATGCCTTAATGTCACTGCAAAAGGTCAACGTACACCTCAGGCAACAATAAAAAAATGTCTGTATTTGCAGTGTTTCAAAATTAAATGTTGCATACAGATCCTAAACACCATGACCACGTTGAAACACTAAAGAGGTCCCGGTGCTTGAACCAACCTTGTCATTTGATATAATTCATCTTATTTTAGGTTTTTGGTACATTAGTCAATATCTGTACCCAAAGAGCAGAGACTCCAGTCTACCTGTGTGTGGCAGAGAACAATGGGAGTTTCTGGTCAACAAGACCTGTATCCCACCAATGTTAATCTTGGCGGAAAATTTCAGTTTAGTTTTCGTCATAGTCTTTTGACTAAAAGGCAATTTTAGTTGTTTTTTTTGTAAATATGTTTTTATTGAACATTTCGTTATTTTTTTTTTCCGTTTGTTATCAACATGGAAAAGAAAAACATGGACAGGCAGGTCCCTTTGGTCATTTGTATATGCTTATACATCATAGGGCATAGTCTGTCAGATGTGTCTTGGTGACTCGCAGGTCGCTTTCTTGAGTAAGTGGTGTGTGCATTGTGGCCTCGCAGGTCCGGTAGTACATAGTTATGAATAGTACTCTGTTATATCTGATGTGTACCTTTTCTACGTTGGGTAAATTTTGTATGTCCCGCCAGTTTTCGTCTATTCCCCCGTGCCCACCCTGTAGCCACTAGGCAGTAGTGGGACATGTGGGCCACCTACTGTGTAGGGTCCCATCAGGACACGCAGCCCCCTTATGACCTCGTGTCTAGGGTCCAAAATGGCGGTATAGTGGGGTGTTGACCCCCTACTTTGGTACGATTCGGCTCTGCCCAGCGTTATATATGGTGTTGATGGGAATAACCTAAGGGGCATCCTGCGTTTCCTTCTAAACTAATAAAATTTGTAGTTCACAAAACTGGCGCACTTCCACCCCCCGTACCCGCGGGGCCGTAGGCCGTTTTGGGCACTGCAGATGGCCGCACCACGACAGGTATCATAGCCACCCAGCACACCCCTGAGGGGTCGTCCCCCCCGCGCCGCCCCCCCAGACCTCTGAGCCCGCGCTCCACCCGGACCTGACAGGGGATGGGGTAGGGTAGGGGAGTGAGGTACTGTGTCTTGGGTCAGGTGTGGATCGTCCCGTTAGGCTCCTGGTGTCTCCTCCTGGGGGTCGTCAGTTCCTCCCCCCATGGTCAAATGCACAGTCTGAAATGCCTCCGTACCCACCCATGCCAGCCAGGGTGTCCATGTGTCTAAGTATGTCTGCGTTCGGTCTTGGGCTGAATACCAGATTTCCTCTGTTACTCGTAACTCCTCCATTCTGGTAAACCACAGGGAAAGCGTTGGGGTTGTGTCTTTTTTCCAGTACAAAGGTATTAGGTGTTTTGCGACATGGCCATTTTAGTTTTAGTTGTATTTTAGTCATCTGAATTGTTTTAGATTTAGTCTAGCTTTAATCTCCAGTAGATTTTAGTCGACACTAAAATCTGATGAGTTTAGTTAAAGCCTCTGTCTGTCTCTTTTTCCTCTTCCCCAGTCTATGTCTCTTTGGGTCCTCCCAGGCCCTCTAGGTGTCTCTCTCCCAAGCCCTGGTCCGTCTCTTTTGCCCCTTCCACAGCCCCTCTGTGCAGTGTTAATTTTGGCTGCAAATTTCAATTTAGTTTTAGTCATTGTCTTTTGACTAAAAATCATTTTAGTTTTAGTCGTATTTTAGTCACCTGAATTGTTTTAGTTTAGTTTTAGTCAACTAAATCTCCAAAATTTTAGTAGACTAAAATTATACTAAACTCATTAGTCGACTAATATTTGAATAATATGGTTAGTCGACAAAATTAACACTGGAGCCCACCGTTTAACACTGCTTTAGAATATCAATACAGTATGTTACTCTCTGCTTCTCAATGTACTGTAGATAACTGTAGAACCTCTGAGGTTACGTGGTATAAAGTAAGGTAATCTAATTGCATATGGAAATAATTCCAAAGTGTTGCTAAAAGAAACATAAAGAATGTCTAGGAACATTCCGCGGCTTGTGGGATTTCATACTTAATAAATTTTGAGTAGTTTCTCATACATAATGAGTATATATTTTTTTTCAAAGATGAAAACAAAAGTACAATTTAACTAGACATATAAAGTTTCTATTTTGCACATTGGCTTATATTGATAGGAAAAATAAAACAATATAAAGTCCCTTTTTCTCACTAGGGTGGTATACTTATGACACTAAAAATCGTGAACATTATTATTTATTACTTTTTTTTAATATTTATTTACAAGCTATACACAGTCCTTGAAAAGGAAATTATAGGAGAAAAAGTTACTAGCACACACAATGCTATATTCTAGTGAGAGATATAGGTATCATGCATGTCGCAGTGCACGTTGCAAACACTTACCTGCATAAAAGATACTATATACATAAGATGTTTATGAATGCATGCCAATGTATGTTATTACCATATCTGCAAACATTTTACATGGACAAAGAGGGACACTTTGATTTTAAGGGTTTGAGTAAGGGTATGCTAGTGGGGGAGGCTTGAGGAATTTTTGGTGACTTACAAATAGCAATTTATGCAACTAACATGTAATTTAGAACAAGAACAATGTATCTTATTTACACTAGCTGTTTTTAAAAAGCATTATTTGTAGTTTAAATGCACATTACTGTGAGCATTGTTGTGGTGGAACTCAAGCAAACTAAAAATATTGAGCTCCTAGAACCCAAAACAGGGACTGTTCCTCCTAAATAGGGACACTTGGGAATTATGTTATTGTACTAATTACCTTATTAGTCACAAAAAATCTCATATCAATGTATTAAATATTAATACATAATCAATATCAATTATAAACATATAATGCTGAGAATGTTAAAAACATTTTCATTATCATCCATTATAAAACATTGGGCCTGGCTGGGGACCATGTAAATAGGCTAATGGTATAAGTATACTCTGTAAGGACAATAATAAGTTAAAAATACCCACAGGGCATGCTGTGAAGCTTCTGTCCAATCTCAGTTGGAGTCTATTACACTCTTTCTTTTAATGGCTCTTTTAATGTCAAAGAAAAAACAAACACCAACACATGGGTGACCTGAGGCAAATTTGGAAAGGGAAGGGGAAAATCCTACCCCTTTTGAAAAATTCCATCACAAATATCTGTTAAAATAACTTTCCATTCTGCTTTGCAAAATCAGCCACATCTTAATAACAAAACCATGTTCCTAATTATAGGAAAATTGGCATTCTGACTACTGTATACTGGGTGGTAAAACATATGAGTGACAACACTGCTCTTGTATTACGACAGCCTGACACAGTTTAATTACCACTATTCCCTATGTTACCTTTCTATTTCATGGACTATTCAGGTGTTCCATTCACAGACACTGGCAGAAAAGATTATTTTACACAATGATGGGTGTTTCATCTTTAACAAGCTGCGAACAATACCGTTTTAATAAGATGGCATTGGAAGACTAAGTAAACACATTGACAGCTCCAAATCATTTAAAATTCTTATTTATTTGTCATTTTTGGGGATTCTGACTTAACCATTGCTGCGAAAAAGCAACATTTCTTTCACAAATATGTCCATAAAGGAGACATATATGTTCTATAAGTTCAGAGCCAACTTTAATGGGCTCAGAAAATTGTGAGTGTTTCGAGTTTTGACCTCTTCTCACAAAATATTTATATAGATTACATTATGTTGTGTTTTATTTTTATCCTTGAATAGGAACTATTCACATCATTCCTATCAAGTGTAATATACATGTATGGTAAAAACTCCTCTATTGTGTGCGCTTTCACCTTTTAATCTTTACTCTATATTTCTTTCACAAACACTAAATAAATAAATAAAATGGAAGTTAAAGAGTTAATATCAACTAGTTGTTTATACAAATGTAGATACTAAATTCAACTTTCAATAATGTTAAATGAGTATAATATTCATTGCATATTTAGCAATTTGTCAAGACTTATCCTTAAAAAGAGTTAACAATTGTCGAAAAATAACGCACTAGCAAAAACAATGTCATAAACAATGCACTAACATAATAGCATTAACATGTTTGGTGTCGAGCTTTGTCTGTGGTTGAACTTGTAACTCAATAACATTGCTGATACTGTTGGAACTACATTACAATAACACTGAATACATAAGCAATATAACCTTTTCACCTCTGAGAACGCTGTAACATATATCAGCACCTTAACATCATATAGGAGTTACTTGAAGAACAGAGTGTCTGCCTATCAAACAGCATGCATCTTAAACACCGCACCATGGCCACGGGGCACTCCATCACTAAGGAGATTATGTTTAATGTCCCCTTGAGGCACCTAAGGTTCGCAATACCAGCGGTTATCAATCAGGATGAAGGCACTAAAAAGACATATAAAACAGACCAATCCCCATTGATGGAGGATGGGTGGCTCTGCAAATTTGTATGATGGATAGTTGACACCAGTAACAAATGTTGACCATCCCACATTCCATATAAATTCAAGGCATGGCTGGGCTATTTACATAACTCTATGCAATTAGCTGATGGATACCATGTCTCAATGCATATGGAATGGAAAATAAGTCATAGAAATTTCAGGATACATAATTCATACATATTTATTTATCTTTGCATAAAAATGGCTTCACTGGATCCTCCACAGACCTCAGTGTTGTACTCTCCCGCATGCAGGTGAAGGGCCATGAGTTGAAGAGAGAGAAAAAAAAGAGGTTTAGGCACTCCAAAGTTCAAAAATAATTTATTCAAAATTGATAAAGACCATGGAGGTCAAAACGTTGTGGTGTGACATTGGGTTTTAATAAATTGCCTATTTTTGAACGTTGGCGTGCCTAAACCTCATGTTGTTCTCTCTATACTGTGTCTGGGACCTGGTGCTGAGTGCTGGGTTTAGATGCACCCTGGCTCAGAGTAATGGGATTGAGTGCCGTTCCCAAATCCTCTCTGGAAATGAGTTGAAGAGAGTCTCCCAGAAGAAGATGGAGGCATCTGCAAGAGACAGCTTCAGGTAAGTATACCCACTTTCTATTGTACCCCACAGCCAGCAGACAAAAATTGGAGGTATTACCTTTGGGGGTTCTTTGCAAAATATGCAAGCACTCCCAAAAGTAACAGATAAACTTTAATAACCTGTTCTAAGTTGGCAGAAAAAAAAGGCACAATGTATTTTCAAACCAAATTTGTGTTTAGTGAATAAACTTGATAAACAGCTGAGATGAGCCAATACGGTTTTTTTTATTTAAAATGCTGGGTCACAGTAAGCTCCTTTCCATTGGCAAACACCTTGTTATTTTGTAAAGAGTGTTTATATAATAAAATCTCTGTCAGATATGTACCACAGCCGGTCATATGAAAGCTAATTAACCTCTAGCTGGATCAGTGGTCAAAGGCCTTTAAACAAACTCTCTCACTATCCTACAGCAGGAGCTTAGCTTCTCCTTCCCAACCACTCCCATTTTATCCTCTTTTTTTCTCTCTTCGTTGTGCACCGTACTCTCTTTTCACTTTTATTACATATCAATAGTGCACAATGAATGAACCAAGACATTAGTATGTTATGGCCAATACAAGAGCAAGTGGTTGTGTAGGTCAAATGAGCTTATAACTCACAATCTACCTACCAAGCTTTTCTGACCATTGTGTGGCTGCTCTCGGCTTACGTAGAAGTTACACTCATTATATCTGATGACTGGAACTGTGGCTGAACTACATGAATCTTTGCTACAGGACAGTGGTTTGTAGGGTTAGCTTGTTTGAGCAGTGCCCTCACCACCTTGCAGTACATCCCGTTTGCCTTTTTACAACCACTTGTTTAACAGTCCACATATTATACAGTGATGCGGTATATGTTGAAACTTTGGAGGTAAAGAGAAGAAGAAGATTGTGCCCTAAGAATGAGATTCCTCGTTGCCTATCGAATTGCAGTAGTAGGGTGACCTTCATCTTAATTTACAGGTGGTAGTTTCTTGCCTATGCACTCTTTCCCTGGAAATACCCCTTGAATTCTTCTAATGGTTAAATGTGAACTCTAGCTACCATTATCAATTCAACACATTGAAAAAGGTCATTGCGGCTGGAGTCAACAGGGGTTATCACCTGTTTCATTGTGAAACAACTTATTTTATAGTAACATTTTACAAACGAAACTATATACATATAACAAAAAACATGAATAAAAGCCTTACAAATAGTTCCAAAGCTGGCAATGAAATGTCCAAATGATAGTTGCTTCTACAATCCAAAACAATTTCAATTCTGAACATCAGAATTGACTGTCGTCAGAATATTAGCAAGTTTGCCCACTTAAGTGAAATCACATATTCTATTTGCAGCCTGCAGGCCTTACTCATCATTAAAATCTTCAAGACACTGAACAAAAAAGGATAGCATGGGAATTTCTCTAAGCTTAGGTTCTCTTACAGATAATCAGTTTTAGTGAGTACACCCCATAATCTTCTTGAAAACATTCCTCTGGAAAAACAACTAATTTTCTCAATGAGAAGGGGTTAGTAACCACACTAATTAGGTTTCAGGATGAATGCACTCTGTGGGAGGATAAACCAGATGAAAAGAGACACTAATGTGTAGACTTCTGGAAATAATCTAATTTAAATAAAACTCATATCACAGAAATGCAGGGCTTCATTAAAGGACATACTCACTTTCCTGGCATTATAGTGCCTTGAGGGTGCCCCCACCCTCAGGGACCCCCTCCCGCCGGGCTCTGGGGAGAGGAAGGGGTTAAAATCTTACCTTTCTCCAGTGCCGGGCGGGGAGTTCTCCTTCTCCTCTCCGCCTCCTCTCCTCCTCTTCGGCTGAATGCGCATGCGCGGCAGGAGCTGCGCGCGCATTCAGCCAGTCTCATAGGAAAGCATTTACAATGCTTTCCTATGGACGCTTGTGTCTTCTCACTGTGATTTTCATAGTGAGAAGCACGCAAACGCCTCTAGCGGCTGTCAATGAGACAGCCATTAGAGGCTTTAGAGGTTGGATTAACCTATTTATAAACATAGCAGTTTCTCTGAAACTGCTATGTTTATTAGAAAAATGGGTTAACCCTAGCTGGACCTGGCACCCAGACCACTTCATTAAGCTGAAGTGGTCTGGGTGCCTAGAGTGGTCCTTTAAGTCTGTCAAAATTCACATTCAGGACAAAATACATAATGTGGGGGGGGTGGGGGTGGAATGACCCCCCCTCCCCCCCATCCCACTATTAGACCTGAAATGTTCAGATCCTTTGTCAGTGCTCCACAATTAAAAGTTTAGCTTAAAGGAACACTATAGGCCATCTAGCCCACCTGCCCCTCCCCCCCTAAATATAGTAAAACCTTACCTTTATTCCAGTGTGCTGCTGCTGGCTCTGACCCTGATCTGCCTGATTGGCTGGCCTCGTCAGAAGTGATTCTCTCAGTCAATCACAATGCTTCCCCATAGCAAAGCTTTGGATTGGCTCAGATTATCAAGGAGGCAGATCAGAGGCAGAGCCAGCACAAGCCAAACACAAGTGAATCAATGCATCTCTATGAGGAAAGTTAAGTGCAGAGGTTGGAGACACTGACTGTCAAAGCTGCAAAGTGTGCAGCACTGCCCCAGGAAGAACCCCTAGTAGCCATATGAGGAGTGGCCAGTGGAGGTAATGTAAACACTGCCTTTTCTCTGAAAAAAAACTGTTTGCTGCAAAAAGACTGAAGGGAATGATTATGATTATAATTATACTCACCAGAACAAATACAATAAGCTGTAGTTTTTCTGGTGACTATAGTGTCCCTTTAAACTAATATGTTTTCATAAATTATTTTTAATGATTAAAATGTACCTGTCATGGGTACACTGACTCATTATGTTCTATAGAAAGAGCACAAAAAAGATGTTTACATGGTGCTAGAAAAATTACTAGCAAAAATATACATATACAAAGCTGAATTTTTTCATATGGTCCCTACCTGTCAGTTCTTAGCATAGACCTATATACCCATAGACCAATAGACTTCTACAGTTAGAGTGACAGGAGAGAGTAGGAAAATACTCCTACAGATGGTTCTCCCATTCTCTGTCACAAATACTCTTTTAGCAAATGTTTGCTGGGTGAACATAGGAATGTACGAACAGTTATTATCGCATTCACGTGCTGATGTGCAGGTAGGTAAGCATCAGTGTCATTAAATATTTTTATGATAAATTGTATATTCACTGTCCTAGAAGCTGCAGGGCTTAAGTTAAACCTGGTATGACAGGTTTACTTTAATACTCTTCTACAGATTAAAGGTTTCAAACCCATGTTGGTTTCCTCCCTAAATAAATGAACATGAGACAATTCTCTCATGTTGACGTAGGGCTTCATATTACTAAACCAGAACAAAGAAAGAGACTTCTATTTTATCTTCCAACCATGCCAGAAATAAAGGGTCTGTAATTCTATGTAATAATTATCATCAAAAAAATAATAATCACACGGTTAGGCCTCATATATAACCTCCTCTTTTGTTCAGTGTCCAACTCTTCAGCCAAACAACATACCTAATTCAAGGACAGCACTTTTTGGAAATCAGTATAGTTAAGCAGATATAAGTACAGTAAAGATAATGTATCTAACTAATATACATACAGGGAGTGCAGAATTATTAGGCAAGTTGTATTTTTGAGGATTAATTTTATTATTGAACAACAACCATGTTCTCAATGAACCCAAAAAACTCATTAATATCAAAGCTGAATATTTTTGGAAGTAGTTTTTAGTTTGTTTTTAGTTATAGCTATGTTAGGGGGATATCTGTGTGTGCAGGTGACTATTACTGTGCATAATTATTAGGCAACTTAACAAAAAACAAATATATACCCATTTCAATTATTTATTATTACCAGTGAAACCAATATAACATCTCAACATTCACAAATATACATTTCTGACATTCAAAACAAAACAAAAACAAATCAGTGACCAATATAGCCACCTTTCTTTGCAAGGACACTCAAAAGCCTGCCATCCATGGATTCTGTCAGTGTTTTGATCTGTTCACCATCAACATTGCGTGCAGCAGCAACCACAGCCTCCCAGACACTGTTCAGAGAGGTGTACTGTTTTCCCTCCTTGTAAATCTCACATTTGATGATGGACCACAGGTTCTCAATGGGGTTCAGATCAGGTGAACAAGGAGGCCATGTCATTAGATTTTCTTCTTTTATACCCTTTCTTGCCAGCCACGCTGTGGAGTACTTGGACGCGTGTGATGGAGCATTGTCCTGCATGAAAATCATGTTTTTCTTGAAGGATGCAGACTTCTTCCTGTACCACTGCTTGAAGAAGGTGTCTTCCAGGAACTGGCAGTAGGACTGGGAGTTGAGCTTGACTCCATCCTCAACCCGAAAAGGCCCCACAAGCTCATCTTTGATGATACCAGCCCAAACCAGTACTCCACCTCCACCTTGCTGGCGTCTGAGTCGGACTGGAGCTCTCTGCCCTTTACCAATCCAGCCACGGGCCCATCCATCTGGCCCATCAAGACTCACTCTCATTTCATCAGTCCATAAAACCTTAGAAAAATCAGTCTTGAGATATTTCTTGGCCCAGTCTTGACGTTTCAGCTTGTGTGTCTTGTTCAGTGGTGGTCGTCTTTCAGCCTTTCTTACCTTGGCCATGTCTCTGAGTATTGCACACCTTGTGCTTTTGGGCACTCCAGTGATGTTGCAGCTCTGAAATATGGCCAAACTGGTGGCAAGTGGCATCGTGGCAGCTGCACGCTTGACTTTTCTCAGTTCATGGGCAGTTATTTTGCGCCTTGGTTTTTCCACACGCTTCTTGCGACCCTGTTGACTATTTTGAATGAAACGCTTGATTGTTCGATGATCACGCTTCAGAAGCTTTGCAATTTTAAGAGTGCTGCATCCCTCTGCAAGATATCTCACTATTTTTGACTTTTCTGAGCCTGTCAAGTCCTTCTTTTGACCCATTTTCCCAAAGGAAAGGAAGTTGCCTAATAATTATGCACACCTGATATAGGGTGTTGATGTCATTAGACCACACCCATTCTCATTACAGAGATGCACATCACCTAATATGCTTAATTGGTAGTAGGCTTTCGAGCCTATACAGCTTGGAGTAAGACAACATGCATAAAGAGGATGATGTGGTCAAAATACTCATTTGCCTAATAATTCTGCACTCCCTGTATATTTATATATATATACTAGGCAGATGATACTGCGTGGTGTTTGACATGACTCTTTTCAAACTGTTAAAACCATCATTCCTAGTGTGAACACTAATCAATCGCAGGGCAGTACCAAGATATACACCTTCCAGACTGCCCAAGATTAGTGTGAGTTAAACTTCCAAGCATTTGTAGCTGCCTCAATTGAAGTGGGTATCTCTAACTCTGCTGTTTCCCTCCTCCCCCCATATTGCTGAACTACAACTTCCATGATTCTTTGGTCATATACTGCATTGAAAGAATGATGGGAGTTGTAGGCCACCGTTCATTTGTGAGGCCAGAGTTTGAGATCACTGCACTAGAAAGGAAAAGGTTAAATTAAATTAAATTAAAGGATTACTCCTAGCAACATAAGAGCTAAATGTATTGAAGTGGTCATTGTCAAACACTGCACAAAATGTTATATTTATGCTAGTTGCCATGTGTAACTCCACCTCCAACGCATCATACAAGAGTTCTGCTGCCTAATGTCGGTTCTGTGTTATATTTATTGCACATAGTTTTATTCATTGTCTGAGAGCGCTCATCTGATGGTCTCAGCCAATGAATAGCCAGCATGATGTTTATACAGCTTCTGCAGCTTTGCAGAGGTCTGATCAGTGGCGACTGGTGAAGTTTTAAGACGGTGGGCGCCAGACTCCTCCCACAGAATTGTACTCCTCCCTATACAGTACAGAGATACTCATACAACACAGAGAGTTGAGCATAATACAGAGGTACTCATACAATAAAACAAGCTGGGCACAACATAAAGATATCTATAAAATACATAGCACTGAGTACAATACAGAAATAACTACCGCAACCAGAGATGAGAAAAAATAGAGATATAATACACAGAGCTGGGCACAATACAAAGATACCTATACAATACATGGAGCTGGGTAGACTACAGAGATACCCATACAACAGGTAGAGCTGAGAAAAAAAACAACAGAGAAATACTACAAAGAGCTGGCCACAATAAGGAGATACTCATAACTATCCCACACAGTCAGGATCACTGTGATGGATTACACAGAGCTGCAATACAGATATTCCTCCATATTACATGTCTCTCTATTATGCTCGAGCTCTATCTTCCTAACCCTCTCATAGCTCTCTCAAATGATCTCATCTTCGGTAGTGCTCCTGCCATGATAACTTTAGCTTTCTATTACACATTGTTGCTGTTATGAAACATGTCAGCTACCCCATTAGCTCTCAGCATTACAGTATGCAGATGGTTAAAGCAGCAGGATAATGAAAAACTCCATATTATCTTTGCAGTTGGCAATACAATTAATCTGCACTGGTAATATGGATCCAAGTAGTAGCTGACATGGTTAACAGAATCAAGGCTCTTTACATATTAAAACAGATTAAAATCAGAATCAGATCAGTCCTCAGAGTCACAGCCCCAATCCTGCTGTTTGAAGCATCACAACTTTTCAACAAGCCACAGCATGAGTGTTTCATTGCTCTGTGTCTGAAATGACCCCCTCCCCATGTCACCCCTAGGCTTTCCTAGCTTTATATATTAATGATATATTTAAGTAAATTTCCTTGATTATTTAACCTTCAGGACGTCACTAGGGCTATTGGGGAGAGAAAAAAATAATATGCATTTGAATTTGGCAGAGGCCAGGAGTTTCTTGCTTCTCTCCTGTGGGCACTGTAACCCCACCCAGTGGTGCTCTCAGCCATTGATGGACCCTGAATAGAGAGGCCAATAGCATGCATCGACTTATGGGCAGCTGGCTCTGCTGCCCAAATGGCAACTCAGTGGAAATTTCTTCTTCAAGGACACTAGGCATGTGCCCCAGACAGGGCAGATTTTAAACCAGCGCTGATTTTTTTTGACATGGCTAGATGCTCTCAAGTAAGCTTCCCCAAATCTCCAAAGGGGCCATGCAGAACTGAAACCTATTACAGAATTAAAAAGACACTATTTTCCCCCTTATTTTTAGGCCTACCACGCTCCCCCGCAGAAAAAAGAATTATAATGTTTTTAAACAACCGCAAATCATATTTTTTCTGACATAAAAACCGGTGGGGCGCCACTAAGCCTGTTGCTACCATGCCGTCATTGAAGATGGCTCGGAATTCTGTGGGACCCTGGTAAAAGCCAAATTGTAGCAAAATACTTTACTCCCTTACCAGGGAATGGCACTAAGGGGGGAGGGGGCATAATAAACACTATAACAGGCTGAAGTGGTTATGATTTTCAGAAAAGTCTTTTAAAAAACACATTCCAAACTTCTAAAGCACTTTTTAGTGTTTGAAGGGTTAATTTACTGTCCCCTCTTTCTTAATTTGTAAAAGAGTAGATTTTAAGAAAGCCAGGAAAGCTGTTGCTAGGCTGCATAAGCAACGTGATTTAACTTCTAAATGGCAGACAATTGATATACCAAAACCACTTAATTAAGTGAAAGCTGTTTTAGAGTGTCCACTTAAAGGCTACAGACTCAAACAACAGCAGTTAACTGGGAGAGTAAGCGCCATATGTAAGTTTTCTGTGCTGCTCTAACATTAAAAGAACCCTAGTCCAAAATCTAATTTTACAAAATTATGAAATATAAAAGTTATAAAAGAAAGCACATTTAAAAGAAATTGGTGCATGTAAATATTATACGTTTTTGAGAAAGTAGTCGATTTCAAAAGAAGGTTTAATGTATGAAAGTAAATCAAGCATACATTAGGCAGAGTTTCATTATTGGACACTGTATAAAAGGTGTGTGGAGGGTGGAGGGGGGGGTCGTAGGTTTTCTCCCACAAAAGACTTTGGGATACATTTTCTTTCATGTTAAAACCTAACTAGCGTATATTATGAAACTCTGGGAAACTGCCTGCTAAAGGAAGAACCAATTACTCAAAGAACCAAAAGTTTTTTTTAAACTTCTCTCTTCAATACATATTATGCAAACCACACAAGGAACAAAAAGCACACCAAACTCCAAAAATGGAATATAGTAAAAATGATATTGTCACATATATTAGTAATCTGAAACTTTAAACCAAACTTTACAGGGTTGTTTTTTTCTAGTATGGACTGTAATACATTAAACACTTCTTGAAACACCTATTACAGGAAGAACAAAATGTGGTATTTTATTTTTCAACAAGTATTTATTAGGCAGCAGCAGCAGGACACAAACTTTAACCCTATTAATGCCATAAGGCCCCTAGCAATCACAGGGTTAAGGTAAGAATCTTGTAACTGTACTCTTTTATTCTGAACAAAGAGTTATGGCCGTTCATTCTAGGAGGGGGATATAAGTAATGTGTTATGGTGTGATTGTGGAGCTTGGCATAAAGCTTTCATAGACACGGACTACCCACTCAGCTCAGACAGCTTAGAGGAAAAGATAACTGTTTGGATTGGGAGGGGGAGGCAGAGTGTGGGATAGGGTGAGGCCTCACCATCCGGCTGTAGCAGCCAACAAAGAGATGCCTTCAAATCTTATATTGTAACCTCTATCACCTCCTCTCGCTGAAACACTACAAGTAAAATCAAGCGGGTTAACACAAGCCAAAACACAGAGCGCCTTGTTGTCATTCCCTCTCCTCCACTTACTGAATCTTCAAAGGAATCAACAACTTTCTGAAGAATATGGACCAAGGGACATGGGACTGAGCCACACCCTTTTATTGCTTTTTAAGATCTTAGTTCTTTTATATAGAGAATATCACTGGTGATGATGTTCTAGAATGCAGCACATCTCACTGCATTCTTATACTCCTCATTGTACACGTTTAAAGCAGGAGTCACGACCTGCACCCCCAGCCCCAGCTGGTATTTACCAGCCTGCTGCAGTCTTTCAAAGTATTAAGGAAATGTAGTTCCACATCTAGGCAGTGTTTGGCACCCCTGTATAAAATAAATGTATTCAATAGTCCAGAAACTAAAAAGAGGCCGAAGGTGATTGTATAATTTTTTTTAAAGTACTCTATTTTACACAGGAAACTGCCACAGATCATACTGGTTGGACACCATTATTATTTTATTAATAAAGCAACAACATATTCTTCAATGCTGTACAATGGTTTGTTTTTTTTTGTTTTGTTTTTTTAAACAATGCCTGCTTTACCAACACATTGTTCTACACTACATCATGTATTATAATAGACAACACACTACAAAATGTATTGTTTCTATATTGTCTCAATATTACGTACGAATATATATATATCTTCAAGTAAATGAGTCATTGGTTCTAAGCACATTGTTCTACGTTCTCTGCTACTCCCGAGTCTCTAAATCATAACCTGTTCGCCTCCTGACTCAATGTCAAAACACTATGGAGTACCAAGGTATCTAAATTGCAAGCTCTTGTGCTGTCGCTTATTTTTCTCCTAGTGAAAAGTTCTCTCTCTCCCCCCATATCTCCCCCTCACTCATCATAACAGTATTCATCACCCACACACATAAAGCCCACGCAGCCTGCTCATTGGAAAACCACACAGTGAGTACACCAAGCACATTGCTGGCAAGAGTTTGCTGGCACAGACACACGAGTCTAAAAATACATTGTTTGCTTTTTTTCTCTCTCTCTCTCTGATCTTTGCATTGCAGCAACAGCATAAGGAGATCCAGCAAATAATTTTCTCCGACTCTTGGCCAAATCTCTCAATGATCCCAGTGAGTTATCCAGGTGAAGTTTAGTGTACTCACTCACCCCCCACACACACACGCACACACACTCACACACACACACCCCAACACACACCCACAGGGTAGCATGGGTCCCTTAGCTAAATTATATAACTCCCCTCCTACGCTTTTCCAGGATGATTTATTCATCCTATGATCCTAGCGGTTTCCAGCACAGGATGCAGAAAGGAGGGAATAGGAGACCAAATGGAGATAATGTAAAAGTAGTAGGGCTAACGGGGTATGTATAAAAATATGATCAGATTTACCCATATATACCTTATATACACTGCACAATAAATCTGACTTGGCTGCCTTAAAGGGAATCCAATCTGTACAAGGCTTTAGATGTAAAAGTGTCTGACAGGCTAATACTAGAAGAATTTAATACATTGAAATAGTGCAATAAGGAGCTATGGTTGTAAATTACTCACAGACTGTCTTCCCACTGCGACTGCCATGTTGCTGTCCACAAAGCTGCGAGTCTATGAAAATCCAGGCAGAGCATGCGATCCTCTCTTAATGCTGCACACAGCCCAATACTGCCTGCCTCACTGGCTGCTACAATGTATCACTCCAGGGCTGGAGGAACATGGCCACCACAGGGGAGGGTCCCAGCATCACAGGATAAGGGGGTGGGAAGGCTCACACACACAGGAAAAGCATACCGTGAACACATGCAGCTCTTTGCCAACGTTTATTTAGCAAGTTAGAAAAATGACATTATTATTTGCAGCCCCTTGTTATAGTGTGTGGTGCCGACTGAAGGCTCTTATGTGACTGAGGCTTTTGCATAACCCCCCTGTTTCACGGAATGGTGCTGGCTGCTGTGTGGCTGCTCAGTAGTTTAGAGTGAGGACGAGCTTCTTCATTAGTTCATTCTTCCACAGCGCTGGCTGGGAGCACAGCTATTCACAGCTGTTATCTGTACAGAATACATAAAACATTTTTATTCAATAGGTATTCAATACCTGAAATAAAGGCAGTGATATGTTGTAATATCAATAAAAGAAGGTTCAGTCTTTGTGAGTTGTTTAGTAAATAGTGATTTGGAATACTACTAATTTGTAAAGTGTCAACGTATTGTACAGCGTGGTACAGTGTGCATATAAACAAATTAAAATGTGACAGACAAGTAGGGGTGAATAGGTGACCAAGGCTCTGATAAAGAGTTGAGAATTGAATTAATGCAAAAGTAAAAAGTTACAGATAATCACCAGCTTGGAAGAGTTAAAGATTATCAGGATTATTTACTAAACTCCAAATATTAATGGATTATATCAGAATTGTAAAATTGTGTCTAAAATTGCCAAGCTGTGACTAGACTTGAGAATCTTTCGAAATCAGACATTTTAGCTTCAACTTTACAATTTAGATTTATTTTGCTAACTTCATAGTTTACCTTTAGAGTGACTATAGGCGTGCTGCGCAGCCTATTGCAATAGGGTGTGCACCCGTAAGCACAAACACACACCGCGTGTATATGTATGTGTCTATACACACACACATATACATACATACAAACACTGCTGTGAGTGTGCTGTGTGTGTGTGTGTGAGGGTGCTGTGTGTGTGTGTGTGTGTGTGTGTGAGAGAGTGCTGGTAGTGTGCTGTGTGTGTGGGGGTGCTCTTAGTGTGATGCGTGGGTGTGTGTGTGAGGGTGCTGTTAGTGTGCTGTGTGTGTGATGATGCTGTGTGAATTTGTCTGGAGTGATTGTGTGTGGGGGTGGGAGGGACAGATTAAGAAAGGTAAAAAGTATCCCCCCTCCCTTCTTACCTTTTACCTGGGAGGGGATATCCTTGCTGCCATCTCTGATCCGAGCCATCTCGCTATCCGAGCACTGGCTCTGCATGGATCGACGGGGGAGATCCTAAGATCTCCCCTGCCGGCCTCGATCCATGTGCGGGCCGCGGGGATTAGGGTGTGCCCAGGCACACCCGGCACGCTCTGTGCGCACACCTATGATAGTGACTCTGTAGGCGCTCAGACCACCTCATCGCAATTAAGTTAAGTTGGCTGGGTGTTATGTCCCTGTAGTTTTGTTCCTGGCCTGCAGTGTATTACATTATCATTTTGCAGGAATGGCAATTGGATGGCTGTGGCCATCGGTGTCAATGATCTCAAAACCAAGGTGGCAGGAAGGCAGCTGGTTCTGTAAGGTAGAAAAGGTGAGTAAAACTGCATTTTAACTTTTTACAAGTGGAGGCAAGGGATCTAAACATATAAACGGCACTGTAAAGTTAGAAATACATATTAGTATTCCTAATGCTATAGTGTACTTTAAGATGAAGTCAATTTGAGTGCTGAGAGTGTCCCTTTAAATACAAATGTGCATTCTGACAAATGCTTTCATGCTCTGTTTACACATGATAATTAACAGAGGGATTTATTCATGACTGAATATTGACATTTGAAAATTAGTCATTACTGGCCAAAAAGCAGAAATGCTCAAATTCAGCTTATTTTGGCTTTAGGTTTTTACATAAATTTTTAATTCGCCACAATTCACTGTTTAGTGGATAAACTCCATAACTCCATGGTTGATTTAGTATATACATGGTATATTGCGTAGTTTGTACAGAAACCCCCCTCCTGTTTTTATGTGATTTCTATGCACATCTATAGAGGAAAATACTCAAGTCAACAGTGAAAAAATAATGCAAATCTATAACCTTAAAACAACCGGCAAAAATACCTGACCAAGCTAGTCTTATAGTATTTTAGCTCTAAAGGAAAACATTGCATTTGATGCTTTACTATGAATTTTCACATCATGTGACCAAATTTTACTCAGTCAGTACAGCGCAGACATCTGTAGTGGCTGCCAGTATGACAGTCACTTGAGGTGGACTTCACTCTGTGTGTTTTTTTTTCCTAAAAAGAAAACTTGCAAATTAGGGTTAAAATGATAAGACCACTGCACCCAGACCACTTGAGATAAGTGGTCTGGGTGACTGTAGTGGTCCTTTAATATTATTGATAAAATATGCTATACCAAGAGATGGACCCCCACACCTGGGAGGTATGAATGTGAAATGTTGGGATGGTGTGTGGAGACAATGTACCCACAGGCCAGCCCTATTCAGGTACAAATGTCATTTTGTAGTGTCAGGATTACATATGATCCTTACATGGAAGACTTATGTCTAACCCCCACCAGCTATCAATATAATACAAGAAACACCTTACAGTGGCCAGATTTAGCGCTGTGTCTATCGTCAAAGAGGCCTGGTAACAAGCAAAGAATAGTCAGGAAAAAACAGTTTTTTTTAGTTAAGAGGACAAAAAAATGGTGTGCAGCAGAGAAGCCTCAAATGGAGACTATACCGCCATATTTATCTATGCTTGACTTGACGTAAGGCCAAAGTGATTGGCTGAGTTTTTCTACCCAATCATTTTGTTCCTCTGCTGTGAGGCAAAATATTTAAATCCTGTGTTATAGGCTAGCCCACTGCAATTGGCTAGTGTAATTAGTGGAATCACACAAATCCCTCTTTAAAAAAGGTTTTAATAGCTAGCTTTACAGATTTAGGATGACTATATATTATATTTTAATGTGTGTGCTCATGATTTCTTTTTATGGTTTTGTTTTTGTAACATTGTGTTGGTACTATTTAAGGATTTATATTTTAATGGATGAGGATGTCCGGGAGCAGAATATTAGAATATTACCTCCAGAGTGTCATTTGACAACATCAGAGTTTGGGGGATATTCCCAAACTCCAGTGTTGTCAAAGGATGTTCTGTCGATTCTATGTTCTATCGATTTAGTGTTCATAGCGGTTTATAGTTAAGAGGATTTAATATTTGGGGGCTTATAGGTTTAGGGTTATATTTGTGTTTTATTCTTCATAATGCTGTTTGTGTTAACTCCTATCACTTGCATGCATGTGAACCTGGCTAAGAGTAAAAAGGTGTAACACAGTGTATAGCAGGAAGGTTTCCATATTTTTAACCATTTCCCCCATACTACTGTTGTGGTGAGACAGAAGACAATGCAGTTGTTTACACACACTGTTTTTACCTCTTACCTGTAGCCCATTGGTGGGAAACACTGGGGGATGGGTGGCATTTAACAGATCTCTGCTATTTTCAAATATTTTCCCCATCCCACTGTCCCAAGGATGGGGCTGTGGGAGGAATTAAATTATGAATTAAATAAAGGCTTTTACTTACCTTTAGTCCCCCAGAGTACCATTCTCCATGTGGCTGCCCACTTCCACTGGCTGAAATCATCAGTTTTGATGATCTCAGCCAATCCAATGCTTCTTCACAGGAAGTTATTGGGAGGCTAGTGAATATGCACTGAAAATCTCCACAATGTACTAATCAGCATTTCCTCATAGGGAGAAAATTTGGCATCCCCATACAGAGCACAGATAATGTTGGTAATGTAATCCTTGCAGGACCAAACCCAGGAAACCCTTCTAGAAGCTGCCCAAGGAACCTTCACTAGTGGTTGCATTAGGCAGAAGTGTAAATACCGTATTTTGTGAAAAAAGGCACTGTTTTCACAGCTTAACCTGCATTGCCAAGACAGTATTACCATATTACGCTGTAGAGATTCTGGTGCCTATATTGTCCCCTGAAAAATAATCATTTTGGAAAAGAGAGCTTTAATATGAAATATGAACAATGCCATAAACTTTAGGGAACAAAGAATTGCCTTACAAACATTCCTTCTCTATTTGACTCAGTTAACTATACACAGTCATGAGAATATCATATGAAGCAAGCTAAAATAAACCGAACAATTAAAAGATGTCATGACAATATAGGAGGAGCTCACTTCCAGCTTAGATCCACCCAAACCTAACTGCAACTATAAGTACCCAGTGAAATCCGAATGAAACCTCCATTTCACATGATTTTCAGCTTTTTACGTAAAAGGATTCTATAAGCACCATAACCACTTAATTGAAATGGTTATTTTACAAAGAACATTTCCCTGTATTTTCTTTCTTTATTTTTTTTTTTATTCCAGAGATAAATACATTTAGGGCAACCTCCCTGTGCTGTCAATCAGCCAAATGGAATTCTCTCTTACCAGTTGGCAATATTGGTTTTGTGCAAATTTTGCATCTTGTGTCAGCACACACAGTATGCTAACTCCAGATGACTTAAACAGGCTGTCCATGGCTGGCAAGTTACACTGAATTCCCAGCAATTCTCAATGTAGTGAAGAACCTTGATGGATGAAACTTAACCAGTTTAACTTTTTCAGGGTTAACTGAAGTCAATTCAAAAATAATTTTAAATGTAAGACCAAAGTAGCTAAAATAGAAAAAAATCCAAGTAAGCTATCCTTCTAGTCAGGCTACCTTTGCCTTAAATTTAAGAATTCACTTTGGTTTCCTCACAATTCTTACTTTAGTTAATAATAATCTCCCTAATAAAGAAAAAAACTTGCTTCTGGTTTTTGACCTCTGCACTTCCTGCGTGCAGAGGAAAGAGGTAAAAA